AAAACCGGTACCCCCTTCCGCTGATCAACGACCTCATCAACCGGCTCAAAGGCGCTCGTTACTTCACCAAACTTCGACGTCCGTTGGGGCTTCAACAACGTCCGGATCAAGGAAGGTGACGAGTGGAAAGCGGCTTTCCGGACTAACCGAGGCCTGTTCGAGCCCTTGGTGATGTATTTCGGCCTGACAAACTCTCCCGCGACGTTCCAAACGATGATGAATGACATTTTCCAGGACCTCATCCTCTCCGGAGACGTCATGATCTACCTTGACGACATCCTGATCGCCCATTCCGACCTCCGGAAACACCGGCAGATCGTTCAGGAGGTCTTGCGGCGACTCCGGAGCACAAGTTGTACCTCCGAGCGGAGAAGTGCGACTTGAAAAATCGTCAATCGAGTGCCTCGGAGTCATCATCTCCCACAACCACGTCGAAATGGACCCCGTCAAAGTCGCAGGCGTCTCCGCTTGGCCGACTCCGGAAAACAAGAAGGACATTCAGCAGTTCCTTGGGTTCGCTAATTTCTACCGCAGGTTCATTCGGGACTTCTCGACCCTCGCGCGCCCTCTCTTCGTGCTCACCAAGAAGGACCAGCAGTGGACTTGGGGGCGGCGGAGGCCTCCGCGTTCCAAGCGATCAAGGACGCAGTCACCTCGGAACCGGTCCTGGCGATTCCGGACGACGCACGGCCTTTCCGACTTGAGGCGGACAGCTCTGATTATGCGACGGGGCGGTTCTTTCACAATCCGCCCCGGACGGGAAGTGGCACCCTGTAGCATTCTATTCCAAAAGCTTAAATGATGTCCAGCGCAACTACGAAATCCACGACAAGGAGATGCTCGCGATCATCCGCGCACTCGAGGAGTATAGACACTTCCTCGAGGGCGCCGCGCATCCCGTCGAGATTTGGACTGACCATAAGAATCTGGAGTACTTCAGGAAGACGCAGCACCTCAACCGGAGACAGGCCCGCTGGTCCCTCTACCTCTCCCGGTTCGACTTCACGCTGCACCACAAACCCGGCCGCGACATGGGCCGACCTGACGCCCTCTCTCGGAGACCAGACCACGGAATCGATTCCGACAACTCCGACGTCGTCCTTCTGCGGCCCGAACTCTTCCATGTCCGCTCTCGAAGGCGTTTCCGTTTCCGGCCCTGGTTCTGAACTCCTTCGCGACATCCGCGATGCCCTCTCCGGTGAGCCTGACCTGGAGGAGCCCGTCGCACTAGCGGCCCGGCAACTCCTAAAGGTCCAAGGTCAAGCTCGAGGCCCCCGCTCCTCGCGCTCCGACGAGTGGGCTGTCTCCGGTGGTCTTCTTCACTTTCGTGGGAAGATTGTCGTACCTAAGGATAAGGACCTCCGGAGACGCATCATCGAGCTCTGCCACGACACTCGAGTTGCCGGACACGCGGGTCGCTTCAAGACCTTGGAGTTGGTCTCCCGGAACTACTGGTGGCCTCAGATGTCTCGCCATATTGGCCGGTACGTCGCGACCTGTGACTTGTGCTGTCGCACCAAAGCACTCCGGAGACTGCCCCACGGAGAGCTGCACCCGACGGAAACGCCCCCAGAGCGTTGGCATACCGTCTCCGTCGACTTCATCATCGAAGCTTCCGGAGGCCCATGGGTACGACGCGATCATGGTCGTCGTCGACACCCTTGGGAAGCGTGCCCACTTCTCGGAGTGTCACACCACGGTCGACGCAGTAGGGGCGGCTCGCCTCTACTACCGGAATGTCTGGCGCCATCACGGGACTCCGGAGAAGTACGTCTCCGACCGCGGCTCGCAGTTCATCGCGGACTTCACCCGAGAACTCTGGCGTCTAATCGGCATCAAGCCTGCCACGTCCACCGCGTACCACCCGCAGACAGACGGTCAAACAGAGCGCGTCAACCAGGAGCTGGAGCAGTACCTGCGGATCTTTACCAACTATCAGCAGGACGACTGGGATGAGCTGATTCCGGCCGCGGAGTTCGCCTACAACAACCACGTTCACTCCTCCACGCAACAAGTCCCCTTCATGACGGACACGGGACGACTCCGCGCATGGGCTTCGAACCCGGAGTCCGTTCCGCTATGGAGTCCGTGAACGAGTTCCGCGACCGGATTGCCACTGGTGTTGCCGAAGCCAAGGCCGCGCTCACTAAGGCCAAAGAGGAGTACAAGCGCTACTACGACCGGAGACGCACTCCGTCTCCGGAGTTTAAGGTTGGCGACCGTGTTTGGCTGGATGCCTCTGACATCAGGACGACTCGCCACTCGGAGAAGTTCTCCCACCGCCGCCTCGGACCATTCAAGATAGTCGCGGAGATCAGCAAAGGTGCCTACAAGCTCGACCTCCCTCCGCGCTACTCGAAGCTCCACCCGGTCTTCCCCGTCGTCAAGCTCGAGCTCGCCCAAGACGACCCCTTCGACGGATGCCCCGGCTACGACCAGCCCCCTCCGGACCTCGAGGACGGAGTCCCGGAGTGGGAAGTAGAGGAAATCCTGGACGCAAGGGTGAGGTATAAACGGCTGAATTACTTCGTCAGATGGAAAGGCTACGACGCGTCGCATGACCAGTGGGTCCGCTTCGACCGCGTCTTCGCCCCGGAGAAAATCGCGGAGTTCTATCGTAAGTACCCTGGCAAACCACGGCACATCGCCTCTGCAACCTTCGACTCGATTCCATTCCGGTCTATGCGTCGGGGACGCCGCATTCAAAGGGGGGTGATGTCAGGGGAACCTCCCTTTCGGCCCCTCGGAGACGATTCCGATTCCGGTCCGACTCCGGCTCCGACTCCGGTGATCGCATCACCGCCTCCGTCAGGCGCATCGCCGCCCCCGCCTGGCGATCCCCCTGGGACCTGGCCTGCGACATGGCGCAGGCATACTGCACGGAGCAACGATCAACCTTGGCGCGTCAAGAGCGCAGTATATAGTTCCGCTACCTAGCAGGCGGACCCTTAGAGTTTCTTCTCTTTGGATCCTCCCCTGCTAGGTCAGCCTCACTTGTATTTGCTTACTTCTATTCACTCTTTGGATCCTCCCCTGCTAGGACCTTGATCTCAGGCCTCCGGGGTTGCCCTTACAAATGAATTCATCCTCGTCGTGCTTGTCTAGTCCGATGATTAAGATGCGGCTCCAATCAGAGTCGTCTGAGAAGCAAGTAGTGCTGTGTGGGTTGTGGATTGGTTCTATCCACTCTGCTGCGACATGTATCCGGAAGCCTGTTTCGTCTAGAGCAATAGGTAATGCTTGGCCCAACTTATGAGGTGTGAGTGGTTTGGTCATTTTGACGAAGCCTTCCTTCCCCACCATTGAAGCCAGCATTTTGTTTATGCGACCAGTTTCGATTGGTCCAATGTAGACGTCGAATGCTTTGCATCATCTTCGGGTCGTCATGCACACTTTTGGCAACCGAGCGGCGTCACGTTGGTCGCGATCTTCGGAGCCATCACGCACTTCTCCGGCAACCGATATGGAGTCGTCAGCCATCAACGAACCTTCGCGCCCTACGTCCTCTGTTTCGACCGCTATCTCAAGGGCTTCTGTTTTTATGCTCTCCTGTGAGGGTGTCGACATAGTGGCGAAGAACAACTACGATTGTTACGCCGTCACACTTATGAGTTTAAACATTCAACTCCATGTGTCCGCAGTCTGACAGATCTGATCCCTGATCACCTGGATGACTCGACTCCTGCCGTTTACGGCCTCAGCTAATCTCGGTCCCAGATCGTTCGAGGGCGGTGGGGACATGCCGGACGTGATGCGGGGATGTACCATCACCCATCACGCCAGAGAAATCAGCCCTCTTCCATCACTCCTCCCATCAAAAATTACCCCGGCAATGTCAAGCGTCTGTTCCGGCGAGCTTTGCTCGCCTGCCGCTCACGAACGTCTGGAATCGAGACTAGGCCTCAGCCTACTTCATTGATATTGACGATGATCTCTTACTGGGGACTGAAAAGACAGATAGAGATTATAAAGCAAGGTCTCAGTCTGCGTCGCTAGCGCGCAGACCCCTAGTCTAATTTGAAGGTTTGAACTTTGAAGAACACTTCATAGAAAAAAGTTATGTCTTCCACTTTCGTCCACTGCACTGCTCATGCCCCAGGTCTACCACCCACGGGACTGAAAAAAATAGGAGTCTGAATCTGACGTAATGATTGAACATCGTATCTTCGAAAACAACGAATCGCCGGTGGTCCTGTTCCAAAGCGCGCATAAGTACACGGAAAATTTGAACGAGACAGCTGACATGGCCTGGTCCGAGCAGAAGCACGTCGTGAAGCGATTCAGTCCAGATTCTACATGACTGCTTGCGAATTTTGGACTTTTGTGTAGTCTGCACGACGTGCTGCTGAAGTTAAATGCTGGCATCGAACGTTCACCATTAGTGACTTGTGTCCATCGTTGGAGCCGTTTGGGAAATACGAAGAGCAGCTTAGAGCACTCAAAGCATGATGGCCAACAACAGGAATGTATGTCGGGGCCTGGTTTTGATCCCAAGGCCCGGGTGGCGAGCAGACGACCTATGTCGGCCCAGATGAAGCGTCGCGGAATCCCCTAGGAGATAAACGGACGTGGATGGGGGATGCAACTTACAGACGCGCCACAAAAAAAATAGGAATGTCACGCGTGACTCTCAACGACCTCCAGTTTTGTGGCTGAGGATCACCCCGAGTGCGAGTTTTCTCTTTATGTAAAATTAAAATTCTCAAGCGACCCGCAGTCTTATTCGGCGTTTGAACCTTTTCAGCCATCACATTATGGCGTTTTGGGAACCTTGAAGACTTCAAACTGCCACCGGCGCGTCGGGAGTTGCGACATCTCTTACCATTCAGGACGTTCGGCCGCCATTGGCTTCTTGTAGACTCCTCATTGTACATGACCTCAAAAGTTGACGCGCTCTCCAACACGAAGATTAATCAATCTTGACTGGTAACATTCTTGTGGAGGATAAAAGGTGCGCCATAGAAAGCGAACGGTATTCCTCGCTCTGACCAGTCTTCACCATGTCTACAGACAAAATTGGTCTCCAGGCATGCACAATTGCCGTCTCAGAAACGCAGCAAAAGGACGGTATAGTCGATGAACTAGTTATTGGTGCTCTTGGTAATGGGCCCTCCGGTTCACGAAGGGACGCTGTCAGCACAAGACTCGACTATCTATGGGACAGTGGGGCGGTGCGTCACTCGTTTCATCCATGTTTTATAGCTCAATAATGGTGCTAGACCATAACCTTTTCCTTCAGCGATGGAACACCAAACCGGCAAGGGAAAGTCGAGAAAATTCTCCTCGAATGGTTCGTTCACTCGCTCAGCTATTCTTTTTGACTGTTAAATGAACATTGCATAGGACTCCCTACGCCAATATTACCTTTCAGCGCGAAGAGACGGGTACAATCCGCATCTCTTTCAATCCGGCCCAAGGCTCTTGGAGCTATGGTGCGTTCCGCTCTCCTGGCTCTCCACCACCATTTTTAACACATCACAGTCGGAAAGGCCAATAACGAAATTGATAGTCCTAAGCCAACAATGAACATAGGATGGCTCGACGACACTCCTGAAATTACTGACAGCGATCGCGGCCTCGTCTTGCATTTATTCGGTCACTGTCTTGGATTATTTCATGGCAAGTTGCGCGTTTGCTTCTTGGGCCGCTGAACCAATATCGAACTAGAGCATCAAAGCCCAGCTCAAGGCGGAAGCGTCAAACTGAAAGAAGAAGAGGTCTACGCGTTCAGCCAAGCCACGCAAGGTTGGAGCAAGGACACGACGAAAGCCAACATCCTTGACGTCTATAACAATACAAGCCTTTCTAATTATAGCGAGGTCGACTCGACTTCAATCATGAAGTATGTCCTGTGCTATTATTCCCTCGCTTTTCCCTGCTGATATGACCAAGATATCCGATTCCGTCGCAACTGGCCGCTGAAGGGGTCGATGTGAAGATGAACTACGAACTCTCACTTCAGGACAAGGCCTTTATGATCATCAACTATCCTCGTCCTAAGCCACATGAATCTGCTCTCGAATGGACACTTGAATATGCTTTGAAAGTTTCCTCAGTCGACCAAGAAACCACGCAGAGCATTTTAGACGCCCATAAGACCGGTGAAATCATTGCCGTCCGGGCCTTGTTCAACGCATTCCAACTCACTGCGCGAATTAACAAGACAACGTCAAAGCCAGGCCCAGTTCCGAATGGAGCTTCAAATGGAACTCTACCAAGAAAATCCAATCAACACCCACCCGATTCACCTCTCGAGCAGCCAACGGATGAGTGGTGTTTGACCTTTGACGACCAAATCGACGCTGGCGCAACGGGTGACGGCCTGCGAGAAATCAGCGCAAGACAACGTCTCTGGCTTCCGCACCAGCAGATAAAATTTGGGTTTTTCGACATCAGTGAACGAGGCTGTGAAGCCACAGAATTCCGCAAGATTCGCGTTCGCAATGCGCTCAAGCTCTATATGGAGCACACTTCCCTCGTTTTCGTCGAAGTCGAAGGGGACGAGTTTCGTTCATTGGACTTCTCCAAAGCTTCTGATCGCGCCAAATGCCCTCTTCGCATTGCATTCGGTAATCTGGAGAAAGTCGATGGGAAGGTGCGGTATGGGTGGTCGCAGAATGGGAAAAAAATTACAACGTTCGAGTTTGCCGGTCCCGGTAATGCCTATGGGGCTCCCGGTCCCAAATATGCTACGTTATGGCTGGGTGGACAGCCTTTGACGGAATCCACCAATCTCCCTGTGCCGGAGAGTGATCGTGCAACTGCGAGCATCTATCATGAGCTTGGCCACGTCCTTGGTGCGTCCGCTGCTGCTGTGTAATCCTCCTCTCAGTCTTCAATAGGATTGCTACATGTGGCTGACCCCCCCTCTTCTCAACTTAAGAACTCGCAAAATGTCGTTAGCTCGTTGCTGTCATTCTTGGCACGTGATCGTTTCACATTTAAACTCGTTGCTGACGATGATTTTTAGGTGGACACGAAGAGCGTCATGTTTTATCCTTCCAAAGATCCCACAAAGCTAGAGCTCAATACTTCCCCCTCTCCGACTGATCTTGACGTACTGCGCGTGAGTGCATTGATCACCTCTTGAGATATCATGATCTCTCAACTTGCTTCAAGCTTTTATACCCAGATAATGGTCGCAGCGACGGAAAGTTTGCTGCCGCTCTTAATGCATTCAGCTTTTACCCAGAAGATCGCAACACTCTACTCGGTCTGGCTGACAGAGTTATTGGTCAAGACAACAAAATTGACGAGGAACTCAATGTCATTCTTTGGTCCAACATCGCGACTGCATTCAATAAAAATGATCGTCGTGGTCAACTTTCGACGAGTCCACCGGTGGGGCATAACCTTGCGGATAAAACGGGCCCACTGATAGGTGGAGATCTTGTTTCCTGCTCGTTCAACGCTGATGAGTGTCAGATCCCGCCTTTGAGCCGGCAAATGCGTGGTGTGCATCATCAATTTGTGATGATGCCGTTGCGAAAGGTTCTGCAAGCAGGCCGGATGGCTTCATCGAGGCCCAAGACCAGTTGTGGCAACCCTACGAACGCATCACCTATGGGTTCTTACCCTGGAAGGCCTCTCCCTCTAAACCAAATCAGAGCGAGAGAGACTGTGCCCCCACTCCCTATCGAAAACAATTCGTCAAAGACGTCATCTCACAGTATATGAAGCATGCCTCTATCGTCCTCGAAGAGGTCCCTGACGATTTTATGACCTTGGCTGACTTCTCGAAGGAACAGGATCGTCAGCGGGTGGATATACGCATTGCTTTTGGTCCCCCAGTGCGAAAATCACCAGAAGCACTAGTCTGGGGCTGGTCATATACCGGCGCACATGCTCGCAAGTTTGATGGTTTTCCCAAACCCGGTGCTCCGGCATACGCGACGACTTTCCTCGGGGGTTTGCCTCAGCACTCGGCCCACGAAGTCTCCGAGAAGCATTTGACAGAGATGACGCGTGCGGTTTATCATGAAGTCGGCCATGTATTTGGGCTTTCACACGAACACGACTCCTCGACCTCCTCAATTGTTGGCGCGGGCAATACCATCAGCCGAATTTTGGTTGCTACTATGGTTTGTTGTGCTCTATATAGGTACCCCTTTTCTGACCATTGATTGATAGCTGGATCCCGATAGCATTATGCTGCACCGTAACAAACCGTATCCAAAGCTCTCCCAACCTAAGTACAATCAAAAACCCTCGAATACGGACCTGGCTCTTCTTCGCGTATGTATACCTCTCCACTTAAATTCCTTGACTGAAGACATTCAACAGCTCATGTATCCGGATAACGGAGACGCTCGCGGCGCATTTGCACGGGCGTTGCGGCAAATGCAGTTTTCTCCTCCAGATGCAGAGACACTTTTGACCAAGGTCGCACTTGCCGTCGCGACCCCCAGTGAAGTGAACACAACTGAGATCAAGAGGATCCGGAGCGGCATCGCTCTTGATATCAATCTTGCTCCCCGACTAGCTCAACCTCCTCCACCCCTAACTGGGCCACATCGCGATTCGGACTTACGCGGCCTTCGGAACGATGATGGCGAAACACATCGACTCGACGCCGACGAGGCCAAGGACGATGGATCGTCAAATGGCCAGGCGGCTGGATTTTTGTATGAATTGGTGCAAACCTTGAAGCAGTTCTTCAACCCAGGGGGCAACCAACAGTTCGTTCTCCAGTTCCCGGGTCGGTTTCTTGATCAAAACTCATATGCTTGGGATACCTCGGAAGCTGGCATCAATGGGCAATTTGTCAAGCCCATCGTGGTCAACGAATCTGAGTTTCGTCTTGTTGACCAGCTGTATGACCTGCAGGATACGGTCGGCGGGCCAAACGGGACTAATTTATCGATCGTCTACGAACAGGTGCCTCATCCATCGCTCAGGAAAGCTTTGTCTGACCTTGCTACTTAGCTTTTGAACAACCTACTGCCCAAATTTGTTCCGAATGGTCTTGGGGCGCAGCAAGCTGAAATTCGTGATTGGCTCACAAAAGAGGTTCCGTCATCGCAGTGGATCAAGGATATTCAGGCCCGTCATCGAGAACGCCTCAGAGATGAGGCAAACGCACTCGCACTCAGTCTCGGGACTAAGACCGCTGAACAAATTGGTCAGTCCTGCACCTGTTGTATAACGGAATGTTGACCATCGTTTAGCGGAGGAGAACAAGAACCGGAAGGATGAACCCCCCGATACGAAAAACACCATCAATCGGATCGAACTCAGCCAGCTGCTTATGAACGAGTATCTATACGCCAAACAGGACTGGCAAATTGAACGCGACGCTCTTATCAAACAAGCGAACGCGGTCAGCAAGCCCTCCATCTTTTATGTGAAAAGCTGATTTCAATCAGAGTGATCTAGGGACGAATGAATCGAAAAAAGCCCTCAATGAACTTACTCGCAAACTTGCTCATATCACGGCATCGCGACAGTCGCTGCTGGCTGAGAAGTACAATGACGCAGTTGTTCGTGGCCATCTACACACCATCAAGGAATATCTTGGTTACCTGGATATTGCAAGTCCCGCGGCAGCCCTCCAGGTAGGTGTTAATTGCTTGAAGCTGATCGACGCTCATTCCTTCCAGAGCGCCAAGGATTCTCTACGCGAGGCGTCAATGTCGTCGTTGGATGGCAGTATGAAGGTGTATCCAGTTCAACTCTCGCCTTTAGACTGGTTCGAAGGGTTGTCGACGTCGTTTACCATGGAGGATCTAACACAAGATCCTGAAGTCATTCGACAGCAGATCAAGGCTAAATCCCAACAACTCGACGTGCTCAATTCTCAACTTGTCACCTTACAAATGGGATCGAAGGGCGATCCCGCTGAACTGGAAAAACAAGTGGAGGACCTACGCACGGAACTAGACAGCGCTCAAACTGACCTTGCGAAAGCCTATTCTTCGAATGTTATCGAAACAGCGAAAACTTTCCTCACTGTAGAGGGGAATGTCGATAAGGCCGGTTTCAAAACGGTCTTTGCCTGGGCAGACGCAACCATCGACAAGCTGGATGGCATGTTATCCAAAGTGCAAGACGCACAAGCGAGGCTCAATGCTACCTCTCGTGCATTTACCATGGCGTTGGCTGCGCGGGCGCTCGCTATAGCGACCGACACCAAGGAGCAACAGCGTCAGATCTCACTTCAGATTCAGTCGTTGACGGAGGACTTGAAAGAACTGCAATTGCGATGGCAGACATTGACCGCCAAAACTGGCGGCACTAAGCCACCCGACCCGCCAAACACTGATGAGGCGGAGCTTCCCAAGACGCCAGTCATGCTTCCTGGGGAAGCGTCATCTGGCGGCAGTCGTTGGCAAACGATAGCATTCACCAGCAGCTCAGAATCCCGACAGAAGTGGTCCTCGTCAAATTCATCTGCATCGGTAATTCTTTGTTACAGATTTGAGATGTTCTCTTCTAAACTCATTTGTAGTCCAAGTCGTGGTCGTGCAATTTGTGGTTTGCCTCGGCATCTAGCAGCTCATCGTCCGAAAGCGCCAGCTCTGCTTCTGAGACCAAGGCTAGCAAAGACACAATTGAACTTGCTTTCCGTGCTACCCTTGTCACCGTTGATCGCGGTGGGTGGTTCCAGCCCCAGTTCTTCAAGCAGTCCAATGCCTTCTACAAGGTACTTGAAATGTCCTTCGCATCATATGCTTTTCCTCTGATCATGCTCCTCGTAATAGGTCAACAAAGGGATTTCTTGGGTCGACAACGCGAAAGAGAAAGTTACGGGTCTTATGCCCGGTTTCCCTGTGGCGTACATTTTGGCCAAAGACATCGTCATCCGTATCACTCATGATAAGAGTGCTTCAAAGGACAGCAAGACGCATGATGCGAGTAACTCGGCCTCTTCTGGAGGCATTTTGTGTTTCTCGTACTCACAGAGTAACTCGAGCACCAACGACTCCTCATCGAGCAACTTCCAGGCATACTCCAATGGCTTTGTCGTCAAAATACCTGGTCCACAGGTTGGCATACCCTTTCACTGTATTTCGCGTTAGCTTGACTCGCTTTCTCTAGATTCTTGGGTATATCATGGAAAAGGTGGCTCCTGACGAGGGAGAGCTTATGCCGTCCAAGCTGCCCGAGGATTTCTTTATTCCTGATAAGCAATTCGAGGAAAAGAAGTTGAACCAAGAACACAAGCTCAAATCTTTGGCGGCGGGGTTGGAACAACCGAACGAGGAGCCATTGCTAACACGCGAACATCTGAAGGAGGTGTTGGACACGATGATGGAGGACAACATCGAGGAATTGTACGAGAAGTTAAGAAAGCCGGAGACGAAAGCAAGTACTTGAATGCGTATACACCATTGTCTGTCGGGCCGCCCGGTCCGGTCCTGCCATAATAAATGCGGTGCCGCTGTGACTCGAGTTGCGATAACTTTGTCTTCCGCCACCAACCACACGATTCCGAAACCAGTCCTACACGCCCAAATTCCTGTGGCATCCTTTTGCCATGACCAGCACAGAACTACGTGATGTAAACCAACGACTGAGGGACATCGACGATCAAATTGCCGGCACACTTGCCCACGTTGAACGTTTGCGAATCCAACGTCTCGATGTCCTCGTTGACTTCAACAGAGAGAGGTCACTCTTCAACCAACTGCCGCCGGAGCTAATTTGCGAGATATTCCGCTTTGCACTACCACCTCCAAACACTCTTCCCCATCCTCGCAGTGCTCCCATTCTCCTTACCCACGTTTGCAGACAGTGGCGCAATATTGCCGTCTCGTTTTCCGCACTGTGGAAAAACATAGTGGCTGCCGAAATCCTCCATTGCTACCACAAACCCCATTTGTTGGAAATGCTGGAGACTTTCTTGATTCGGGCTGAGAACACCCCGTTGTCCGTGTCTCTTGTCCAGAGTCACCCAACCCCAACTACCTCCTCCCCATCCATGTTTGACGGATCGCGAAGAACGCAGCTGTTCAGATTGCTGCGCCGCACATCTCCTCGTTGGCGTGAGTTTGAGATAGTAAGACCGTTGAGCGATCTGCCCCTTCTACTCCTCCGCGACGAGCCCTGGGACTTCCCTCAACTCAACAAGCTAACCATTTTGTTGACACAAGGGACGCGGCCAGAGCGGAATTCCGCGAATATAAACATGAAGTTGTCGAACCTCACCGAAGCGAAACAACTGCGAGAGGTACATCTCATCGGATTCGCACCCCGCACCCTTCTTCTCCCTTGGTGGCAACTCACCAAGATCCACATTGAAAATCTAAACCCCTCCGAAATCCTCGACACGCTCTCATGTGCAACGAGCGTTGTCGAGGCCACGTTTTCAGTTTGGCCTGCTGCTTTCTTCCATCTTCCTCGCTCTGCTGCAGAAGATATACTAACTGGCCGTCCTCGAGCCCTCAAATCACTAACTATCACTGGGGAAAACCACATCACGCCGCTCTTGGACCACCTGCTACTCTACCCATTCAAAAAATTCCACATCTCATTCGGCCCAGACAACGAATTCGCACCGCTCGTGCAGTTCATCACCTCGTTCCCCAACTTGACCGATGTTTCCATCGCGGTGGACGCTGCGGTGCCTCTCCCTGAGCTTGGAGTCTGTCTCGAGCAGATGACGAAAGTCCAGACCCTCGAACTGAGCATGCGTAACGGACTTAGCAATACTAATCTACCCCGCGCACTCGCGACCAACCCCGAGCTGCTCCCCGCTCTCAAATCACTCACCATCCGCGAGCACGTGGACAGATACCACGAGCCCGCGATCGACACTGCGGTCGTCGCTGAGATGCTGCGCGCGCGCTGGGAAGGTGGCAAGGGGCTCAGCGAGTTCGTGCTCGTGACGGATTACATGTTCTTCGACCAGGACAACTTGATGCCGTTTGTGGACCTTGCCAAGGCAGGAATGAAGATCCGAGTGCAGTCGCACGGAAGCGCCGGTGGGCCCTTCTTGTCGGTGCATTTAGATAGCACTTGGCTCAAGGCGTGATGAATAACTATACTATGTACTAAGCTACTGACAATGCTGTACTTATATTGTGTAAATACTGGGGCCACCTCATGAACTCCCACAACTTTGACTCGTACCTATGTAGTAATTTGCGATTGACTTCAATGGAGCAGGGCATGGCCAATGACCCATGAGAACCTTCAATTCAGAATGTGGTCCGAGTCGTTGATCCACTGACACCAGATACTTTCCTCCATCTGGTCATTAGGCTTAGGTTCGAAGCAAGACTCAAACTTGGCTACACTCGATGCATCACGAGTTTCCTGTGTCTACTCTGCTGTCAGAATTGGGGTGACCACCTACCGACAGATTACCTGCTCTTGAAGTACTTTCACTGGCACTCCTTCGGACTTGCACGATAGGAATGATGGAATGCTGAGCGAGCCTTCCGTCGATTGGGAAGACGACGACTCGGGAGATTCGGGTATTAGCGTTTCATCCTGCCAACTGGCAATTGCGGCCCGCAGAACTGCTGCCAAAAACTCTTCTTCACGCTGTGCAATTCGAATACTCTCGGCGGTATCACCTGTGGGCTGTTTTCGTGTTCGTTTGTGGGCCACTTGATTGTTTTCACGTTTTTTGGGAGTGTATTTGTAGCCGGGGTACTTCTCCAAGTGAATTCGCTTGACTTCCCGAGCGCGTTCAAAGTAGACGTCCCGCTGTTCTGGACTGAGGGCTCCCCATATTCTTCCGATCACCCGTGATTTGAGGCATTGAGAGGATTCTAGGTGACCTCGAGTTATCTGCAAGCATTGCGAGCTGTTGAGAGAAGCATGTTCCTCGTTGAATATTGTCCGAGTCGTGAACTTGAGCTTACCGGAAAAGAAAGAACGCGTTGCTTGGTCTCAATGGTTTATTTTGACGAGGTGGTGTCGTGGCCTGTTCCGTTATTTTACTGTTGGGCACGGAACGTTGTTGCTTTCGAGCTTTCGCATTCGCTGGCAAAGAGGTACGAGAACGCTAAATCTCACGGTCACACAAGCCCATGCGAGTCATCTGCGCCGACCCACAGACCTTGACTTCGCTGGGTGAGCAAACGCACGACTCGGTGATTCCTCGTCTCTGGCACCTGGCGCATGGGTTCCCCCCTACACAAGCTAGATGAGCTTTGCGACAAGGATCGCAGGCGCGATAGAAAACGCTATGAGATGCCTCCTCAGCCACGGCCAGCGGTGTCCTGAAGTAAGAATTTCGTCAATCGACTGTGGGAGATGGGAGACTGAAACAGGAAAAAAATTACATAGAAGACGAATCAATGCGGCAAAATATACTTGGTGGTTAGAGAGTGCTTTGGGCTATGGGGGAAAGGCGCAAACACCACAAACATGAAGTTCAAAGGCATTGGGTTCCGATCAGTCACGCATCACACCACCTGGCTTCAAAGTTCTTCAGTTTCGTTTCGTTTCGTTTGTCAAGTGAAAGAGTCGATGTTAACACCAGTCCAACAATGGCACTCTTACTGTATGTCTAACTGGATCAAGGGATTGTTAACTTGAGACTGTAGAATTTTCAAAACGAAGTCAAATAAACACATTGTTAACATTAAATACCACTACCAGAGGCCCAAATTAACACATAATAAGCACAAACAACAGGTTTGTGCTCGAAATTATAATGCCATAGATAAACTACTTTTGAAGCCCAACGCCATTCCATCTAATTCATCGTCCGGTTCCAGTTCAACATCCGTATCTTGAGAGGTCCTGTCGACATCCATATCATCATCGGGATCACTGTCATCCGACTCAGAAAGTGGGGGCAAGCTTCCCGAAAATAGGCTCCCATCGGACATCTCTGTGTCGCTGTCCGTAGGCGTCTTGCTTCGCTTTTGCTTCTTGCGCTTAGGTGTTTTGCTCGACGGGGCTTTCTTGCGTTTCAGCGGGGCCGAGGTTTTTGCTTTGCGTGTGGTTTTTTGCTTTGCCTTCGCACCAACATCGGGTTTCTCTTCATAGTCATCGTCCATAGCACGGACGAACTGTCGCTTGTCTTTCGTTCCCATGTAGTCCCAGTTGATGGTGCAAATCGGATGCTGCCCAGCGTCTTTCAGCACGTTGTCTGACGAAATCCCGGGTCGCTCTAAATCCACCGCAGTAGGAAAAACAGCCAAAACGCGGAGTAAAGGGAAACTGTGATCGTCAAGATTAATAGGGTGGGCTCGGTTGCTTTTTCGAGTGGACAAGGTTGGTGGGGAAAGGCTGGCTAGAGCCCTTGCCGTGGTCTCGCGGAGCTTGGGTTGGCTACTATAACAATAAGGGCGAAGCTCACCCTGTGTATATATGAATCAGCGGACAATCAATGAAGCTGTTTGGTCTATACCTCCTGAGTTTGCGACATCCAAAAGTGGGCCGGGGTTACAGTCGCGATAGCCTTTCGCGCCTTCTGGGCGATGTTCCTGGGCAGATCGTTTTGCTTGATCCCACCGGTATAATTTTTGCACTGGACTGCAACCCACAGGAACGTTTCGTCTTCGAACTGCAGCTTGCACAGAATGTCTGGGCCCATGTTCTTGTCGGGATAGCAGATGGGGGCTTGTAACGGGTCTTGATGCTGCATCCACTGGAGCGTCTCGTCAAGATTGCAGTTGTGGCCAAGATGTCCGCCAGGCACACGACCCCGTGACCAACTGACTTCGTGAACTGTGAGAGCCGCAGAAGGATCGTCTTGCTGTACAGTCACAAGACGCGCACGCTTGTTGGCCCATTTAGGTCGATATTTCTTGTGGAAGACGAAAACTTTGTCCAGTGGTATGAATTCGCCCAATGTATCAGCAAGAGCCAGGCCAACGTAGCTCTCAAAGCCGTTGTTATTGGCACCATCTTTATCCCCAACATCTAATTCCGTATGACTGACGAGAAGTTGGCCAGGAGAGATGGGATTGATGCGCCGCTGATTGCAAGTCACCTCCATGCGTGACATTGCCGAAAGAATTATGAGGGGTTCGTATATTCGGGAAGTTGAACACTTCCCATCCCGGAAGCGGGCGAATCCGTACTCGACGAATTTGCGGGCGAACTTGGACATAGTGGTATTGATTTGGGAACGGATGAATGAATGGTGGACGGCTCTGGTGAAGAGGGTTAGCATTTCAGAATCTTCAAGCCCAGTTAGTAAACAAATTGTAATAGGCCAGAGTGCGTACTGGTTTCAATTCGGTTGTATTGTAACTGATTTAGCATCCTGTTTGTGGCTTCCGGATCAGCTGGAAGGAAGTTTCGGATCGTAGGGCCATCAGTTGGGGTGAAGTTTGTTTGAAAATGGATCCAGGTGTCGAGGAGCAATTGGGGGTTCTGTCCCCCATTCCGTAAGAAATATAGCAAAAATGCCGCGGTAGTGCGATAGCTATGAGACCAGGAAGACTCCATCAATTGCACATTCAATGTCCACAAAAAATCCACTCACCGACCAGCAAGCCATTTCGTCATTCGCTGCACAAAATGCTCTCCATCTCGCGTTCTCATCAGGTCTGGGGGCATGAACCGGGTGATGTATGCCTTGTGCATCGCCTTGTCCTCGTAAAAGCCGCCAGTATCCGATCGCAAATCACCTTCAACATCGGCTTTCAACAAAATAGACCCCAGTGCATCTTGTATCAGCTCAATGTCAAGGCCTGTTCCAGTAATAACGGCACCATGCTCATCTAGACTCAAATTTCGGAGAATCGCGATCAATTCCCGGAGAAGTGGGCGGAGGTCGAAGTTGCCTTGGGGGTTTGGCCGCGCAGAAGCGAATGCGCGGTCGAGTATACGTGCGGCGAGTTGGGCCTCATCGACCACGAAGTAAAACCTGTCCGGTTTAGGATTTATTTTCGCTTCGGAAGCATCCCGTTCATAATGTTTCGAGATGAATTCCCGGGTCTCGATGGAGAGCCTATTGTAGATGACATTGCAGTCGGCCCCCGTCATGGCTGAACGTTGCTTCCTCACCGTTTCATCCAGAGTCGGAGAATCAAGGATCGAGGCAAGAGAGCGGAAGATATCGAGCGTGCCTTCAAGGAAATCAGGGTGAGCTTGTAGTAGTGTCCAGCGCTTTTTATCAGCTCTGGTTATGGGGCGACCTGTTGCCACAATGGCAGTGAGGAAAAGTTTGAAGATGAGGAATCGGGCGAGAATGACATGATAAAATGAGTCGTCCACAAGTTCACGATTATCATCTAGTTTTGTTGTATATGTTTCATCCGACCGAGGGGGGAGAACAGGCGTAAAGGTTTTCTTGGTACGTAGTCGCCTTTCGATATCGTTCATGTCGCCTGAGCCAATGTCAAGACTTTTATCTTTGAAGCACAGATAGAAGCCCCATTCGAGGCATAACGCCTCCAGACTATGTCGAGTCTTCCCCGTCCCCGATGCATTGATAAGACAGCTTGGAGTAATGAGTACTGCTGATTGAGGACATCGCGGGTAGTGCTTACGTGGTTGCCTTGGGGCGGAAGATATTCTCGATTCGCGATTTCATGTCAGGATCATGCCCATAGTCTCCAAGTTCATGAAATAGGAAGTTTGGTCCATTTGGAACACTGGGGATTTTCAAGTCTCGGAAAAACTGGAACTGCTCTTGTGGCAGAGTAGTATCTGGTACCCATGCAGGAATTTCCCAGTCAGGAGCGACGAAGCGACACATGGATTCGAAGTTTTGGTCTAACAGATCGGTGGCTTGCTTGGGCAGGCCGAGCTGCCATGCGGCCGAGTTCAGAGCCATGAGGATAGTTGCCCAAAAGTCAGGAGTTGCTCGATGAGCTTGCGAGTATGGGCAGGAAGCTGGGGTAAATTGTCAGTCATGGACTACGACATCGGTTTATAAGGACTTGCAATGGAGACCAGAGTACAATAGAGCAAACAAGGTCGCGAAGAGGATTTGTAGCCTCGTCGCGATTGGTCGCTAAAGATAGCGTTCATTGTTAGAGCCATCGAAAAGTCGAGCAACATTCCTAAGAGAAGCTGGTGAATGTCACGGCGAATCCCAATTTGAGCAGCAGTGCCAACCATTACAACAAGACGCGATATCCATCTTCAGAAAGTTGTCAGCCACCTCAAGTTGCCTATTCAGTGTCGTCTTCCATCAGAATTGTGGGTTCCAAGTTTGAAGTCGCCGCGTCACATAAACAGTCACATTTGACAACCATGACAGAGTCCATTGTCGACGATATCGGGCCACGACTACTGGAAAACGAGAGCCAACTTGCATCCCTGGTTGCTGCCTACTCTGCAATTGAGAACCTCGACGTCGCTGCCGAATTCCTGTCGGTGGTCCTTGCGGCTTCTTACTTGAAGGCCCAGAAACCAATTGATGAAGACCTCACGCAGGTCTCTGCGTGTAAGGAATTCTTATTGCAACGCCCAAAGCTATATCAACTACTGAAACAGGCCCGTCAGACGGGGGCAACCAGTTTAATCGACCTTGTGGACTACGGTAGATATCATTTCCACCGTGTCGACTATCCTACTCACCACCTCTTCTGTAGCGTTTCTCCCCCCTTTCATTCCGTCCGCCGGCTACGACTACTTGGCTAAAATCAGACCGAGGATGCAAGACCTGGCTATGACTGGAGCTATCTTCGAACCCTGGACAGCTGCGGGTGTATACGAAGAAACGGAGATCAACGAATTCCTCGCGTCTCTTAATATACCTCAGCCATACCACAGTCCATTGAATGCATGCATGATTCTCTATCATCTAGGAGAGTTGGCGAATAGTGCACGGGTTTCTGGTATATTTTCTGGAAAGAACACGTACGAGTCGGTTCCAAACCTCGACCCCTGCTAATTTTCCGTAGATTTCTTGTCAATGGCTCTGGTACAGGCAAAACTCGCATCTGCTACGAGGGATTGTGCTCTCACTGGGGCTTCTATTTCACCTTCAAGATGGATAGCGGTGAATTGGGTTCATTCGATATCGAGCACCTGCTGCGTCGGTTCAAGAGCGATGTTGTATCTTCTCGAGAGAAAACCGCGGAAAATGTTGAGAAGATCACTCATATCTTTGGGTCCATATTGATGGCGCGATTGACCATATTTTTGCTCTTTCTCGAGACAGTGCAAGAGTTGGGCTTGAATGACGACCACAAGAAGCAATGGCTCCTTCTACAGCTCAATCCACGTAATTTGAGTCAGTACACCATCGATGCTTTCAGCGAACTGGCTCGTATGATCCAAGTTGGAAACACGACGAACGAATCTCTTCGTCGCGATATACGTGATGCTTTGCGAAAGATTCAACGAGTCCTCGGAGGCAACCAAAAACTCGTGATTGTATTGGACGAAGCGCAGCAAGGATTGGAATTCCTAAGCTATATTTTTCGCGACAAGGAAAAAGTGCTCCATATCGTCATCAAATCGCTACAGCACTTGACGAATGATCAGTGCACGATTATTTGCTCTGGAATCAACTTGCCTCAATCGGAATTCGTGGACACGATTGGGAGCGACTTCATCTGGACTTCTGATACTGGGGCCTTCGATGATCCTGCTCAACAGGAGAGTTATGTCCGCAAACTCTTGCCCCCGACATTCCGCGACTCTCCTTCCGGTCAATTTCTCGTCGCTCGCATTTGGCGATGGCTACGTGGAAGGTTCTTGCTGTGCTGTCGATTTTACCTCGCTCAACTGAATTTCTAGGCACCGATTTACTTCAGCCTTTATGGGTGTTCTACTTATGGAAGGCCTTCACTACCCGCATAACCGCCTGAACGACATGCTCCATGCCTTACTAGGTATTAAACCCGTAGACGCAGCTCTATATTCGCGCGCCGAAGGGGTTCATCCTCAACTTTGGCAGCACAGCCTCGCCGGATTCAATGTAAATACAATTTCCGACGGTATGTGCTATCGTGGTGAGAAGAAGTGGCTGCGACTAACTTAGTCCTTTAGAGACACGTGGTCTATTCTTCGACATTCTCCTGCGCTACATGGTCACTCGAGATGGTGCCTATACCTTTGAAAGCGGTCAAACCAAGTTTGTTTATGATGGCTGGGCACGCTTTGTCGATGATAATCTGATGCAGATTGTACTCGACGAACCCCTTGCGCTTCTCAAGATTGCACGACATCTGTTGCCCTTCCCCGAAACAGACGGGTTGAAATCGTATCATCCAGCGACTTTTATTCGCAGTTTACGAACAAATGTTCCACGAACGACGGAGGGCCTGGTGCATTGCATTGTCTTGTACTTGTCCGAGGTGTTCAAACCACACCGTCCACTGAACAAGATCTTCTCTTTCCCCTCTGAACCACCATCTTGGACAGACCAGCCAGCTTCACTCGTCCGTTTCCACCGTCTCGACACCAACGAGATTACACACTCGACAACCGCACCATACGATTTCGAGTCGTTCCGACCGCTCGCTGCGCGGACCACGTCTTTAGATCAAACGCTTCAGTGGATGGAACATGCTGGCCAGGAAGAGCCACCATTCTGTCTTCCAACCCACTCACCAAATGTCGATCTATTCTGTGCTCTCAAGCTCGCCGACGGATCATTGGTTTGGGTTGCACTCAAAGCTTTCGCAACGGCGGAGTCTATCGATTCAGACGATCAACTCGAAATGGCCTTCGCAAAGCTGGAGCATAATCATATTTTCGGGGTATGTACGATTACTTTCCGTTTTTTGTTTTCTCCCTGATGTCACTGTAGGATGTTGATGAAACGACCCGATCGCGCATCGACCTGGCCATAGACTCGCTGCCGAAATTCAGTAGCGATAGATTTCTGCGGGTCGTGTCTTCTTTTCCCCTTTGAGATCGAGGATCTGGAGGAATTTCTCCCTGAGGACACATTTGACGCAGCAACTCTCAGTTTCGCAGCACTGGAGACCAAGAAAGACCAAGTGTTACAAACCGAGCTGTTTGATGCAATGATTGCTGGGGTGCTTGCTGGCCATACAGGCAAGTCGCGATGGGAATCGGACGATGGAGCTCTGCATACTGCCACCCACCGCATCAGACAGCTTGTGCCGGAGGAGGCAGCGATTCACCAGGCAGTGCCGACAGCGACTTGGGATGGGCGGATGTCATCTGAGGAACCGTTAGTGGTTAAGCCGAAGCGAGTCAGGAACAATAGACCGACAGCAAGCAAGTCGGCAGCAAAACCGCGAACGACAAGGAAGACCGTGAGACGTGCCAAACAGCTAGACGACGACGACGACGACGGCCCTGTTGCTGAAAGCAGCAAAAGCAAAAGAAAATCGACTGTGGCAAAGAAGGTTCCTTCAAGTCGGCCGCAATCCGCGCTTCCTGCTGCAAAAAAGAACGAAGGCAAGGCTGGCGTACGTTCTGACAGCCCTGACGATGAACCAAATGGGGGCCGTAGCCTGGCTCTCAAGAAAAGGAAGAGACAGAGTGATATCGATGCGACAGAGGTAGCTCAACCAGCGGAGACCGACAAGCCGCCTGCAGGTAATACGCGAAGTAAGACGCGTGCGGAGGCCAAGAGGACGCGGAAGGGATGAACTCATTGTTGTACTCTACTGCACTGATACTGGTGTTGGAACTTGGAGAAGAGCGGGAAATTTTCGTCCGAGCGGGAACCTTCGCGACGCGTAAACACTTGCAGGCTACTTTCTATTGCTTGAACCTCTCCAATCTCAGAATGTATTGCCCTTCTTTGGATGACGGGTGTTCTGCGAGTTGCGGCGAATATCTGTCGAAGAAAACTGTTTGCTACAGCTAGAAGCTGTAGAGAAAACTGAAAATACAAAAAGTTTCGAGTATCAAGCCTTCAATACAATTACGTTCTGGTAGCAGCCTGACAATACTCAAGTTCATCGACTTCAACGACTACAACAGAAATATCATCCCGCCATCGATCCATAAGAACCCCAGCCATCTTCACATTGTCGTCACCAAACAAGACATTCCGTATCAATAGCTCAGCCTTGTTAACTTCTGCACCTGCTGGTGGTTTGAAACACCTGTGGCCAAGTCGCTCGTCGTCCACGCCGATGAGGAGGGGCATAATTGCCTCCCAGCAATCCCTTGAATCGGGCCACGCAAGTGAGTCCGCTAGACCATCAGAGGCGAAAACGACAATGTCGCCGGGCATCAGGTCGAATTTACGAACGGAGGGAATGCATGAGATATATGGCGGAGTGATGTTGCCGTTTTCAGCCCATTTCCTGAACAGAAACCGTGGAATCGGGCACGGTACATAGGAGGCCAATATTTTTGATGCTAATGGAATTTCGACTTTGAACATGTGGTCCCCAAGAGCTAACAGAAGTCTCGGCTTTGAAAACAACGCAAGCAGGTGGGAAATCACCTCGAGTTATTCGGAGCCCGCCGAGGGTACCGCCATGAACCACTAGATCCTTCTCGCCTGGGTGTTCTCGTTCAATTTTGGCAACTTCTTCCTCGTTTTTGCAGTTGTGATATTCGTTCATGATCAAGGGCACCATCTTCCCTCGCTGCATCCGACCGCGAACTGGGTTGCTATTTTTTGATCGTGGTCGGAAAGAGCTAGAAAATGCTTACTAGCGCAAGAATCGCCCAGAGATACAACCCAAATAGATTGCTTTGCCTTGTCGATGATACCCAAGAGAACAGTGGTGCCGACAACCGTCGGCCGACCAGAGGAAAAGTCGGGGTCGCGGTCTATGACTTTGTACACATTGTCGAAGTTGTCCCATTTTGAATCCATCCAGCTTCGGCCAGGGAACAGCTTCGTGACACAGCCCAGTAAGTAGTCGTCAAAGTACTGAAAGGTGTCGATGATTCTTTCTTCGAGATCCTGCGCGGTGGGGTCGAAAATCTCAACGATTAGTTGAAGGAAATATTTGGAGGCATAGTACGCCAATTCGTCGCCGAGATGGCCTAAAAGACTGCTTGAGAAAGTGCAAATCTTGAACTCAAGGGCTGACACACCGTCGAAGATTGCAATGATCGTGCCATGCTCAAAGGGCAATACCACAGTGCGGTCCTGGTCTTTGGTCGGCAAGCAATCCTGGTGTATGCCTGGCTGGACGGTCTTCGACATGGAGGTGATATTCTGAGAGTCAACTATTGCCACGACCACGACCATGTGACCGCATACTGATGGTCGTCCTAGCCCCGTGTTGAGTGTCGTCTAGCTCAGTTAGCGGATGGCACTTTCTAGATACGAGTCAGTATATCTTCTCTCGATCGTATTCGATTCACAAGCCTTGATAGCACGAGGATGATTTAGACGCTCAAAGAACTTCACGAAGACCGGCTTGAGGCGGTGAATTTAACACTGGTATGGCTGATGAATAGAGTCAATAAGTGTGTTTCGCGCTTTGTTGAAGCAGCCCAAACCCTAAAAGGGTACAACCATATGGATCATCTCTCATGCAGGTCGCGCCGCTTTGTTGAGACTTGAGAGGATCTGGATAACATGCATACCGTGACATGCACAGTGACACTACAGTGACCGTATGTAATGTCACTGATTGATTCACAGTTCTGTCACAACACATACGCCCAGGAACTTAGAGAGGGTCTCATACTATAGCTAATTAGCTAGATATCCGGTTCACTTATGACATGCTTTTTTGAACCTCCCACAAGTGACAACTCGTTCACTGCTCGACGCGTAAGTCTCCGTCATTTTCAATGGGCATTATACCTGAGACTAGTAGTGATGTCAAATCGATACATACGGTAGAAAATGCAAAGATGGATAGGCTAGGCAGCGGTGGTCCGAGTCGAAAAAAATCAGAGGCCCTGCGCTTGCTGGATAGTTGGTAATCCAGAGCCGCGACGCCCGATACAACTGACCAAACATTCTTAGTAAGTAAGTAATTACACACTTGTTCAGCGGTGGGACAGAGTTGACGCACTTGGAAAGTAGCGGCTCTGGGTATATAAGCGCAAGCATAGAATGACAGCTGGAACAATCACATTAATGACTCTCCCTCACGGCGTCGGGTTTGTTGGACTTTCAGCATCAGGTTGGGCAAGCACGGCACTTGCCCCTGCGATCTTCGGTCCCGCGCTCTCGTCTACCTATCGACTTGTCGCTGTCTCCACTTCCTCCGAGGCATCTGCCGCCCGCTCTGCTGCCAAACATTCGACAGAGACAAACGCCGTGCATGCTTACTCGGGTGAAACAACTGCCATTGCGCGTGATCCCCAAGTCGACCTCGTAGCTGTGTCCGTCAAGGCGCCATACCATCACCCAGCTCTGTTGCCAGTCATTGCCGCCAAGAAAAAATTCTTTGTTGAATGGCCCGCAGGAAAGAACCTCACTGAGACGAAAGAGTTGGCTCGGCTGGCGAAAGAGCAAGGACTGAAGAATATGGTCGGCTTCCAAGGAAGATTCTCGCCCACAATAATCAAGGCAAGCGGAAGATGGAACCAGGTATTCTTCAATGAGATACCGTTTTAGATGCGTCAGATCGTTCATTCCGGAACCATCGGCAAAGTCTTGTCCACTAGCATTGTGAGTGATCTTATGGACCTTCATTGGCTCGACACTTGAAACTTAGGCGCCTAGATTGCCCTGGCTCCTAGGGAGATGGGGTTTTGGGGACCGAGCATCAAAGAAGGAAGTGAATATATTCTCGACAAAGACCAAGGCGGGTGATAACCAAAGACAGATCGCTCTTGCTTAACTTGAAATCAGGTGTCACAATGCTCGACATTGGTGTTGGCCACCAGCTTGATGCGCTAACCCACATTCTGGGCGACTTCGCGAATGTGAGCGCAACGACAGCAATAGCATATTCTACCTCGACGACGATCTCCAGTGCGCGGAAGACTGCGGTTACTGCTGATGATCATGTGGCACTTTCTGGTATCCTCAAGTCTGGTGCGGTGGCCAGCGTCATTTGGCGGGGCGGTTACCCCTCAACACCAGGCCGGCTCCAGTTCGTCTGGATAATCGATGGTGAGGAGGGCAGTCTTCGTGTCGAGTCAGAGAGCGTCGGTGGTGCATTCCTCAATGTACAGGACCCGAAACTCCTCCTCAATGGACAAGAAGTGCAATTGGAGAGTGGCGGGCTTGGGGAGTATGTCACAGCCGCTTGGTCAAATTTCGCAGAGTCCGACACCGCCGTGGAGAGGACCTATGCGACCATGGAAGACGCGGTTCGAATCAAGACTTTGCTTGTTGCGATCGACAAGAGTGCGCGAGATGGCGTGAGGGTGGAATTTTGAGATAGTGGAATTTTAAGATAGTGGAATTTTGAAGGATGATCCATTCTTGCTTCATAATGTATGGGAGTAGCCCGACAGTCCCCTCTAAATCGCTTCATGGGTGAACTAGTCAATGAGAGCGAGCGAGTGGGGGGAAAAGCAGGAAAATGAATATGTTACCGTGACAGTCAGTTCAATTCGGTTCAATTTCGTCCATCATCTATGCCCCCTGCAGCTATTTCACAGTCCTATACCAACACTACCGATCCCTCGCTCTCCGTCTCTTCTACCAACATCCACTGGAATGGTCCCCAAATGCTAGTCAACCCACTCAACAATGGCATCCAGCCTCATGTCCCGCATTGGATCATCGTTCTTCTCTGTCTGCTCATGGTTGTCATCATTCTTGTTACCGTAATCAAAGCTGCTCGCACTGGCGGTCACCTCATTACCCACCCCAAGGTGTGTTGTCGCGTCTTTCCGGCCGCTTTCTCACCTCGCCCAGTCATACACCCACCGGAAACGCCGTCGCGTCGCGTCGATGTTCAAGGACCTCAGATCCATCTGGCCGCGTGCACCCTCAGACACTGTCTTGGCTCATTCTGGTCAATATGCGTATCCGAAGGAGAAAAACTACAACCAGAGATATCACGATGCCTCGCCGGTACCCGACATGGATGCTGCTCTTTCCCACCTCACCCAATCAAACACACTCAAGAACCAACGCCGTGTTGTTGCTGCTGTCGCTCAGGGTCTCCGCCAAAACAACTATGACGAAGAATACTGCGGTCGTGCCAAATCGAACGATGCTACTCTTCCGCCTATGCTCCGTCCCCCTGGTGCTCGCTGGTGAGGGTGCTATTATCATGAGGGAGAAATTCGTCTGTTGGTCAACAAGTGTATTTTCTGGGAATAATTCTATCCGAGTGCATGTACTGCTCAGTCTTCAATCAGCGTTTGCCGAACGCCTGGAGTCCGCAATTAGCCTAGGTATCGAGGTCTAAATACGAAACAGAGTGACACGTCAACATGCCTGAGGAAACTTGAACCGAACAAATAACATCGTCAACTGCATATCCGCTGAGCTACACTGATAGCGAGGCGGCTGCTGTTCGCTCGGTCTTCGCATTGGGCCCGTATTATAAGCACCAGACGAAATGTTCTTCGCTCTCCCAATTGCTCATGGGAGCATACGATTTAGTCGTTGGTGTGTATGCACTCGTATCAATCCTACTTTTTTTTTACTGCCGCAGGTGTCCTGCTTCTAGGACTGTTCTGTTCGTGTCAATGAGGGCTTCAAAGACTGGGTACTGAAAAAGTGTTGCAGTCAACACCTATCTATACGGCATTTGCACCTACCAGTTCGCAACCTACGTCCATTCCAGTGAGGCTGTCTCTTGTGCGCCTTACCCTCCGAAAGCTTATAACTATGGCGGCTTATAGAATTCAGAGACTCGTTGTGGATTAGGTGTGTGGCCGGAACTTTGTGGGAACCACACTCACATGACACCCACAACAACAGATGGGTCGTCAGCGTGCTTTTCTCGTTGGACACGGTCCACAGCGCAGTGCAAGCCATTCACCTGTCGCAGTCTTAGCTGGATTGACGCATTCGTAGAGCGGTTTATGTGGCTTGGGATACCTGGTGTGTTCCTTCTTCGTCACGGTGAGGGTCAACGAAACGAACCCCACAGTGTCACCAACTTTGCTAATCCGACGAGCCTTGAATGTCCGTCTGAATCAACCTATTTGAATCTATCTCAACATACGACTTAGACGTTAGATGGACAGTCCCGTTCACCGTTATCGCGACATCGTTGACTGCCGTCACGACCCAAATATTCCTGGGTCATCGGTAACTGTTGCTATTAAAATCGCAAAACCCTATTGATGAGCTTGGGCAGTGTCTGGTTGCTGACGGACAACAGAGTACTTTTCGTTCTCATCGGCACGCTCTCAATGCTCGCTTTCGTCTTTGGGTGTATCGCAGGCATTATGATCGGGACGGTCAAAGAGTGAGTGTTTTGTTCCAGTCGGAATGATGAATGCTTATGTGAAGGGTAACCAAGCTCGCGCCGCTGGTGCCCTATGTCACTGCATGGCTCGGTGGGCGCCGTTTTCGTTGTCGAGGCTATATTGATGACGGGAATAGCGCTCCAAACAAGCACGAACCTGGTTATCACCTGTAAGACGGTTTTAGTGCCGAACAACCAACTAACAGATGTAGTCTTCTTGACGAATGCGTTGAGGCACTCCAGGACCGGGTTTCGCACGACAGACACCATTATTAATCGGCTCATCGCTGGCGCACTGCGGACGGGGCTCTTTGCGTCGATGCTGGCGCTTGCTAACTTGTTTTCGTTCTTGCTGCATCGAAACACAAACCTTTACGCCATGTTTGCCTACCCAATGGGCCGTGTCTATACCAATGTAAGCGGATAAAAGAGTGAGCTCAACAAGTTGATTGCACTGCAGACTCTTCTCAATACCCTCAACTGCCGAGCCACAATGAAGGTGAATGATATGATCGTCGATTCTGATGTAATCAGCCCAAGTTTTCGTGTCCTACCACTGCTAAAGTCAGGTTAGAACTTGCGGTTGTCACAGCCAGCTCTCTCGCAAGTAGCGAATTCGATATATGTGCGGAAGGAGGTGGTGACAGACTCGCTTGATATCATGAATGAAGAGCCAGAGTCCAAGGAGGTCGTAGAAGATAATTTCCGTGTTTGAGGTTGTTGTTTTCTCTAGAAAAGACTCAAGTATTGGACGTCGGACATTCTGGAGTCTGAGGGACTCTGTTAGACTCTGTTCTGTTGCCAGTGTTGGTGCCTATTTTTGTTGTGAGCAAGTGGCGTCACCGTGACTGACAGCCAACATCAATCCTTCTGTTTTCTTGGCCCTCTCCGCCACCCACCGACCTGAACGACCACGACGGCTGGCCTACCCGATGGGCATCAAATTCGGCTCGTTCAACTCCATCTGCGAAACTGCGGCGCTCGTTATATGCCCACTCGTTGGCACCGACCAAGGCATTGAGCCCTCATGTTACAGCCGCAATGTCGATGTTGGCGGAACCCTCATATTCCAGCCTTGTGAGTTGAGCCACTTTCGTCTCACATAGGCTGATATTGCCAGCGACTTGTGTGGTCCACATTGCTGCGATAATAATGACCATTATAATGATCCTACATGTCCGGAGTAAATATACGGCAGTCGGTGCGTCGTTTTCCTTTACAATATTCTTCTACTCAAAGCGGGATAGGTCGCAAGGAAATCGTCACCTTCTTTTGGATGTATACTGTCGCTGAGCTCCTTGCGATATTCCTCGATTCGGGCATCATACCCACATCAAATGCCGTCTATACGGTGCGTCTGCAGTCTGGGCACCTTGCTCACTATTCAACCAACAACAGTGGTTTGCGGCAATATATACTGGCCTGGTGGCAGCGACCTACGCTTGTTTGCTCATCAATGGCTTCGTTGGCTTCCAGTTTGCCGAGGATGGCACACCCTTGTCATTATGGGTGCGTTTTTAAGCGGCGTACAACCAATTCTTATTCTCACGCAGGGTCTTCGTATATCCTGCCTGGTGGTATTCGCCGTCAGCTTCTTTGTAGCCGCCGCAACCTTCAAGAAGTTTGCTGGCTTTGATTATACCAAACCCATCGGTCTTTGGATCATCTACATCCTTTGGCCCTTGCTGTGCACGGTCATCTACATTGTCTCCCAACTTCTGCTCGTTTTCCGTACCCTCGACGACCGTTGGCCGATTGGTGATATCGTCTTTGGTACGGCCTTCTTCGCAGCCGCCCAAGTACTTCTTTTCGGATTCAGCATTACCATTTGCAACGCGATCAAGCACTACATCGATGGCCTTTTCTTCTTCACGTTATGCATGCTCCTCAGCGTGATGATGGTGTACAAGTACTGGGACTCGATCACGCGAGAAGACTTAGAGTTCTCTGTCGGGTCCAAAGCAACTGTCTGGGAGATCAAGGACCCCCTGCTCGCTGGAGGCGGGCCGGAACCGTATGGGTCTGGGCCGGGAGGGTCTTTCCCTGGCACAAATCACTACAACTACTCCGAAGAAGACACTGCCAGCAACTTCAATGGAGGGGCTCCGGCGAGTCTGGTTGGCGGAGTTAGTGGCGGGCAGTTGTATGGACAGGGTGGAAGTGGTTATCCATACCCCCAGCGTGGGCGTGGGTACCCACCAAATTCTGAGCGAGGTTATTAGTAGTGACGGACAGCTTTATGATATCTTGTTTTCCCCTTTCCTTTAATACCATCACGACAAAACAAAGAGGCAGAGGAATAATTTCAAAGGATAGTGGTACAGCACACAGGAAGAATAAGTGACAAGAGCTACTGCATTGCAAATCCTCGTTGGGCTTGGGATTGGGATTGACTTGGAGGTTGAGACTGCGTCGATTGCTGCTGCTGGGGTGTGCCATTGGTTACTGGAACAAGCCCTGGCCCTTGGACAAACGCGGGGACGTTTTTCTCCTCGAGGTCGACGTACAAGACATTCATCTCCTTGTGTTCCTTCGCCCACGCTTCAGGGTCCCAGATGGTGTAGAGTCCCGCTTCACCACCATGAATTTTTGTGCTCGGTGCAGTGCCAGATTCCTTGGTTATCCACAGACGAAGGTCCTTGTGGTAGCGCCAATTGCGATTCCATCTTTGAAAATCGTGGTTAATTCACGGGAGAGAAAACGGAAAATGACAGACAGTTCTTGGGCCGCGACCTCCTGGAGCGCGTCGCGGGCACTTGCGTAGAACATGAAGAATAGCGTCTCGTCGCTGAATGCGCTCGCTTTGGCCGGGCCAGGGGGTGGCGCATGGACGTTGGCGTAGCAAGCAGGGAGATTGAAATCGGGTTCAACACCCAATGCGGCATTTTGGTCCGCCCAAGGGGTGACGAAGGTCGAATATAGAGTTCCCGCGTAGCCCATATCAAGTCCCATCGTGCTCAGGTCTGTTCCTACTCCGCCTAACCGTACACTTCCTAGTCGACCCCTTCCATCAAGATGGTCGGGGTCTGAAGCTTCCCGGATCATTGCTAGCAGCGCCAGTAGTCCCCATCTGTCTGCAGCTGAGACAAGGACTTGTTGGGCCGGCGTTTGGGGATGGCCGTGACCATTTTCTGTATATGTCGTTCCGTTTGGATTCGCGTTTGATGTCGAGGCGGATGAAGGCCACGCAGGCGTACTGGGTGCTGGTGCTGGCTGAGAATTTTGCTGTGGAGCAGGTTTGGACGCAGTATAAGGTGTAGAGGATGGATTTGGATGCTACTTGGGAATGAGCGGGAAAAAAGGTTAATCTGAAAGAGAACGCACCCTCTTGTCCTCAAACGGCCTCCCCGCCATCATGCCCATCCCACTTATATTCAACATTCCTGGTATCGCATTGGCATTGTTTCCTGGAAATAGCCCTGGAGGAGCGCCATTATTGGTACTTGGCGCCGTTGTCGTTGTTGATGTGCTCGAGCTCTCCCCACTGCCACCCAGTGCCGGAAAGTCGTCTTGAGTGAGGTCTCTTGGCGGATGGGAATGAGTGCCGCTGGCTGGTTGTGGGACCGACCCAGCCGAAGCATAACTCGAAGATGATGTGCTTTGTTGTTGCTGTGTTGTCGAGCTCGGAGGGTTCGCGGGCGACGATTGGGCAGCTCCTAATGCGGGAAAATCGTTCGGGTCGAGGGCGGCGTCATTGGTGGTCGTAGCCGTTAACGAATGCTGTTGTTGTTGCTGGAGATGTGGTGGTAGGCCACCAAGTCCAAACGGGAAGCTTCCTGGCGTTGTCCCATTTGGATTTGTCGTCCCATTTGTCGCTCGGGGAAGAAACGGTGTACCTAGAGGCACTCGCTGGGGGATGTAGCCAGTCCCTGGTATGACCGTTCTTGGTGGAATTCCATAAGGAGCGTAAGCTGCTGTATTGGAGCCGGAATTTGGAGGGGCAGTTTGCTGTTGTGGACTGGGTCGGTATGTTGCCTGTTGGGCAGTTGGAGGGCGTTGTGCGGGTCGATTCATGAGCAACGAAAGAATAGTCGGTCACACGCAATCACGACGTCAGTCCAACTTGAACTTGCTCACAACAACTTGCTTTCAGCTTCCTCCAGTGTGGCTACAATCTCTGTAAAATCCTGAATATCCGCGATCTCTTTAGCCGTTTTAGGGATGTCTCCCGACAAGGCCAGAATGTCCGCCCCAGCAGAAAGCATTCTTTGAACCATCACAATGTCACCACTTTCGACAGCAGCGGTGAGGGCTGTTTTACCCTTGTGGTATGACCCGGGTGCGTTCACGTCTGCCCCATTGTCCAATAACAACTCTACAATCTCCATCCTACTGCTTCCTTGCAACGCGGCCCCTTGTAAAGCAGTCATTCCTTTGTACTTGGCCGCCGGCGCATTGACGTTCGCTCCCGCTTCAAGCAGCAGGAACCTGACCATCTCGGTATGTCCATTCTCCGAGGCAGCTTGCAGCGCTGTCCGCCCTCCATATCGTCCGGGAGGGTCGTTAACATCGACGCCAGCCATATTCAAAACCTCTTTTGCCAATTCAAGGTTTCCAATCTCAGCCGCACCCTGGATGACTGACCTCCCACCGTACTTTGCGGGCGGGACAGTTACATCCGAGCCCGCTTTGACCAACTCTCGAACCACTTGTGTCCACCCACCGGTCGCGGCCGCCTGAACCGCCGTCTTCCCGCCGTTGTTTCCGCCAGGTGCATTCGGATTGGCACCCGCTCCTAGTAGCTTTCGCACGATACCAATATGTCCAGCAGAGCTTGCAGCTTGGAGGGCCGTTCGACCATAATATCCACGAGCTGGGGCGTTGACGTCGATTTCTGGAGAGTTGAGTAATTGATCGACAAGCGCAAGATCGCCTTTGAGAGCAGCGAATTGGAGTGGTGTCCATACGTCGTTGTCGTCCTCGAGCTCTTCCTCGAGTGTGGATGGTGCAAAAGGGTTATTGTTTTGGGTGGGGAGGAGTCGGGACATGGTGACGAACAACCTATGATCTTGCTACGATGTTGATGTTGATATCACGACTTGTAACCAGAATAAAGCTGGTAAACGGCACGTATAAGATGAGGTATAAACATCGAAAAGGTAAGTGTTCGGAGGGGGGTGGGTGTGCATACATAAGGCAGACACAAAGACAGTGGGAGGTAGCTCGTGACGATAATAAGAAGATACAGACAACACAACCACAAACCCGCCCGAAAGGAAACGTTGCGGGTCGTTGTAGTTTACTCGTTGGCCACTTTGAGGACTCTGGGTACGGCATGTCCCGCGTCGTCTTCCTCGTCACGATATTCATGACCAACATGGCCATGCTCGCTCTCAACTCCGCCATATGCACTAGCTTCTTCCTCGACAATATGCGGACTCTGCTGGTATTGAGCGACATAGCCGTCTGCGTATTGAGGCATAGCGTGCGTGTTGGTCTTTGCTGAGTCGACAGGGGGGGTGTTGTATGAATCGACCAGACTGCGAGCACCGCCAGCGCTCTTGTTTCTAGCGAGGGCTCCAGAATCGGAAGATATAGCAGTAGCACTGCCACTAGCGGCACTAGGGACTGGTGGGTATCCTGCATGGGCCTGCTGTTCGTCTCCTGGGTAGACATACGCCTGTTGCGCGTGACCTCCCCAATCCTGTTGTTGTTGGGGAGCACCGTAACCAGGCATTTGACCGCCGTGACCAGTCGCATAGCCCGTCATTTCATAAGCGCCATATCCAGCAGCCCCAGCGCCATAAGCACCAGCCGCATTGTATTGAGCTTCCATGGGTTGCTGAGCGTATGTTCCGTGACTGCTTACATCCGAAAAGCCGAGGTCAGAATAGCCTGACGGGTACATGTAATTGCTCGGCGTGCCTTCGCCAGACGCTGGGTAGCCGTCGGCGTGTTGAGAATGAGATTGAGGTGCAGCATGACCATAGGCATCGGCAGCGCCGCCAGCGCCATAGGCACTGTACCCATGATCATTGTAGTCGTCATCATCCATAAATACGGGTGCAGGAACACGTTTGGCCTCCTCCGCAATTTCACGATCGAAACGCCGAGCCTGAAATTGATTGAGGCCGCTGATCTCGATGGAGGGGGGAAAGCTTACCCGTCTTCTGCGAATCGTGTTGGTGATGAGCGCGAAGATTATGCCGATTGCGACAAGGCCGACGATAGCGAAGGTCGCGCCGACAGCAGCCTTGTTTTGGAAAAATCTGAGGAAAATTTAGTTGTTGCTGAGATGAAATGAAAATGGGGGGATCATGTGATTAACCCAGACGAGTGACAGATCGTCGTCGTGTGGGAAGTAGGTGGAAGGGAAGGGAGAAATAGAAGGAGGGATGGTGGAAGCAAACTCGGATGCAGGGGAGCGCAAGTGAGCAAAAAGCATCGAAGGAACAAGATTGGCCGAAGAAAGATTAAGAGGACAACATAAAAAGCTACCGACCCGTTGTTTGACGCCTCTGCCGTATTGGAAGGTCTATTTGGAGTGCCGGACTGGGTGATTGACTGGGTCGAGGTGATAGTAAAGACACTTCCGCCAGGCGCTGTCGACACTCGAACACTGGATGCCTGGGGCGCTGAAGAGCTGGGTAAGGTGGAAGATGGACTGCTGCTAATTGGTTGGCTGCTTGATGGGGGTTGGCTTGAAGAAACAGGGTTGCTGCTTGACGGAGGTTGCGAGCTGGGCTGGCTGCTCGAGGGAGGGGCGCTCGACTGGGAAGAGGGCGGTGGAAGTGAAGACCTAGAATCATGCTGCTTAGACCCAAGTGCGAAGAAATGGGGTACACCCACAGGTCGCCTGCATCGGGCATTAGCCTTAATTGACACGGTTCCCAGGGCACAACGTACTCATGGTGAGTTGTTAATTATTTTTGAAGCATACAACGAGTTAACGAGTGTGGTTGGTCGGCTGGCGGGGATAGAGCAAAGCGGGAGGGACGAAAGTCGGTCACACTGCTGTGTCACGACATTCATGCGCTTCTCTTAGCCGGCTGGCGCGGCGACCAACTCTTAGCACGCGCTCAACCAATCCAATCCTTACGCCTACAGAAACGACAGACGAACTCATACTTGAAACGACGCAACCGAAACCAAGGATTTTCCAACTGACTCGGGCATCGAGAAGCTCTGCTCCCGGCCATGTCCACTCCCCTCAGACCACCATCGAGGTCAAGTACGTCGAGCAACCCCAAATCTCTCAATGATTATGTGTGTTGTTTCTCCTTTGTTGTGCCACTCTACTGAACCTGAGGCTTCAGCAACTCGGCGACTCGCTTGGTAAAGGTGCATTTGGCCAAGTCTATCGTGAGTGGAGGGAGGGCAATTATGGCCAGACGTATTCTCAACATGCATAGGCGCATTAAACTGGGCGACGGGGGAGACGGTGGCGGTCAAAGAGATCCAGCTGAGCAATATTCCTAAGGGCGAACTTGGCGAGATCATGGTCAGTTGGGACACGATGCTTTTTTCTCGTAGTTGCTCAACTTTTTTTCACAGTCTGAAATCGACTTGCTCAAGAATCTCAACGTGGGTTTGTTTGTCGTCTTGATAATTTTGAAGTTGGATTATCTACTAGCATCCAAACATTGTCAAATACAAGGGGTTTGTCAAGACGCGCGACTATTTATACATTATTCTAGAGTACGTCCTTACTCCGTTTTATACTGACCACAACTTTGACAAATATTAGATTCTGCGAAAATGGTTCTCTACACAACATCTCGAAACGGTTCGGCAAGTTCCCTGAAAACCTTGTCGCAGTCTACATCTCGCAAGTGCTTGAAGGGCTCATGTACCTCCACGACCAAGGTGTCATTCATCGCGACATCAAAGGCGCCAATCTTCTCACCAATAAGGATGGGACCGTCAAACTGGCTGACTTCGGTGTCGCCAGTAATACAACAAGCGTGAATGACGGGGCCGTTGTCGGTAGCCCATATTGGATGGCCCCTGAGGTCATTGAACAGAGTGGTGCTACTACCGCTTCCGATATCTGGAGTGTTGGATGTGTTGTCATCGAGCTCTTAGAAGGCCACCCACCGTATCACACACTCGATCCGATGCCTGCTCTTTTCCGCATCGTGCAAGACGACTGCCCGCCCATACCTGAAGGCGCTTCTCCCATCGTCAAGGACTTTCTCTATCATTGCTTCCAAAAAGACGCCAATCTGCGCATTTCAGCCAAAAAGTTACTCAGACACCCGTGGATGGTAGCGGCAAGGAGGCAATTGACAGACGGACGAGAGCCGGAGGAGCAAAAACCCAGCAGCTCAAGGCCTGAAGGACAAGCACAACAGCGACGGCCGTTGAGCAATTATAATTATGATGAGGCAGTCTTAAAGGTGCAAGAATGGAATGAAGCCTTGAAATGTGCGTATATAACCTATGACATATAATGTCCTCATACTGAATAGCTCCTTCTCGGCCTTCGAAGCATCCTGGTCGCAATGTCAGTGGTCGGGCAACCTCACCGACACGTGAAGTCGCCACATCTCCCTCGTCAAGCTCCAATGCTCAATGGAGAACCACTTCAGCAATGCATCCCAAGCCCACTTCAAACCTAGCCGAAAAAATCCAAATTCCGCCATTGTCATTCTCGTTACAGCCGCCAGAAGAGCAGACGGATAACTGGGACGACGACTTTGAAGAGGGTATCTCGCTTACGAAACTACAAGGTGTGTCGTCTCGTTACCTTGTTGTTCCCCTCATTCAGTAACTACAAGCATTGGAGAAGCCTGCCGACGAAAATGTTACCACCTCTTCAGCAGAGGAGAACGCCAAAACGATTCGGCCCAATAAAAGTCCCGCTCCAAAACCACCCTTGCCTCTCGCGAAGCCACCAACTGAAGAAAAGATTGTCGAAGATTACTCCGATCTGGTGGGTGGGGATGACGACGAAACCCTGCTTGAGAGTAAAGTAAAGGATTTCAAGGTGCGAATTGAGTGCTTGATATTGAACCGAACCAAACCTGGTATTAGATGAAGAACTCTTTTCGCAAGGGCCTTTATCATCCCGACGACATAAAGACGTTCGGCCTGGGGAATTCAAATAGCCCGTCACCCCCATTGTCTGCGCCTAGTCTCACTGGCCTTTTCAATCGCTCGACCTCTGAACCTCGACCTGCAAAACCAGTTCTGAGCCCTCTCGTTGGAGTTCCACATATGAACGGGCCTGCCTCAGCTACTCTGGCCAGTCTGCATCAAGCTTCTGGCTCCATGTCTTCTGCTGTTCCGCAGTCGATCAGGAAACTCTCGCATTCAAGATCAACATCATTCACTGCGGGTGCCGTCGGACTTGGTGGATCAATGGGACGAGCGGAGGCCAGACGTGTTTTGAATGAGCAAGAGTTTGGCAAATACCAGGAGGAGGAAGACGAAGACTATGAAGATGTATTTGGGAAAGTTAACGGAGCAGGCGTGGGAGAGCAAGCTGGTGCTTTACAGCTGACAACGCGATTATCGAACCGGTCTTGGGTGGGTTATGTTATCATAATTGCTAGCCATAACTGATCGTATGAAGCTTGGTGACAACTCGGATGAGGAAGACCCGTTCGCTGAGATTGATGAAGGTTTCGCTGAAGACGACCTGGAAGCCAATCTCCAGCGAGACAAGTATGCGCGGTTGTGCAACATGGTCAATGGCCTGATCGACCAACTGACCCCTTCGGCTCCGGATTTTCAACTGCGCGACGCTTGTGATCAACTAGTATGTGAAACGTCTTTGTATTCCAGCCATATCCCATCCACTTCGCTAGCTGAATATCATCACCGACACACCAGAGATGCAGATGCAATTGGTTTCTTCGCATGGTATGCTCGCAATTCTTGAGGTCCTGGAGAGCAAATGTTCCCGAGATGTTAGCATTCAGCTGTTACAACTCATTAACTTGGTTTGGTTGATGCTATCCTGATCTACACATGCTCACGTGACCATGCAGCTTGTCAACGCCAACCTCGGCTTTCTTGAGAGTTTCTGTTTGATTGGGTAAGTGTCATGTTACAGTGAGCTCCGTAGTGCTAATGTGTGCTAGTGGCATCCCAGTCATGATGAGTACGCCATTGGGAAGCTTTGGGTTCGGATTGAATTGACCTTTCTCAGGCTTTACCTCGAAAAAGTTCCCCCTGGAATGCAGGCTCGAAGCATCTAACTTCATTCGACTGCTGTGCCATACATCGGTTATGACGTTGCAGATGTTCATATCGTATGTCGCCCTCCTGTCGAGTTGATTTCATAGCTCATTCCTTGTTAGATGCCGCGGACTCAAAGTGCTGGTCGATCTGATAGATGAGGATTATACGGAACAGAAAGAGCTTGTTGTACATGCACTCAACGGTATAGGCAGCGTCTTCGAGCTGCAAAGCCCCACGACCAAGAACGACTTTTGTCGGATGTTCATTCGCGAAGGCCTGCTGGATCCGCTTTCAGCAGCCCTTGTCAATGTTATATCGACCGGTGGAGCAGCAGCGACAGAGACTGAGATGAAGATCATCCAAATTTTACTGGTCTTCTCACAGGTCTCGCAGTCAGACATCCATGTTCGCAACGCTCTCGGGACCCGAAAAGTTGTTCGACGTCAGTGACTTCTTTTGTTCTGCTTATCCCGCTCATGCTCACCAGGTTTATTACGCTCGTGTGAACTACTGGAGCCTGAGTGTCTGGTGCAGATGCTTAAGGCCGTTAAACACCTGTCGATGAACGCAACTCTTCTTGAAGTGCTCCAGAATGCTAATGCTATCGAAATCCTCGTAAAGATACTCGAGGAACAGTCTTCTGGTCCACATAGCACGGTAGGGGGTGTCCGCGTTATTATTGACTGCTGACCAATCGTTGTGAATAGGAAATGTCCAACCACATCTTCCAGACTTGCTACAATCTCTGTCGTCTAAACAAGTCTCGGCAAGAAGAAGCGGCTCAGGCGGGAATCATTCCCTGCCTTCAGCGTGTCATCGAGACCAAATCCCCATTGAAGCAATTCGCGCTCCCAATCTTATGCGATTTGACTAGTGCGGGTAAGAGTTGTCGAACGTTGTTGTGGCAGCACGATGGCCTCACAATGTATGTCAAACTGCTCGAGGACCCATATTTCCAAGTGAGCGCACTGGAATCCATTTTATCGTGGCTGCAAGACGAAACCGCACGAGTGGAGGATGAGCTGACCAAACCACCGTCTGTGGCTGCGTTGTTGACCTGTTTCGTTACCGCCAAAGCGAATTCATTCGAAAACCTTCTCGATCCGTTCCTCAAGATCACGAGGTTGTCGTCGTCTCTCACGATCGCCATTTCTCGCTCTCCAACATTCATCAAGCGCATAATCGAAAGGTTGGCGCCCGCAGGCGGTCATTCCAAAGAGAAGGCGGTCGTCCGACTGAACCTGCTTCGAATCCTGCGAACGGTTTGCGAGGTCCATCCCAACCGAGCGATGCTGGTCGAGCGATATGGCCTGTTGGGAATCGTGGAAGGTCTCAGCCGAGGGGGCGGCGATGGCGCAGTGCTTGTTCGCGAGCTTGCACGGGAAATTGTGCCTGTCCTCAAGCCTGGTCTCAAGCCCGCTACTCCGTCAGGATCTCGTGCGAATGGAGCGACAAGAACTTCTGCTGCCAATAATGGTTCTTCGGGGTCTCAACAGGCAACAGCTCTTGCACCCAAGAAGCTTCGGAGGACGGCGTCAGAGACGGTTGGTCCGTCGTTTGGATCGACGGCCAGAGCGGGAATTGGTGCGGGTGATGCACAACCCGCCGCGAAGAACGGTAAACTTAAAGCGGGAAGGCAAAAGCTAGGCGACATTGGGTGGGGGCGCTGATATTGTATTTTTCTCCTTGTACTACACTCTCTCGCATACGCTCACTAAGTTAGATTAACTGGTACTCTCTTTATGATTTCCTAAGACGCTACACCGAACCAAAAGACAAGACCGAATTGTGATGGTCCTCTTCGAAGATGATACAAGAATTTAGTAGCTGCTTCATTATTACCACTATTCAAACAAGTATGTGACTGCGCTGACTCGGCTAAACAGTCTCTTTCCTTTTTTTCGGCGATCCAACCTTCTCCGAGTGGGCACCATCAAGGGGTCGCTTTTCCGATTTGAGTTTTGGGTCTGAGTCGAGCACGGGACCCCAATGCGCGATGTTTGCCATGTTGATGCCGGCTCCAATATTATTTTGTAGCTCGCGGTTTTCTGTGATGTCCATTCGTGGCATCCCGGTTATCGTAGTTCTGAAATCAAGCAGAGAAGTGACTTGCTTGAGCTCGTCCTCGCCTGACATTCTGAACGCTTTGAGGCCAGTAACGACGACCTGATAATGGTTGTCGTAGTGCTGGAAACGGATTGTTTTGCGGGTACTCCGTGCAGCCTGATGTAATGCATGTACATCACCATGACCAGTTCCAAGTTGTAGAACGATAGTCAATGTTGGCTGCTTGCATAGGTGGGTGGGGTCTGTGATCCGTCTTGTGATAGGAGGGATGTCGATTGAGATAACGCAATTTTTGATCTGGAATTCCACAGGTGCAAACTTGCTGATGTTGATGAGCTCGTCCTCCTCTTTCGCAAATATCAGCCCAAATACAAAATCAACAGCCTCCTGGTTGTCTTTGCATTGCAGAGCAACACCTCGAAAGGTGCATTTGTATAATTGTGCCAGGGTAATGACGTCGGAATCTTGCGCTTGAGCAAAGTGGGATGTAAACATCCATGCATTTTTGAACGCATCTTCAAAGCTCTGAGCATTGCCATCGGATTGGACTGGCCGGGACTTCATCAATTCGGCATAGGCATCGTCGGTGAATAGCATTTTACACCATGCAAGAAATGATACTCGTCGATGAAAGACAAACTTGTTGGTCATTTCCAGAGGGGCTGTAATGCGTTGTTGATGAACTGCATCGTGGGCTTTCAGATGAAGATAACGATAGACCAACTCTCCTCTCTCGCCTTTCGCCAGCAATGCAGTTGAAAGCGCCTGCATGAGAATGGCCGGAACATCGACCTTATGATGGATAAGAAGCTGGGTTGCAACTTCGACAAGAACCGGTTCTGAAGGTGCAACAGACATAACTTGTCTGCGATCCTCTGATATCGCAAGCACCATACGCATGTACGTCTGGATAAGGTCGTTTGCGAGTTTCTCGCCTCTGCTTGAAGTGACGTCAAACCGGAGCAGATACCGTTGTGAAAGCCATGAGAGGATGGCGGTTGTTCTGATTTCCGCTTTGGCATCGGCAACCAATGACATCTTCTCGTGAGCCAGATGTAGGACTTGACGCATTGGCGAGTGAGATGTCGGATCAGCTGTTGCCGCAACCGTTTCAAACAGCGAGAACCACCTTGATGGAGAGTATTAGTTAGGGTTATATTTTCTGAGAAAGGAGAATTCACAATGGTCGCCCAAAGGACACTGCTAATTCAGGGCTGTCCAAGGATTTGAGAGTGAATTTTGTTTCGATGATTCCAGTTGCAACATGTTGACTTGTTAGGTCGAATCCAACAATTTCGGTTATCGCAGGAAAGACTCGGTGGCGCGAGTCTTCGCGAAATGATGAAATTTTGGTCAACGGAGTCAAGATCCGATCAACCTTTGAGCTGGTCGAGAGGAATACAAAAAAAATTGGTAGGCCATGCAGCCAGCGAAGTATACGTTCGTAGATGGCTAATGCTGACTGCGAGCGTTCAGAGTCGCTGAGATTATAGGGGGTTGCGACATCGATGTTTGCGATGGTATGCGCCTCGTCAATGAAGATGATGAACTCCGCACCCTGTGACTCAGAGCCCGGGGCATATTTGTGTCTTCGACAAGCATCTGGCTCCGTCGCAATGAGTTCAATTAGGAAATCTTTTGCGGCATTGAAACAAGTGCCCTCCATGTCTCGCCAACTACCGGCTCTCTATACGGAAACATTTAGAGCTGATGAGTATCACGCTTCGCCTTACTCACAAATTTCGTCGCGATTGCAACAGCCTCCTGCGCTACTTGGGAGAGCAATTCCGTTTTCTTGTTGCTAGGGGTCGTCATCGACCAATCGTCGGTAAAAAGCTGATGGAGGTATTCCGACAAAGACGAGTCGGGGTGTTTTTTTTTCCAATTTGTGAAATCAGTCTTGTCAAGGGTGAGGCGAAGGACCTTGAAAAGAGCAGTAATGTGAGCTGCTACATGTCGATGGGTGGTTTCATGGCTCGTGGTATCAATGCCTGATAGTAGCGCATCACGGTACTGTGCATCAGCGGGGGGAAATGCTGCGAGATGTGAGAAAAAGCCAAATGTTGACCGACAACCCACAAAAAACAGTCCGGTCGCTCTCCCGTAGGCACAAAGAAAACGAGCAGCGTTCTCGACTTGCCTCGTAGCAGGTCCTCGACTTGCCGGTGCCTGACGCTTGGACGAAAGACGACGAGGGACAGAGAAAGTGGGAGTCGTCGGTGCCATGAATCTCAGACGGTCCTGGGTCATTTGTTTCCCAAGCCTTGTGACTGATCTTGGCGACATATCGGTCGATAGATCGCAGGAGGACGAGGTGAATCTGGCCTCGGAAGAGCCCGTGAAACGACGAAAACGTGGGGTTTGGAACGTCTCGCAGACCGTCTGAGGAAGAGGGGGATATTGTGGCCCCGAGCCTGAAGTCACCTGAAAATTGTTGCACATGAGCACTACGTTTGCACCCGGGCCGCTCAAAGAATTTCTCACTCCATTGACGAAGCTCGAGTATGTGTGCGGGCTCTCCTTTGGCAAGAATGTCACAGATAAAGTCGTAAAGCGTAGTATCTTCTGAGGGCTTCTGCACTCGAAATGAATCCTTGAGTCGAGGCTCCATCTCCGTGCATTCAAGGGCAAGGTTCCAGAAGTGATTGACGGCCACTCGATGCCTCGCCAGCCGCAGCGATTCGAATGCGACCCATGTCGACGAGACTTCCTCTAGCGATACGCACTCCGATGTGTGTTTATGTATGGGACATTGCTTGCCCCAACTTGGAGTCGACATCAAGGTCGAGTACAAAGTGACACATAGGGGATATGATGGCATCAATCTCCAATTGTCAACGTTGAAATGACAGTCCTTAAGCTCTCAACTGAGCACAAGTACTAGTACACTACATACTCCCATTATACACAAATAGTTTGCCTCACAAGCCTCTCCACTCGAGCCCGCGGTCGAGTGTGAAACTTGCCTGTAGCGCCAGCTGGTCACTACTTGGCCCAACCCGCAACCCGTATTCGCCCTTCTCGACAACCCAGGTCGAAAAGCGCTCCTCCCAGTACGACACGGCATATTTATCCAGCGTGATATTGACAACTTCGCTCTTCCCGGGTTCTAGGCGGACTTTGGCAAAGCCCTTCAGCTGGAGAGGCGGGTGTGTGAGGACAGAGGTTTTCGGCAACGTGACGTAAACTTGAGCGACCTCGCTGCCCGCTATCGAGCCTGTGTTCGTGACTTGAAGGGAAACGGTGAGCTCCACGTCCGATGCCGACACAACGGGTTTCGATACTTGGAGGTCGGACAGATCGAAAGTGGTGTACGAAAGCCCGTGCCTAGCAAGGACTCTTTTCAGTATTTATAGTCACGAAAAGTCGTCGAATGCCTTACCCGAAAGCAAAGAGAGGCTTGATGTTCCGATGGTGAAAGTGTTTATAGCCCACAAATAGGTCTTCTGCGTACCGCACCTGATAAGCCTTTAGCAGCCAATAATCTGATCAAGCGATCATACTTGCCTGGCCGTTCTCTGAATGGAAATGACCAAACGATGGGATGTGCTCTTCCGCATTCGGGAATGTGAGGGAAAGTTTGCCTCCGGGGTTGACGTTGCCGAACAAAACGTCCGCGATGGCACTACCAGTGGCATTTCCGAGATACCAGGAGTGCACGAGCGCTTGGACCTTGTTCACCCAAGGCATCAATATGGATGATCCCTATCACGTGATTACTATTCGCCAGTTTCGGATAGAGAATTGGTCCATACCGACTCTGTAACAACGACGGTGTTCGGGTTGGCGGCGACGACTTTCTCGATTAATTCATCGGTCCTTCCTGGCAGTGCAAGGGTTGTCCGGTCATTACCCTCGGTCTCCCAGTCTGCGTTGAGGCCTACTACGGCAATGACGAGGTCCGCTTCTTTGGCCAACGCAACAGCTTCTGACAATAGCTCGTCTGAGTCGCGAACTTCTGCTCCGCCGAGTCGCACACCAGGATTGCTATAACCCTCTTCAGCGACATGCACTCCTCCCAAGGTAGGGACGTTACCTATCCATAACAGGCTCATCCTCGTCTCCGTCGGCAGGACCCCGCACATTGACGAATTCGACCAATATCTGGTGCGTGACGCCCGCTTTGAGATTGAAAGTTCCATACTCCTCTTCCGAGCCACATCCAAAGAATGCATCTCCACGACGCTGCCTTGTCCAATTGTCTATCAGAAGATCGCCGTCGATGAATAACTGGAGCTGTATCAGCAGAAGAAAAGAAAGATGCATCCATCAACATCACCTTGGCTCTCCCTGCCGATAGCAGACCGAATTCAAAGGGCGTGTCTTTCTCGCGCGGAAGAAGATGCCCGCGGAGCTTGAGTGTCCAACGCTTGGTGATGCCTTTGGGAGACGAGGTGCTAATGAACATCCGGGTCTCGTCCATACGCTCGGTCTTGAAGGGGTCCGGAAGTGCACTCATGCTATCGTCATTCTCATGTGCATGCCACGATCCAGTCCAACCCGGTAATCCGTCTTCGGTGAATAGATCATCGTCGAGGGAGGGTGAAGTTAGATACGCTGAAAAAGGTCAGCGGTGTGAGTACCAGAGAATGAAAGTTATACCGCGTGCCCCCTCTGAGTACGTAACCTCCACGGCCGGATTCGAAGAAAGGGCGTCCACAATACCCTGGTATGGGGAGACAAAATACGACGAGCGTAATGCCGCAGAACCACCCCCACTCAGGATCTTTGCTTTCGCGTTTCCTCCGATGATAGCCACTTTCTTCAACTTGGCAGCATTCAACGGAAGGAGCCCATTGTCATTTTTCAAGAGCACGATCGATTGAGCGGCCACATTGCGCATCAACTCCTTGTCTTCGTCGCTCTCCAGTGTCCGTTCGATACCGTCGCCGTCAAGAATGTCGGGCGCGCCAATGGCGCATTTCTGGACGAGTTCGAGGACTTTCTTGGCTCGCTCTTTGATGACGCGTTGGGTAAGCTTTCGTGAGCCGATGGAACGATTGACTAGATCAAGTGAACGCCATTTATTGACGCCAGGCATCTCCAGATCGAGACCGGCCTTGATGCTTAGGTCAACGCTGTAAACACCAAACCAATCACTCATGACCTGCACAACCGTGAGCTGCTTGCACATCATCTCCAGGAGAGCTGTGTAACTTACCATGGCCTCCGATTTCCACTCGTCTCGAAGGATCTTTTGCAAGATTTCCGGGTTCTCGGACATGTGCGTTCCATTGAGACGATTGTAGCTATATTGCAGATTGAGCTTGAGACTACTTTCAGCCAACCACATAATACTGACGCGGTCATGTAAGCCCAGGGTTTTGCTAGCTTCTCGGCCAACATGAAGGGCATCAAGTAGACCTCGCGAAGGGCTCGCTGGCTCATGATGCTATCGTACGCCATTCGGTCATTTTCTTTATCATTGCCACTGTCAACAATATGAGATCCACCAAACAGAATTATTGAAGGCGCTTACACGAAGTGCTTGACAGTCGCACCGATGCCCCCTGCCTGGACACCGTTTATATACGCGGCAGTGATCAGTCCAGAGAGGTAGGAGTCTTCCGAGAAGCTTTCAAAACTCTACCAACGCGTTAGAGGAGTGTTGTGATTCCGAGTTGTGTTGGCCTACTCGACCACCGAGTGGATTCTAAGCGGCGATTAGACAGACAATAGAATAGAATAGCGAGGCCAGCTTACGCGCTGAATGTTACACGTCGGGGCTAGAATGACGGAAGCCGCGCGGAGCTTCGCTTCTGGAGCGAGGAGCTTCAGACCCACTTGGTAGACGAGTGCCGGATCCCATGTTGACCCAAGAGCAGTTGAGGCAGGAAGACATTTGGCGGGTGTGCCCATGAGAAAGTGATTTCCTCTGATACCGTTTGGTCCATCGCTAACTTTTATCGCGGGTACTCCAAGTCGCGGGATCGCGTGTGTGTGCCAGAAACCGACACCGGCACAGAGTTGGATGGCCTCGTCGGTGGTCAACTGCGCCACGAGCTCCGGGATATTCGCTTTGGCAAAGTCTGAGGGGGCCATGGAGGGAGAAACGAGAGCTGCAGCGCGGTGGCCATGGTATATAGCCAAGTTTGTGCTGCCGAGGTTTATCCGCTCTTCGTCACGCGACTACGTATCTCCCTTTTCGCGCCCATGTGGGCTTGATGGAAGTGGCTCAATAGTAGCCTTAATGCCCAAGTAAGCTTTAGAATGGTTCCTTGACTGTTGCGTACTTATCACGACTGTACTCTGACTTCTGGCCCGATAGCACCAGCAAGATGCAAATGACAAGGTCTTTGAACCTGCTAAGCTATCCATCAATTCTCATTTCCCTTCAATCTATACACTGGATCAATACACTCTAGATTGGCTCAATGCCGCAGACCGCTCTGTACATGTGACCAATTATCACGAATCCAGTCTGCAGGACGATAATCTGTATAATACAATCAGTGTATACTTCCATGTAACTGCTTGTCATGTTTAGTGTGTTTTAGTACAGTATGTGCAAGATGTGGAGGTGCATCAGGTATCCCAAAGACTGACAAATATAGCTACATGATTTTTTATTACAATACATACTTGGTTACTATGAGTGCGGTGATCTACAACAAGTGGAGGATGAGAGAGCGGCATGGGTATCATTGGAATTCGTCTTGCGGTTCAGCGGTCACCCCATCTTCATTCCAAACAGCAAGGAACTGATAAAGAAAATGTCAGGACCAGTGAACCCTGCACAAACTGTGGTTACCTTCTCCTTCTGTGCTTCACAGTCGTCCGAGGTCAGGATCGGGGCCGTTGCGAATGGTAGACGGTCCCAAGAAATGGCGTTCCTGTGCTTCGGGGTCGCGGGCCTGTCGCCAACGGCGCTCTTCTTGTTCATGACGAATTTGGAACATTTTCTGGAGGTGTTCAGGGGGGTTAGCATGCAGGAGGCGCGAGACGCACTCTTCGGACAAGGAGTACATGGCTTTGAGATGCGCTTTGAGGAGCATCACGATGCCGATGATGACCGACGCGCGCATCAACGGCGTTCTGCTCTGGGGGGCTCCATGGTCGACCTCCATCGCGATGTCTCCGCGAAGCTGGGAAATGAGGTGGGACGGCGAAATAATCTCGAGCACACGCATGCCCTCGACAGACAATATGGCCGTCAGATCTTTGATGACCGTGATGACCTCTTCTTGCGTTTTATACTTACTCGAACGACGCAAAGTTCTCGGCCATATAGCGCACAAAGTCCACTTCGTCCTATACCCAATCTCATCAGAAAACAGAACAGAGAAAACCCCTCCGCACTTACTTGCGTCGCTTCGTCAGCACGCGCAGGGTGGAACACTTTGGCCAAGAGCTTCAGGAACTCCTGTCGTGTCTGTCGTTTCTCCCGCACAAGTGCATACCATCTACCGAGCAAAGCAGTCCCGTCTCGGTAGCCGTGCACGTGGGCTGGATCAATTGTGCGCTGGTAGTCGAACGAGGCGCGTGCGCTTTGGATATGCCGGGTATTCAGAAGAGACGAGTGCTTTTGATGGAGCAGACCGTGCAATGCCGTCGCTCGTCCCGACAACACAGGATTAGGAGAAGTTTCCAGAGCAACGATGACTGGGAAGGACTGCAGAGGATGTGCCAATCCTTGTTTGATGGTGAACGTGAGAACGTCAACAGCAGCCACCTGAATGGCCGAATTTCGCGAGAGGGCAGCTTCTAGTATATGCGCCATATATCGCTGAACGACAGCTGAACTCACCCTGTTCAACATGAGTGTCACTACTTGTGATACAACACTACTTTCACATGTCAAACAATACCCCCCCTTGCACGCCTCGCTCCAACGCTAAGTCGCGCTCGCTCGCCAAGTCGCGCGAGCGAGGGACCCCTCTAATATACCTTTTCTTTCAGCGCACGGACCTATAAACAAGGTCATGTGCATTGAGTTGGGGGAGAAAAATTTGGATTTGGGGGTGGTTTGGACACGTCTAACGGGGGTCTCGGGGGTGCATTGGGCAGGCAGGGTTTAGAGTCGTTCTCGGGCAGTCCGGGCAGGCATGTAGAGCATAAAACCACTGGAATTCTATTTTAACAGTACATCGAGGCGCGCTACTCTAAGACGCGACGCGACGCGTTTGATGGCCCATTCCCCTCCATTCGCAAAGTCCAGCCCCAGTGTCCTTCTTGTCTATCCCTCCAGCGGCAGAGCGCTATACACGACACGGTGATAGCCCTCCCTCACACTGGCCTCCGGCGGTTCGAACCTGCAAAATTTTGAGCTCTTTGACACAGAAAATGGGCGCAAAATGTACTTACAAAGTAACGGGCTGCGTGATCAAAACAGTGCCGGCCACAGCCTTGCAAGGCACTGCGCTGCAATCCCATCCGCCTGTTCGACTCCGACTCCATCAAGATTGTTGAAGGACAAAGCAGAAAGGGTGCAAACGTAGGAACGGCAGGTACTTGACTGCCAAGGCAGCATTAGCGGGAACGCAGCCGCAACGTCCAGGAGCCAGAAATCCGCGCCGACCCGAGTAACAGCCGTCGTCTCGCCGCAATCCAACCACGCTATCCATCCTGCTCGGCCCGCTCCACCAAGTCTCCGACTCCAACAAGATCGAGACTGCGCACTTGCAACCAACCACGGCGTCGCGAGAACACCGGCCCATCAATGGAGAGAGCCTGTCACGAATGGCACGCGGATGAGGGCCAGCAACTGGGAGTGTGACGCGGGGCCGTTGGCAAGAAACACGACTTGGTGGGCTGGCCGTTAAAGCGAGGGCTGGAAGGACAAGCCGCCAAGGAGTGCGATGGGTGTTCGCATGCCGGCAACAAAGCTACAGCCCAAACTTCGCAGGCCGAGCATGTTGGCCGCGCGGCAAGACAGCGCCGGAGCTGTCGCAAAGGCCGGGAGTGGTAAGGCGGGAATGAGGCCGGCGAGGAAGGTAACGCGGGCCAGATCGGCAGGCAGGTGGTGCCAGAGTGAACCTGTTTCAAGGTCGCGCCAGCAGAAACGTGACATGGGCGGCCGGCCAGATGGTGGAGGCAAAGGCCACGAAGGCAAGGAGCGTGACTGCAAGTCGGTGACAAACCGGTCGGGGAAGCGCGGTAAGAGTGGTCGTCGCAAATGTTGAAATGATTCCCATAGATGCAATGGTCAAGGCGGGAAGGATGTTCCGGTCCGGAGCCCATCGATGGTCAGGGGTGGGCCGGGGCCATTAAAAAGAGGTGGGCCGCAAGTCCATGGCTGGCGCCAGAAGAATGGCGGGGAAAATGTGAGGGCACGTGAGATGGCCGCGAAAGGCAATGATGGCAGGATGTGGAAGGAATGAGCGCAATGTTCTGGAGCCCACACAGCCGAGAACTTGGATGCGGGCCGGGGGAGCAGCATGTGTGCACCTACACAGCCGACAGCTTTGCAGTCCAGGGCATTATTATCGCCTCCGGCGGCAAAGTCCTGCGAAAAAATGAGCTTTGAATGCACAAAAAAGTCGGATAAAATGCTCACCAAAATACCATCAATTTCTGATGATCGGATCAAACGGCAGTAAATGCCGGGCCCGGTAGCCGCCATATACAGACGTAAATTGCTCGGGTCAGCATCTGAAAAGGAAGAAAAGTCAACAATCAAAATGGTTTGGAAGGGACTTGAACTGCTTACATGATAAGCACACGCCAAAGTCGTGAAGCCAGGAGACACAAAGAATGTGAGAGCAAGAGCTCCAACATCCGATGCGTTGTCCGAGAGACATAATGTGCCTCCGGCGGGTCAAAATCTAAAGAAAAAAAGTCAATTATTTTTCATGTCATGAGCGGGGATCGAACTGCTTACGTAATGCGAGCGGCGTTCTCCGGACACCCAGTCAAATCGGTATAGAACAGTGCGGCATGCTAGGGCAAAAAGCCCAAGCATCCGCAGTGGTTGAAGTAGAGGCGGTCTGTGCCTCCGGCGGGTCAAAATCCTAAAAAAAGTCAATTATTATTTGCATCAACATGGGGGGTTCGAACTGCTTACGTAATAGCCTGGTGGTGCTCCCAAGTCAGGTGGTGACAAATGGCGAGGCATGCTAGGGCACAAGCCCCAGCATCCGGGTGCGTTGTCCGAGAGGTGGTATGTGCCTCCGGCGGGTCAAAATCAGTCAATTATTATTCGCGTTTATGTCGGGATTCGAACTGCTTACGTAATCGATCGGTGAGCTCTGATATTTACCACGCAGCCGTCGAATTCGCGTGGCGGAACTCAGTGTTGTGCCCGTGCAGCGGCGGCGTTGTCATGGACGTGGAGCTGAAAGTAATGAGCACCCTATAGCAAAGCGTGGATGCAAACTCACAGTTGTTTGACCCAGCAGAGGTTCCCCCATTGCAAACACAATTAACACCCGCTGCCGAATTCTTGCATCACACTGATGTTTGTGTTCCGTGTCCGAGCAGCGGCGGGATCGGCGCAGACAAAGAGCTGAAAGAAATGAGTATCTAATAGCAAACAGTGGCCAAGACTTGCAATTCAAATGTCCGAGTAGAGGTTCCCCATCGTAAAGACGACAAAGCGTCGTCATCAACAAGACACCTGCGAAGCACCAGGTCAGAAAGGCAAGAAAGTCAGTCTATATAAACATACCAGCTGGGTCGCGCACCGTCCGCGAAGACGGTCAAGAGGACTCGCAAATGCCGGCGGCAGAGATCAAAGCCCAAGTCTAATGAACAGCTCTGTTGAAAGATGAACACATGATCAGAATGACAAGTGCACTTACTTACAATGGCGCGTCCCGGGCGCGAACTTGGGGTTGCCTCAAGGTCCGAGGGCACTGGGAAGTAGGAGGTGACTTTGCCCCAACAACTTAACGGTGGCTCTTTCACAAGAGCGTAGTCTGTAGATATCTCATCAGAAACTGGTTGTATACATCAAACAAGGGAAGACATGCCTCGATGAAGGGTGACGCGAGAAGGGTTGACAAGAGCAAGAAACCACTCGCGCCTGTCAATCTGCGTCGTCGAGAATAGCGCTGGCGGTAGGGGGGTAGCCTTGGGTATGGAAAACACGGAAGGCGCTCGTTGTTGGGACAGCCACTCGTGGATTGACGCCGCCATGTTGCAGACAGCTGAGAAGCAAACATGAGTGACAAGAGGATAAAGGGTAATATGAAGCACAAACCTCGTTGACCATTGCTGGCCAAGTTCAAGCGCGGGCATTTACTTCGCGTGAGCGCGAGTAGAAGCAGTCCCGGGCTGTGGATATATTGTCAGAAACCGGTCGTGGATATAAAAGAACAAGGGACATACTCTATTAACTGTGTGTCCTTAGTCCGCCAAACATTTGGCCAGTTGCCAGGGGTTGGCGGAAGCGGGAAACCACTGCGTTGACAGTCGCGCAGGGTCGTGTCTGTCAATCTAAGTCGTCCAGAGGCGGCGGGGGCCGAGAATCCAAGGACGAAAGATGCTTGCTGTTTGAGTTGCCGGCACGGGCTGGCGTGGAAGGTGACTGAGAAATGGACGTCAGTGAAAAAAAGATAAAAGGCAGAGGTGGAGCACAAACCTCGGCATTGTTGCGAACCGTCCCAACACTACCGTGGTTGAAGCCGTTTGTTATGGCCGGGCGCCACGCAGAGGCGACGTGTCGGCGTTCACTTTGGTCTGCACAACGACAAGTCGCAGACGGCGGCTGAGAAACAGAGGTCAGCAAAAGGGAACGAAGCACAAGAAAACGGAGTTCACACCTTTAATAAAGGTCTGAACAACGACAGCGCGGTTGAAGGCCTTTGTTATGGCTGACGTCCAGAGTGGTTGTCGTGAAGGAGCGCGATGGGACGACGCGTTGAGCGTTGCTGGTGATGAGCAACTGGCGGGTTCATGTTGGCGCTCCACAACAAGTCGCAGACAGCTGAGAAACAGAGGTCAGCGCAAGAAACAAAGCACAAGAAAATGGAGTTCCGACCTTTATATGAGCCCAAGCAGGTCGGGCTGAGCAGCCCCGTCGTAACTTGAAGTTGGTTGCCGAGTGTCGTCGGAAGCCAGTGCAACAGGCTGGAGGGTGTGAGTAAGTAAAGCAACTGGGAGACGCGCAAAGAGACGGGCATACCAGCAGAACGAAGGTGACGGCGACGACGAGAGGTTGTGGTGGAGGGAAGACAAGCAGGAAAGGTGCGTGACCTTGTTGACGAGCACGCGTTTGATCATGATGTATGATCATGCCGTAGCTCCTTCACAATCTGCCATCGCCGCTCGGGCGGCTGTCAGGCGGCTTTGGTGCGCTTGCCGTGACTCGGAGCAAGCCGTAAGTGCATAAGTCCGGCAGTCTGAGGCCCCAGCTCGACTTGCTCTGCGATGGAATGAATGAACAATTGGGCCGCTGCTCATGCCGATGAGTAGAGTATGTATAAGCAGCGTGCAACGCCGGAGTCATTATTTTTTGAAGGGTCACGGCAGTTGCCGCGGCCAGTCTCGGGGAAGCGAACACCGCCGACGGAGCTCGAGCGGTGTTTCAAGGGCACTTTCAGGGTATAATTGCGTTACCGCGGAAGAGAAGCGACACAGACCGGCAGATATTAATTGCACAGGTGACAGGCGGCAGGGTGACGAGATGTAAACCCGGCTGAGCAAGCAGGTATTCTCTCTTTGTTCAACTGGCTCCTGGTCCTTTCTTAGTTATTGCTGACGCATTCTAGCATTTTGTTTTACCATCTAACACCTTATTTTGCTTTTTGCCCCACTCCGACCCCAAAAACACACCGAAAACCACGCGTTTTTGACGCGCAATCCACCAGATTTTCTCGGAGGCACTTCACCTCTCGGCGCTCGACTTTCTGTGGCCATCACCACTCACATCCAAATCCAAATGAGGCAATTCCCCCGGTATAGTACGGGCTCTTCTCCCCCGCCATTTGCGGCTTGGGTCAATTCAGAACAATTTTCTATAATCATTTCGCGGAGCTAATTCAAAGCATCCGCAGCCAATCGCCCTTCGCGATGGCAACGAATTCGCCTAGAAAGTGAAAACTCATCTTTGTGCATCAACTCAACAGGTAGCGACGGCGGCGGCCGATCAAAGACCCTGAATGATAGAAATAGCATTTCGCAACCATGCCCGTGCTTCCGATTGTCTGCGCAACCCTGTAATCGTACGATCTTCGCCAAAACATTGTTGATGCACTTATTGATTCCCGTGCCATGAAGCCCGCGTTACAAATCAAGGGTGAACATTGATACCACTTGACAGATGGATCCGTGGGGCAAACCCTGAGCGATTTATTTCCGTCCTGCGACCTTCAGCCTCAACAGAGTTGTCCTGTTTTGTCATTTTTCAGTTTGGACTTTGCAGGGGAGACTTCAGCTCCAAATAGACTTGGAACTATTTTCTCTAATACAGGCAACTCTCAAATTAACTCGCTTAATGCTTGGCAACTGACAGGTCTACATTCTACAGAAGCTATTGCGCCGACAACGGAACGGACCAGGCCCAGATGTCAACTAAGCGAGCTCCACCGGTTGGCGGTATAAAAGCTCGCGACGGTTCACTCTCGCGCATGCCTCCCTTTCCTTCTCCCCTCACTGACCCCGATTCAACGCAAAGTCAACCGGCACGTGTTGGTTGACTTTGCATCGAGTCGGGCATCGCACACCTCAGCCTCTTCCATTCCTCCTCCATGATACTTCCATGTCGCCGTCGTCCCTTTCCACCCAAGTCAGTCCCCGACCATGCTCGGACAGGACACTTACTTCGTTTAGCTTCCTCACCGGTCCACTAAACGCTCCTCCTTCGTTTGTCCTCCCATCCACTTGAACTGCGCTGACTGTTGACTAGAGTCAAGAACGTCGTGCTGGTCGCTGGACGTTCGCGGGTTGTGGGAGGTATGTGGTTGCCAAATTTATTGACTTGCATGCTAAACACAACGTTAGTTCCTCTACGATTCGAAGCCAGAATCTGTACCGTTCCTCGATCTCCCCTCATTATCTCCGTTGCTAACCGTCGTTGCAGATTTTGTCGTCGTTTGGGGATGGGGGCGGTCCTGGTCGTTGAGGGTTGGCCATTTATGAGAGGTACGTGCTCGTCATGCACATTTACTTGTTCGCTGACTCTATTGTCAGTTATCTCCTTCAACTTCAAGGTGCGCGACAACAGTCCTACCTTGCTCCGTTTGAACCCCCTTTCTTTCCCGCTCGCCGTTGTTGAACATGTTACTAAACCTGATTGCAGACATTGGTCGTCATTTGGACGTGGAACGCGGTGCTCGTGGTGGCGGATTTGCGCGTTGTGGGAGGTAGTGCTCGTCATGCTCATTGAATTGTTCACTGACTATATGATCAGTTACATCCTTAACTTCAAGGTGCGTGACGACAGTCCTACCTTGCTCCGTTGCGAACCCTTTTTCCCGCTCGCCGTCGTCAACCATGTTGCTAAACCTTGTTGCAGACATTGGTTGTCGTTTGGACGTGGACGTTATGGGAGGTATGTGCTCGTCATGTTTGCTGACAAGCTCACTGACTACATTGTCAGTTGCATTCTTCAAATTGCGCGACCACAATCCTACCTTTCCGCGATTCGAACCCGAAATGTCGACGGTTCTTCGATCCCCGTCGCCGTTCCTGACCCGCTTTGAAGATTTTGGCGGCGCTCGTAGTTGTGGGTTGGCTTTGGTTTCGAGGTATAGGGTGGCTACATTCCGACTCGCTTGCTAACGAAAATGTCAGTTCCAGTCCATCTGGGGAAGACAATCGTACCTTGGTACGATTCGCGCTCGAGCGTAGCGCCCGAAGGGCAAATTTGTACCATTCCCCCATCCCTCGTTCCCAGCGCCGTTGCTAACTCGCCTCGTAGATCTGCTCGTCGTTTTGGCGCAGGTCGCAGTTGTGCTGGAGACGACTGGCTTGCTGTTTGCGCTCGTATCGTGTCCCTTTCGCAAAACTAACGCGGTTTCAGGTTAGCATCAAGCCGCCGAGTTGGGGATTGAGAAGCCCATTTTGTGGTAGTTGACGCATTTGCAGTTCGGCTGTCAGTGTGGAGTCGTCAAAGGGAGCGCACGGTGGGTGTTTTCGCGGTCTTGAGTTAGTTTTGCTGACGCCTACCTTGTTATATAGCGATTTTGGCGGGCGGAGAGGGCGGTGGTGATGCTGATTGGGCCAAAGCCGTTGTGGGGGGCGAGCAGCGGCAAGCCGGCAAGTTTGGGGACTTGCGCGGCGCGGGGACTTGGACGTTGGCGGCCCGGGCAGGTTTGCGGAACAGCCGAGTAGCCTAGCTAGACGTCGAGTATCGTCCTTCGGCCGGCGGTTGGCGGCAGCGCGAATGGCCCGCCATGAGTTTGCGTGAGCGCGAGAGGTCGCCGCTCGCGCCTGAGCTCGACACGGCGGTGGGCAAAAGGTCGCTGTCAACGGGCACGTGGGATCGGTCCGGCGTTTGAAGGCTGTGCCCACCTTCCTTCTTTTCCCCCGACGCGTTGTCTGCGCTGAGCTGGCCGCCCGACTAGCCCGTTGCTGGGCCCAATGAGCGACACCAGACTGGCGGACCCGGGCCGAAACTGTGGCTGACCGCCACGGCTTGCTTTTCGGCGCGTCGGCTGTTTGAGGCTGGGCCGATTGAAGCTGCTGGCTTATCGAGCCGACAACCTAAGCAGCTGCCCCAGCCTGAGAAAGGTAAGCTTCAGAAGTTCTTCAATGCTATCCCCGAAGCTGCTGTGTCCAACGCGTTCGAGACTGACGCGTCGCGTTTCCTGTCGACGGGCCCAGTGAACGAGTGAGTATCCTCGTGCCGAGGCCATATTTTGGCTTGCTCACCGTCGTTTGCAGGCATTGCTGGCCTTACCGGCCCCACGTTTGGGTACCGTTAAGGCATTTACCGCGCCCTACCACGTTTTTCTCGTTGATAGTTACCTTGGATGCAGGTCTTGGTGAGCGCTCCTGTTATTTCTTGAAACCGGACTCACTTGCTTCTCAGATGTGTTAGCATTGCGCGCAAACACGGACGTCTCGGTCGGCACGCACAGCTCGTTGCCCGTTCGTCGCACGTTGCTTATATGGTTTTTGCTTTTACTGACATGATTATATTATAGCATTCGCGCTGCTGTTCTGGGTGGTGCCGTTGAAGAAGCTTGTCCCGAATGCCTTGAAGACTACAAAAAGGTATCTTTCTTGGCCAATGCGCTCGTTCAACGCTGCCAGAGCGGGTGCACTTGCAGTAAGTACATTATTGTGCAACTGACTGTCGTGATAGCTTGCCTTGCACTGCTTGTGCAGACTGTCTGGGTCTTGGTTACTTGCCTGGTAAGAAGTGCCGCGTTGTTGATTCTTGAAGTTGCACTAACCTGCTTTTCAGATGTGCCAGCGAACGGGACCTCGTGACGGGGAGTAGGTAGGCGTTGATTGGGCACTTGAAGATTGGGGTGCGGGCAGTTAAGATCCGCTGGGAGGAGAAGATTAGCACGTAGATAGGCATGTTGCGCGTTGAGTCGTGGACGCGTGGGGCTGCTTCGACGGACGTGGAGGCGGACGTGGGCACACGCACTGCGCGCGCGCAGGCTTCGACGTGTTTGCGTGGACCTGCGCCGGACGCGGACGTGAACGCGGACGTGCGCCGCACACAGACAGACACAGTGTATACATGATTTTTTATTGCACATAGAGAATTACAATACATACTTGGTTACTATGAGTGCGGTGATCTACAACAAGTGGAGGATATAATGTAAGCAATTGCTGAAGCGAGGATCGGTACATGGGTATCATTGGAATTCATCTTGCGGTTCGGCGGTCACCCCATCTTCATTCCAAACAGCAAGGAACTGATAAAGAAAATGTCAGGACCAGTGAACCCTGCACAAACTGTGATTACCTTCTCCTTCTGTGCTTCACAGTCGTCTGAGGTCAGGATCGGGGCCGTTGCGAATGGTAGACGGTCCCAAGAAATGGCGTTCCTGTGCTTCGGGGTCGCGGGCCTGTCGCCAACGGCGCTCTTCTTGTTCATGACGAATTTGGAACATTTTCTGGAGGTGTTCAGGGGGGTTAGCATGCAGGAGGCGCGAGACGCACTCTTCGGACAAGGAGTACATGGCTTTGAGATGCGCTTTGAGGAGCATCACGATGCCGATGATGACCGACGCGCATCAACGGCGTTCTGCTCTGGGGGGCTCCATGGTCGACCTCCATCGCGATGTCTCCGCCGAAGCTGGGAAATGAGGTGGGACGGCGAAATAATCTCGAGCACACGCATGCCCTCGACAGACAATATGGCCGTCAGATCTTTGATGACCGTGATGACCTCTTCTTGCGTTTTATACTCGAACGACGCAAAGTTCTCGGCCATATAGCGCACAAAGTCCACTTCGTCCTAAACCCATCTCATCAGAAACCACAACACACAAAATCTTTCCACACTTACTTGCGTCGCTTCGTCAGCACGCGCAGGGTGGAACACTTTGGCCAAGAGCTTCAGGAACTCCTGTCGTGTCTGTCGTTTCTCCCGCACAAGTGCATACCATCTACCGAGCAAAGCAGTCCCGTCTCGGTAGCCGTGCACGTGGGCTGGATCAATTGTGCGCTGGTAGTCGAACGAGGCGCGTGCGCTTTGGATATGCCGGGTATTCAGAAGAGACGAGTGCTTTTGATGGAGCAGACCGTGCAATGCCGTCGCTCGTCCCGACAACACAGGATTAGGAGAAGTTTCCAGAGCAACGATGACTGGGAAGGACTGCAGAGGATGTGCCAATCCTTGTTTGATGGTGAACGTGAGAACGTCAACAGCAGCCACCTGAATGGCCGAATTTCGCGAGAGGGCAGCTTCTAGTATATCGCCATATATCGCTGAACGACAGCTGAACTCACCCTGTTCAACATGAGTGTCACTACTTGTGATACAACACTACTTTCACATGTCAAACAATACCCCCCCTTGCACGCCTCGCTCCAACGCTAAGTCGCGCTCGCTCGCCAAGTCGCGAGCGAGGGACCCCTCTAATATACCTTTTCTTTCAGCGCACGGACCTATAAACAAGGTCATGTGCATTGAGTTGGGGAGAAAAATTTGGATTTGGGGGTGGTTTGGACACGTCTAACGGGGGTCTCGGGGGTGCATTGGGCAGGCAGGGTTTAGAGTCGTTCTCGGGCAGTCCGGGCAGGCATGTAGAGCATAAAACCACTGGAATTCTATTTTAACAGTACATCGAGGGCGCTACTCTAAGACGCGACGCGACGCGTTTGATGGCCCATTCCCCTCCATTCAAAGTCCAGCCCCAGTGTCCTTCTTGTCTATCCCTCCAGCGGCAGAGCGCTATACACGACACGGTGATAGCCCTCCCTCACACCTGGCCTCCGGCGGTTCGAACCTGCAAAATTTTGAGCTCTTTGACACAGAAAATGGGCGCAAAATGTACTTACAAAGTAACGGGCTGCGTGATCAAAACAGTGCCGGCCACAGCCTTGCAAGGCACTGCGCTGCAATCCCATCCGCCTGTTCGACTCCGACTCCATCAAGATTGTTGAAGGACAAAGCAGAAAGGGTGCAAACGTAGGAACGGCAGGTACTTGACTGCCAAGGCAGCATTAGCGGGAACGCAGCCGCAACGTCCAGGAGCCAGAAATCCGCGCCGACCCGAGTAACAGCCGTCGTCTCGCCGCAATCCAACCACGCTATCCATCCTGCTCGGCCCGCTCCACCAAGTCTCCGACTCCAACAAGATCGAGACTGCGCACTTGCAACCAACCACGGCGTCGCGAGAACACCGGCCCATCAATGGAGAGAGCCTGTCACGAATGGCACGCGGATGAGGGCCAGCAACTGGGGAGTGTGACGGGGCCGTTGGCAAGAAACACGACTTGGTGGGCTGGCCGTTAAAGCGAGGGCTGGAAGGACAAGCCGCCAAGGAGTGCGATGGGTGTTCGCATGCCGGCAACAAAGCTACAGCCCAAACTTCGCAGGCCGAGCATGTTGGCCGCGCGGCAAGACAGCGCCGGAGCTGTCGCAAAGGCCGGGAGTGGTAAGGCGGGAATGAGGCCGGCGAGGAAGGTAACGGGCCAGATCGGCAGGCAGGTGGTGCCAGAGTGAACCTGTTTCAAGGTCGCGCCAGCAGAAAGCGTGACATGGGCGGCCGGCCAGATGGTGGAGGCAAAGGCCACGAAGGCAAGGAGCGTGACTGCAAGTCGGTGACAAACCGGTCGGGGAAGCGCGGTAAGAGTGGTCGTCGCAAATGTTGAAATGATTCCCATAGATGCAATGGTCAAGGCGGGAAGGATGTTCCGGTCCGGAGCCCATCGATGGTCAGGGGTGGGCCGGGGCCATTAAAAAGAGGTGGGCCGCAAGTCCATGGCTGGCGCCAGAAGAATGGCGGGGAAAATGTGAGGGCACGTGAGATGGCCGCGAAAGGCAATGATGGCAGGATGTGGAAGGAATGAGCGCAATGTTCTGGAGCCCACACAGCCGAGAACTTGGATGCGCCCCGGGGAGCAGCATGTGTGCACCTACACAGCCGACAGCTTTGCAGTCCAGGGCATTATTATCGCCTCCGGCGGCAAAGTCCTGCGAAAAAATGAGCTTTGAATGCACAAAAAAGTCGGATAAAATGCTCACCAAAATACCATCAATTTCTGATGATCGGATCAAACGGCAGTAAATGCCGGGCCCGGTAGCCGCCATATACAGACGTAAATTGCTCGGGTCAGCATCTGAAAAGGAAGAAAAGTCAACAATCAAAATGGTTTGGAAGGGACTTGAACTGCTTACATGATAAGCACACGCCAAAGTCGTGAAGCCAGGAGACACAAAGAATGTGAGAGCAAGAGCTCCAACATCCGATGCGTTGTCCGAGAGACATAATGTGCCTCCGGCGGGTCAAAATCTAAAGAAAAAAAGTCAATTATTTTTCATGTCATGAGCGGGGATCGAACTGCTTACGTAATGCGAGCGGCGTTCTCCGGACACCCAGTCAAATCGGTATAGAACAGTGCGGCATGCTAGGGCAAAAAGCCCAAGCATCCGCAGTGGTTGAAGTAGAGGCGGTCTGTGCCTCCGGCGGGTCAAAATCCTAAAAAAAAGTCAATTATTATTTGCATCAACATGGGGGGTTCGAACTGCTTACGTAATAGCCTGGTGGTGCTCCCAAGTCAGGTGGTGACAAATGGCGAGGCATGCTAGGGCACAAGCCCCAGCATCCGGGTGCGTTGTCCGAGAGGTGGTATGTGCCTCCGGCGGGTCAAAATCAGTCAATTATTATTCGCGTTTATGTCGGGATTCGAACTGCTTACGTAATCGATCGGTGAGCTCTGATATTTACCACGCAGCCGTCGAATTCGCGTGGCGGAACTCAGTGTTGTGCCCGTGCAGCGGCGGCGTTGTCATGGACGTGGAGCTGAAAGTAATGAGCACCCTATAGCAAAGCGTGGATGCAAACTCACAGTTGTTTGACCCAGCAGAGGTTCCCCCATTGCAAACACAATTAACACCCGCTGCCGAATTCTTGCATCACACTGATGTTTGTGTTCCGTGTCCGAGCAGCGGCGGGATCGGCGCAGACAAAGAGCTGAAAGAAATGAGTATCTAATAGCAAACAGTGGCCAAGACTTGCAATTCAAATGTCCGAGTAGAGGTTCCCCATCGTAAAGACGACAAAGCGTCGTCATCAACAAGACACCTGCGAAGCACCAGGTCAGAAAGGCAAGAAAGTCAGTCTATATAAACATACCAGCTGGGTCGCGCCCGTCCGCGAAGACGGTCAAGAGGACTCGCAAATGCCGGCGGCAGAGATCAAAGCCCAAGTCTAATGAACAGCTCTGTTGAAAGATGAACACATGATCAGAATGACAAGTGCACTTACTTACAATGGCGCGTCCCGGGCGCGAACTTGGGGTTGCCTCAAGGTCCGAGGGCACTGGGAAGTAGGAGGTGACTTTGCCCCAACAACTTAACGGTGGCTCTTTCACAAGAGCGTAGTCTGTAGATATCTCATCAGAAACTGGTTGTATACATCAAACAAGGGAAGACATGCCTCGATGAAGGGTGACGCGAGAAGGGTTGACAAGAGCAAGAAACCACTCGCGCCTGTCAATCTGCGTCGTCGAGAATAGCGCTGGCGGTAGGGGGGTAGCCTTGGGTATGGAAAACACGGAAGGCGCTCGTTGTTGGGACAGCCACTCGTGGATTGACGCCGCCATGTTGCAGACAGCTGAGAAGCAAACATGAGTGACAAGAGGATAAAGGGTAATATGAAGCACAAACCTCGTTGACCATTGCTGGCCAAGTTCAAGCGCGGGCATTTACTTGCGTGAGAGCGAGTAGAAGCAGTCCCGGGCTGTGGATATATTGTCAGAAACCGGTCGTGGATATAAAAGAACAAGGGACATACTCTATTAACTGTGTGTCCTTAGTCCGCCAAACATTTGGCCAGTTGCCAGGGGTTGGCGGAAGCGGGAAACCACTGCGTTGACAGTCGCGCAGGGTCGTGTCTGTCAATCTAAGTCGTCCAGAGGCGGCGGGGGCCGAGAATCCAAGGACGAAAGATGCTTGCTGTTTGAGTTGCCGGCACGGGCTGGCGTGGAAGGTGACTGAGAAATGGACGTCAGTGAAAAAAAGATAAAAGGCAGAGGTGGAGCACAAACCTCGGCATTGTTGCGAACCGTCCCAACACTACCGTGGTTGAAGCCGTTTGTTATGGCCGGGCGCCACGCAGAGGCGACGTGTCGGCGTTCACTTTGGTCTGCACAACGACAAGTCGCAGACGGCGGCTGAGAAACAGAGGTCAGCAAAAGGGAACGAAGCACAAGAAAACGGAGTTCACACCTTTAATAAAGGTCTGAACAACGACAGCGCGGTTGAAGGCCTTTGTTATGGCTGACGTCCAGAGTGGTTGTCGTGAAGGAGCGCGATGGGGACGACGCGTTGAGCGTTGCTGGTGATGAGCAACTGGCGGGTTCATGTTGGCGCTCCACAACAAGTCGCAGACAGCTGAGAAACAGAGGTCAGCGCAAGAAACAAAGCACAAGAAAATGGAGTTCCGACCTTTATATGAGCCCAAGCAGGTCGGGCTGAGCAGCCCCGTCGTAACTTGAAGTTGGTTGCCGAGTGTCGTCGGAAGCCAGTGCAACAGGCTGGAGGGTGTGAGTAAGTAAAGCAACTGGGAGACGCGCAAAGAGACGGGCATACCAGCAGAACGAAGGTGACGGCGACGACGAGAGGTTGTGGTGGAGGGAAGACAAGCAGGAAAGGTGCGTGACCTTGTTGACGAGCACGCGTTTGATCATGATGTATGATCATGCCGTAGCTCCTTCACAATCTGCCATCGCCGCTCGGGCGGCTGTCAGGCGGCTTTGGTGCGCTTGCCGTGACTCGGAGCAAGCCGTAAGTGCATAAGTCCGGCAGTCTGAGGCCCCAGCTCGACTTGCTCTGCGATGGAATGAATGAACAATTGGGCCGCTGCTCATGCCGATGAGTAGAGTATGTATAAGCAGCGTGCAACGCCGGAGTCATTATTTTTTGAAGGGTCACGGCAGTTGCCGCGGCCAGTCTCGGGAAGCGAACACCGCCGACGGAGCTCGAGCGGTGTTTCAAGGGCACTTTCAGGGTATAATTGCGTTACCGCGGAAGAGAAGCGACACAGACCGGCAGATATTAATTGCACAGGTGACAGGCGGCAGGGTGACGAGATGTAAACCCGGCTGAGCAAGCAGGTATTCTCTCTTTGTTCAACTGGCTCCTGGTCCTTTCTTAGTTATTGCTGACGCATTCTAGCATTTTGTTTTACCATCTAACACCTTATTTTGCTTTTTGCCCCACTCCGACCCCAAAAACACCGCGAAAAACCACGCGTTTTTGACGCGCAATCCACCAGATTTTCTCGGAGGCACTTCACCTCTCGGCGCTCGACTTTCTGTGGCCATCACCACTCACATCCAAATCCAAATGAGGCAATTCCCCCGGTATAGTACGGGCTCTTCTCCCCCGCCATTTGCGGCTTGGGTCAATTCAGAACAATTTTCTATAATCATTTCGCGGAGCTAATTCAAAGCATCCGCAGCCAATCGCCCTTCGCGATGGCAACGAATTCGCCTAGAAAGTGAAAACTCATCTTTGTGCATCAACTCAACAGGTAGCGACGGCGGCGGCCGATCAAAGACCCTGAATGATAGAAATAGCATTTCGCAACCATGCCCGTGCTTCCGATTGTCTGCGCAACCCTGTAATCGTACGATCTTCGCCAAAACATTGTTGATGCACTTATTGATTCCCGTGCCATGAAGCCCCGTTACAAATCAAGGGTGAACATTGATACCACTTGACAGATGGATCCGTGGGGCAAACCCTGAGCGATTTATTTCCGTCCTGCGACCTTCAGCCTCAACAGAGTTGTCCTGTTTTGTCATTTTTCAGTTTGGACTTTGCAGGGGAGACTTCAGCTCCAAATAGACTTGGAACTATTTTCTCTAATACAGGCAACTCTCAAATTAACTCGCTTAATGCTTGGCAACTGACAGGTCTACATTCTACAGAAGCTATTGCGCCGACAACGGAACGGACCAGGCCCAGATGTCAACTAAGCGAGCTCCACCGGTTGGCGGTATAAAAGCTCGCGACGGTTCACTCGCGCATGCCTCCCTTTCCTTCTCCCCTCACTGACCCCGATTCAACGCAAAGTCAACCGGCACGTGTTGGTTGACTTTGCATCGATGGGCATCGCACACCTCAGCCTCTTCCATTCCTCCTCCATGATACTTCCATGTCGCCGTCGTCCTTTCCACCCAAGTCAGTCCCCGACCATGCTCGGACAGGACACTTACTTCGTTTAGCTTCCTCACCGGTCCACTAAACGCTCCTCCTTCGTTTGTCCTCCCATCCACTTGAACTGCGCTGACTGTTGACTAGAGTCAAGAACGTCGTGCTGGTCGCTGGACGTTCGCGGGTTGTGGGAGGTATGTGGTTGCCAAATTTATTGACTTGCATGCTAAACACAACGTTAGTTCCTCTACGATTCGAAGCCAGAATCTGTACCGTTCCTCGATCTCCCCTCATTATCTCCGTTGCTAACCGTCGTTGCAGATTTTGTCGTCGTTTGGGGATGGGGGCGGTCCTGGTCGTTGAGGGTTGGCCATTTATGAGAGGTACGTGCTCGTCATGCACATTTACTTGTTCGCTGACTCTATTGTCAGTTATCTCCTTCAACTTCAAGGTGCGCGACAACAGTCCTACCTTGCTCCGTTTCGAACCCCCTTTCTTTCCCGCTCGCCGTTGTTGAACATGTTACTAAACCTGATTGCAGACATTGGTCGTCATTTGGACGTGGAACGCGGTGCTCGTGGTGGCGGATTTGCGCGTTGTGGGAGGTAGTGCTCGTCATGCTCATTGAATTGTTCACTGACTATATGATCAGTTACATCCTTAACTTCAAGGTGCGTGACGACAGTCCTACCTTGCTCCGTTGCGAACCCTTTTTCCCGCTCGCCGTCGTCAACCATGTTGCTAAACCTTGTTGCAGACATTGGTTGTCGTTTGGACGTGGACGTTATGGGAGGTATGTGCTCGTCATGTTTGCTGACAAGCTCACTGACTACATTGTCAGTTGCATTCTTCAAATTGCGCGACCACAATCCTACCTTTCCGCGATTCGAACCCGAAATGTCGACCGTTCTTCGATCCCCGTCGCCGTTCCTGACCCGCTTTGAAGATTTTGGCGGCGCTCGTAGTTGTGGGTTGGCTTTGGTTTCGAGGTATAGGGTGGCTACATTCCGACTCGCTTGCTAACGAAAATGTCAGTTCCAGTCCATCTGGGGAAGACAATCGTACCTTGGTACGATTGCGCTCGAGCGTAGCGCCGAAGGGCAAATTTGTACCATTCCCCCATCCCTCGTTCCCAGCGCCGTTGCTAACTCGCCTCGTAGATCTGCTCGTCGTTTTGGCGCAGGTCGCAGTTGTGCTGGAGACGACTGGCTTGCTGTTTGCGCTCGTATCGTGTCCCTTTCGCAAAACTAACGCGGTTTCAGGTTAGCATCAAGCCGCCGAGTTGGGGATTGAGAAGCCCATTTTGTGGTAGTTGACGCATTTGCAGTTCGGCTGTCAGTGTGGAGTCGTCAAAGGGAGCGCACGGTGGGTGTTTTCGCGGTCTTGAGTTAGTTTTGCTGACGCCTACCTTGTTATATAGCGATTTTGGCGGGCGGAGAGGGCGGTGGTGATGCTGATTGGGCCAAAGCCGTTGTGGGGGGCGAGCAGCGGCAAGCCGGCAAGTTTGGGGACTTGCGCGGCGCGGGGACTTGGACGTTGGCGGCCCGGGCAGGTTTGCGGAACAGCCGAGTAGCCTAGCTAGACGTCGAGTATCGCCCGGCCGGCGGTTGGCGGCAGCGCGAATGGCCCGCCATGAGTTTGCGTGAGCGCGAGAGGTCGCCGCTTCGCGCCTGAGCTCGACACGGCGGTGGGCAAAAGGTCGCTGTCAACGGGCACGTGGGATCGGTCCGGCGTTTGAAGGCTGTGCCCACCTTCCTTCTTTTCCCCCGACGCGTTGTCTGCGCTGAGCTGGCCGCCCGACTAGCCCGTTGCTGGGCCCAATGAGCGACACCAGACTGGCGGACCCGGGCCGAAACTGTGGCTGACCGCCACGGCTTGCTTTTTCGGCGCGTCGGCTGTTTGAGGCTGGGCCGATTGAAGCTGCTGGCTTATCGAGCCGACAACCTAAGCAGCTGCCCCAGCCTGAGAAAGGTAAGCTTCAGAAGTTCTTCAATGCTATCCCCGAAGCTGCTGTGTCCAACGCGTTCGAGACTGACGCGTCGCGTTTCCTGTCGACGGGCCCAGTGAACGAGTGAGTATCCTCGTGCCGAGGCCATATTTTGGCTTGCTCACCGTCGTTTGCAGGCATTGCTGGCCTTACCGGCCCCACGTTTGGGTACCGTTAAGGCATTTACCGCGCCCTACCACGCTTTTTCTCGTTGATAGTTACCTTGGATGCAGGTCTTGGTGAGCGCTCCTGTTATTTCTTGAAACCGGACTCACTTGCTTCTCAGATGTGTTAGCATTGCGCGCAAACACGGACGTCTCGGTCGGCACGCACAGCTCGTTGCCCGTTCGTCGCACGTTGCTTATATGGTTTTTGCTTTTACTGACATGATTATATTATAGCATTCGCGCTGCTGTTCTGGGTGGTGCCGTTGAAGAAGCTTGTCCCGAATGCCTTGAAGACTACAAAAAGGTATCTTTCTTGGCCAATGCGCTCGTTCAACGCTGCCAGAGCGGGTGCACTTGCAGTAAGTACATTATTGTGCAACTGACTGTCGTGATAGCTTGCCTTGCACTGCTTGTGCAGACTGTCTGGGTCTTGGTTACTTGCCTGGTAAGAAGTGCCGCGTTGTTGATTCTTGAAGTTGCACTAACCTGCTTTTCAGATGTGCCAGCGAACGGGACCTCGTACGGGGAGTAGGTAGCGTTGATTGGGCACTTGAAGATTGGGGTGCGGGCAGTTAAGATCCGCTGGGAGGAGAAGATTAGCACGTAGATAGGCATGTTGCGCGTTGAGTCGTGGACGCGTGGGGCTGCTTCGACGGACGTGGAGGCGGACGTGGACGCACACGCGCGCGCGCAGGCTTCGACGTGTTTGCGTGGACCTGCGCCGGACGCGGACGTGAACGCGGGACGTGCGCCGCACACAGACAGACACAGTGTATACATGATTTTTTATTGCACATAGAGAATTACAATACATACTTGGTTACTATGAGTGCGGTGATCTACAACAAGTGGAGGATATAATGTAAGCAATTGCTGAAGCGAGGATCGGTACATGGGTATCATTGGAATTCATCTTGCGGTTCGGCGGTCACCCCATCTTCATTCCAAACAGCAAGGAACTGATAAAGAAAATGTCAGGACCAGTGAACCCTGCACAAACTGTGATTACCTTCTCCTTCTGTGCTTCACAGTCGTCTGAGGTCAGGATCGGGGCCGTTGCGAATGGTAGACGGTCCCAAGAAATGGCGTTCCTGTGCTTGGGGTCGCGGGCCTGTCGCCAACGGGCGCTCTTCTTGTTCATGACGAATTTGGAACATTTTCTGGAGGTGTTCAGGGGGGTTAGCATGCAGGAGGCGCGAGACGCACTCTTCGGACAAGGAGTACATGGCTTTGAGATGCGCTTTGAGGAGCATCACGATGCCGATGATGACCGACGCGCGCATCAACGGCGTTCTGCTCTGGGGGGCTCCATGGTCGACCTCCATCGCGATGTCTCCGCGAAGCTGGGAAATGAGGTGGGACGGCGAAATAATCTCGAGCACACGCATGCCCTCGACAGACAATATGGCCGTCAGATCTTTGATGACCGTGATGACCTCTTCTTGCGTTTTATACTCGAACGACGCAAAGTTCTCGGCCATATAGCGCACAAAGTCCACTTCGTCCTAAACCCATCTCATCAGAAACCACAACACACAAAATCTTTCCACACTTACTTGCGTCGCTTCGTCAGCACGCGCAGGGTGGAACACTTTGGCCAAGAGCTTCAGGAACTCCTGTCGTGTCTGTCGTTTCTCCCGCACAAGTGCATACCATCTACCGAGCAAAGCAGTCCCGTCTCGGTAGCCGTGCACGTGGGCTGGATCAATTGTGCGCTGGTAGTCGAACGAGGCGCGTGCGCTTTGGATATGCCGGGTATTCAGAAGAGACGAGTGCTTTTGATGGAGCAGACCGTGCAATGCCGTCGCTCGTCCCGACAACACAGGATTAGGAGAAGTTTCCAGAGCAACGATGACTGGGAAGGACTGCAGAGGATGTGCCAATCCTTGTTTGATGGTGAACGTGAGAACGTCAACAGCAGCCACCTGAATGGCCGAATTTCGCGAGAGGGCAGCTTCTAGTATATGCGCCATATATCGCTGAACGACAGCTGAACTCACCCTGTTCAACATGAGTGTCACTACTTGTGATACAACACTACTTTCACATGTCAAACAATACCCCCCCCTTGCACGCCTCGCTCCAACGCTAAGTCGCGCTCGCTCGCCAAGTCGCGCGAGCGAGGGACCCCTCTAATATACCTTTTCTTTCAGCGCACGGACCTATAAACAAGGTCATGTGCATTGAGTTGGGGGAGAAAAATTTGGATTTGGGGGTGGTTTGGACACGTCTAACGGGGGTCTCGGGGGTGCATTGGGCAGGCAGGGTTTAGAGTCGTTCTCGGGCAGTCCGGGCAGGCATGTAGAGCATAAAACCACTGGAATTCTATTTTAACAGTACATCGAGGCGCGCTACTCTAAGACGCGACGCGACGCGTTTGATGGCCCATTCCCCTCCATTCGCAAAGTCCAGCCCCAGTGTCCTTCTTGTCTATCCCTCCAGCGGCAGAGCGCTATACACGACACGGTGATAGCCCTCCCTCACACCTGGCCTCCGGCGGTTCGAACCTGCAAAATTTTGAGCTCTTTGACACAGAAAATGGGCGCAAAATGTACTTACAAAGTAACGGGCTGCGTGATCAAAACAGTGCCGGCCACAGCCTTGCAAGGCACTGCGCTGCAATCCCATCCGCCTGTTCGACTCCGACTCCATCAAGATTGTTGAAGGACAAAGCAGAAAGGGTGCAAACGTAGGAACGGCAGGTACTTGACTGCCAAGGCAGCATTAGCGGGAACGCAGCCGCAACGTCCAGGAGCCAGAAATCCGCGCCGACCCGAGTAACAGCCGCGTCGTCTCGCCGCAATCCAACCACGCTATCCATCCTGCTCGGCCCGCTCCACCAAGTCTCCGACTCCAACAAGATCGAGACTGCGCACTTGCAACCAACCACGGCGTCGCGAGAACACCGGCCCATCAATGGAGAGAGCCTGTCACGAATGGCACGCGGATGAGGGCCAGCAACTGGGAGTGTGACGCGGGGCCGTTGGCAAGAAACACGACTTGGTGGGCTGGCCGTTAAAGCGAGGGCTGGAAGGACAAGCCGCCAAGGAGTGCGATGGGTGTTCGCATGCCGGCAACAAAGCTACAGCCCAAACTTCGCAGGCCGAGCATGTTGGCCGCGCGGCAAGACAGCGCCGGAGCTGTCGCAAAGGCCGGGAGTGGTAAAGGCGGGAATGAGGCCGGCGAGGAAGGTAACGCGGGCCAGATCGGCAGGCAGGTGGTGCCAGAGTGAACCTGTTTCAAGGTCGCGCCAGCAGAAACGTGACATGGGCGGCCGGCCAGATGGTGGAGGCAAAGGCCACGAAGGCAAGGAGCGTGACTGCAAGTCGGTGACAAACCGGTCGGGAAGCGCGGTAAGAGTGGTCGTCGCAAATGTTGAAATGATTCCCATAGATGCAATGGTCAAGGCGGGAAGGATGTTCCGGTCCGGAGCCCATCGATGGTCAGGGGTGGGCCGGGGCCATTAAAAAGAGGTGGGCCGCAAGTCCATGGCTGGCGCCAGAAGAATGGCGGGGAAAATGTGAGGGCACGTGAGATGGCCGCGAAAGGCAATGATGGCAGGATGTGGAAGGAATGAGCGCAATGTTCTGGAGCCCACACAGCCGAGAACTTGGATGCGGGCCGGGGAGCAGCATGTGTGCACCTACACAGCCGACAGCTTTGCAGTCCAGGGCATTATTATCGCCTCGCCGGCAAAGTCCTGCGAAAAAATGAGCTTTGAATGCACAAAAAAGTCGGATAAAATGCTCACCAAAATACCATCAATTTCTGATGATCGGATCAAACGGCAGTAAATGCCGGGCCCGGTAGCCGCCATATACAGACGTAAATTGCTCGGGTCAGCATCTGAAAAGGAAGAAAAGTCAACAATCAAAATGGTTTGGAAGGGACTTGAACTGCTTACATGATAAGCACACGCCAAAGTCGTGAAGCCAGGAGACACAAAGAATGTGAGAGCAAGAGCTCCAACATCCGATGCGTTGTCCGAGAGACATAATGTGCCTCCGGCGGGTCAAAATCTAAAGAAAAAAAGTCAATTATTTTTCATGTCATGAGCGGGGATCGAACTGCTTACGTAATGCGAGCGGCGTTCTCCGGACACCCAGTCAAATCGGTATAGAACAGTGCGGCATGCTAGGGCAAAAGCCCAAGCATCCGCAGTGGTTGAAGTAGAGGCGGTCTGTGCCTCCGGCGGGTCAAAAATCAAAAAAAAGTCAATTATTATTTGCATCAACATGGGGGGTTCGAACTGCTTACGTAATAGCCTGGTGGTGCTCCCAAGTCAGGTGGTGACAAATGGCGAGGCATGCTAGGGCACAAGCCCCAGCATCCGGGTGCGTTGTCCGAGAGGTGGTATGTGCCTCGGCGGGTCAAAATCAGTCAATTATTATTCGCGTTTATGTCGGGATTCGAACTGCTTACGTAATCGATCGGTGAGCTCTGATATTTACCACGCAGCCGTCGAATTCGCGTGGCGGAACTCAGTGTTGTGCCCGTGCAGCGGCGGGCGTTGTCATGGACGTGGAGCTGAAAGTAATGAGCACCCTATAGCAAAGCGTGGATGCAAACTCACAGTTGTTTGACCCAGCAGAGGTTCCCCCATTGCAAACACAATTAACACCCGCTGCCGAATTCTTGCATCACACTGATGTTTGTGTTCCGTGTCCGAGCAGCGGCGGGATCGGCGCAGACAAAGAGCTGAAAGAAATGAGTATCTAATAGCAAACAGTGGCCAAGACTTGCAATTCAAATGTCCGAGTAGAGGTTCCCCATCGTAAAGACGACAAAGCGTCGTCATCAACAAGACACCTGCGAAGCACCAGGTCAGAAAGGCAAGAAAGTCAGTCTATATAAACATACCAGCTGGGTCGCGCACCGTCCGCGAAGACGGTCAAGAGGACTCGCAAATGCCGGCGGCAGAGATCAAAGCCCAAGTCTAATGAACAGCTCTGTTGAAAGATGAACACATGATCAGAATGACAAGTGCACTTACTTACAATGGCGCGTCCCGGGCGCGAACTTGGGGTTGCCTCAAGGTCCGAGGGCACTGGGAAGTAGGAGGTGACTTTGCCCCAACAACTTAACGGTGGCTCTTTCACAAGAGCGTAGTCTGTAGATATCTCATCAGAAACTGGTTGTATACATCAAACAAGGGAAGACATGCCTCGATGAAGGGTGACGCGAGAAGGGTTGACAAGAGCAAGAAACCACTCGCGCCTGTCAATCTGCGTCGTCGAGAATAGCGCTGGCGGAGGGGGTAGCCTTGGGTATGGAAAACACGGAAGGCGCTCGTTGTTGGGACAGCCACTCGTGGATTGACGCCGCCATGTTGCAGACAGCTGAGAAGCAAACATGAGTGACAAGAGGATAAAGGGTAATATGAAGCACAAACCTCGTTGACCATTGCTGGCCAAGTTCAAGCGCGGGCATTTACTTGCGTGAGCGCGAGTAGAAGCAGTCCCGGGCTGTGGATATATTGTCAGAAACCGGTCGTGGATATAAAAGAACAAGGGACATACTCTATTAACTGTGTGTCCTTAGTCCGCCAAACATTTGGCCAGTTGCCAGGGGTTGGCGGAAGCGGAAACCACTGCGTTGACAGTCGCGCAGGGTCGTGTCTGTCAATCTAAGTCGTCCAGAGGCGGCGGGGGCCGAGAATCCAAGGACGAAAGATGCTTGCTGTTTGAGTTGCCGGCACGGGCTGGCGTGGAAGGTGACTGAGAAATGGACGTCAGTGAAAAAAAGATAAAAGGCAGAGGTGGAGCACAAACCTCGGCATTGTTGCGAACCGTCCCAACACTACCGTGGTTGAAGCCGTTTGTTATGGCCGGCGCCACGCAGAGGCGACGTGTCGGCGTTCACTTTGGTCTGCACAACGACAAGTCGCAGACGGCGGCTGAGAAACAGAGGTCAGCAAAAGGGAACGAAGCACAAGAAAACGGAGTTCACACCTTTAATAAAGGTCTGAACAACGCACAGCGGTTGAAGGCCTTTGTTATGGCTGACGTCCAGAGTGGTTGTCGTGAAGGAGCGCGATGGGACGACGCGTTGGCGTTGCTGGTGATGAGCAACTGGCGGGTTCATGTTGGCGCTCCACAACAAGTCGCAGACAGCTGAGAAACAGAGGTCAGCGCAAGAAACAAAGCACAAGAAAATGGAGTTCCGACCTTTATATGAGCCCAAGCAGGTCGGGCTGAGCAGCCCCGTCGTAACTTGAAGTTGGTTGCCGAGTGTCGTCGGAAGCCAGTGCAACAGGCTGGAGGGTGTGAGTAAGTAAAGCAACTGGGAGACGCGCAAAGAGACGGGCATACCAGCAGAACGAAGGTGACGGCGACGACGAGAGGTTGTGGTGGAGGGAAGACAAGCAGGAAAGGTGCGTGACCTTGTTGACGAGCACACGCGTTTGATCATGATGTATGATCATGCCGTAGCTCCTTCACAATCTGCCATCGCCGCTCGGGCGGCTGTCAGGCGGCTTTGGTGCGCTTGCCGTGACTCGGAGCAAGCCGTAAGTGCATAAGTCCGGCAGTCTGAGGCCCCAGCTCGACTTGCTCTGCGATGGAATGAATGAACAATTGGGCCGCTGCTCATGCCGATGAGTAGAGTATGTATAAGCAGCGTGCAACGCCGGAGTCATTATTTTTTGAAGGGTCACGGCAGTTGCCGCGGCCAGTCTCGGGGAAGCGAACACCGCCGACGGAGCTCGAGCGGTGTTTCAAGGGCACTTTCAGGGTATAATTGCGTTACCGCGGAAGAGAAGCGACACAGACCGGCAGATATTAATTGCACAGGTGACAGGCGGCAGGGTGACGAGATGTAAACCCGGCTGAGCAAGCAGGTATTCTCTCTTTGTTCAACTGGCTCCTGGTCCTTTCTTAGTTATTGCTGACGCATTCTAGCATTTTGTTTTACCATCTAACACCTTATTTTGCTTTTTGCCCCACTCCGACCCCAAAAACACCGCGAAAACCACGCGTTTTTGACGCGCAATCCACCAGATTTTCTCGGAGGCACTTCACCTCTCGGCGCTCGACTTTCTGTGGCCATCACCACTCACATCCAAATCCAAATGAGGCAATTCCCCCGGTATAGTACGGGCTCTTCTCCCCCCGCCATTTGCGGCTTGGGTCAATTCAGAACAATTTTCTATAATCATTTCGCGGAGCTAATTCAAAGCATCCGCAGCCAATCGCCCTTCGCGATGGCAACGAATTCGCCTAGAAAGTGAAAACTCATCTTTGTGCATCAACTCAACAGGTAGCGACGGCGGCGGCCGATCAAAGACCCTGAATGATAGAAATAGCATTTCGCAACCATGCCCGTGCTTCCGATTGTCTGCGCAACCCTGTAATCGTACGATCTTCGCCAAAACATTGTTGATGCACTTATTGATTCCCGTGCCATGAAGCCCGCGTTACAAATCAAGGGTGAACATTGATACCACTTGACAGATGGATCCGTGGGGCAAACCCTGAGCGATTTATTTCCGTCCTGCGACCTTCAGCCTCAACAGAGTTGTCCTGTTTTGTCATTTTTCAGTTTGGACTTTGCAGGGGAGACTTCAGCTCCAAATAGACTTGGAACTATTTTCTCTAATACAGGCAACTCTCAAATTAACTCGCTTAATGCTTGGCAACTGACAGGTCTACATTCTACAGAAGCTATTGCGCCGACAACGGAACGGACCAGGCCCAGATGTCAACTAAGCGAGCTCCACCGGTTGGCGGTATAAAAGCTCGCGACGGTTCACTCTCGCGCATGCCTCCCTTTCCTTCTCCCCTCACTGACCCCGATTCAACGCAAAGTCAACCGGCACGTGTTGGTTGACTTTGCATCGAGTCGGGCATCGCACACCTCAGCCTCTTCCATTCCTCCTCCATGATACTTCCATGTCGCCGTCGTCCTTTCCACCCAAGTCAGTCCCCCGACCATGCTCGGACAGGACACTTACTTCGTTTAGCTTCCTCACCGGTCCACTAAACGCTCCTCCTTCGTTTGTCCTCCCATCCACTTGAACTGCGCTGACTGTTGACTAGAGTCAAGAACGTCGTGCTGGTCGCTGGACGTTCGCGGGTTGTGGGAGGTATGTGGTTGCCAAATTTATTGACTTGCATGCTAAACACAACGTTAGTTCCTCTACGATTCGAAGCCAGAATCTGTACCGTTCCTCGATCTCCCCTCATTATCTCCGTTGCTAACCGTCGTTGCAGATTTTGTCGTCGTTTGGGGATGGGGGCGGTCCTGGTCGTTGAGGGTTGGCCATTTATGAGAGGTACGTGCTCGTCATGCACATTTACTTGTTCGCTGACTCTATTGTCAGTTATCTCCTTCAACTTCAAGGTGCGCGACAACAGTCCTACCTTGCTCCGTTTCGAACCCCCTTTCTTTCCCGCTCGCCGTTGTTGAACATGTTACTAAACCTGATTGCAGACATTGGTCGTCATTTGGACGTGGAACGCGGTGCTCGTGGTGGCGGATTTGCGCGTTGTGGGAGGTAGTGCTCGTCATGCTCATTGAATTGTTCACTGACTATATGATCAGTTACATCCTTAACTTCAAGGTGCGTGACGACAGTCCTACCTTGCTCCGTTGCGAACCCTTTTCCCGCTCGCCGTCGTCAACCATGTTGCTAAACCTTGTTGCAGACATTGGTTGTCGTTTGGACGTGGACGTTATGGGAGGTATGTGCTCGTCATGTTTGCTGACAAGCTCACTGACTACATTGTCAGTTGCATTCTTCAAATTGCGCGACCACAATCCTACCTTTCCGCGATTCGAACCCGAAATGTCGACCGTTCTTCGATCCCCGTCGCCGTTCCTGACCCGCTTTGAAGATTTTGGCGGCGCTCGTAGTTGTGGGTTGGCTTTGGTTTCGAGGTATAGGGTGGCTACATTCCGACTCGCTTGCTAACGAAAATGTCAGTTCCAGTCCATCTGGGGAAGACAATCGTACCTTGGTACGATTCGCGCTCGAGCGTAGCGCCGAAGGGCAAATTTGTACCATTCCCCCATCCCTCGTTCCCAGCGCCGTTGCTAACTCGCCTCGTAGATCTGCTCGTCGTTTTGGCGCAGGTCGCAGTTGTGCTGGAGACGACTGGCTTGCTGTTTGCGCTCGTATCGTGTCCCTTTCGCAAAACTAACGCGGTTTCAGGTTAGCATCAAGCCGCCGAGTTGGGGATTGAGAAGCCCATTTTGTGGTAGTTGACGCATTTGCAGTTCGGCTGTCAGTGTGGAGTCGTCAAAGGGAGCGCACGGTGGGTGTTTTCGCGGTCTTGAGTTAGTTTTGCTGACGCCTACCTTGTTATATAGCGATTTTGGCGGGCGGAGAGGGCGGTGGTGATGCTGATTGGGCCAAAGCCGTTGTGGGGGGGCGAGCAGCGGCAAGCCGGCAAGTTTGGGGACTTGCGCGGCGCGGGGGACTTGGACGTTGGCGGCCCGGGCAGGTTTGCGGAACAGCCGAGTAGCCTAGCTAGACGTCGAGTATCGTCCTTCGGCCGGCGGTTGGCGGCAGCGCGAATGGCCCGCCATGAGTTTGCGTGAGCGCGAGAGGTCGCCGCTTCGCGCCTGAGCTCGACACGGCGGTGGGCAAAAGGTCGCTGTCAACGGGCACGTGGGATCGGTCCGGCGTTTGAAGGCTGTGCCCACCTTCCTTCTTTTCCCCCGACGCGTTGTCTGCGCTGAGCTGGCCGCCGACTAGCCCGTTGCTGGGCCCAATGAGCGACACCAGACTGGCGGACCCGGGCCGAAACTGTGGCTGACCGCCACGGCTTGCTTTTCGGCGCGTCGGCTGTTTGAGGCTGGGCCGATTGAAGCTGCTGGCTTATCGAGCCGACAACCTAAGCAGCTGCCCCAGCCTGAGAAAGGTAAGCTTCAGAAGTTCTTCAATGCTATCCCCGAAGCTGCTGTGTCCAACGCGTTCGAGACTGACGCGTCGCGTTTCCTGTCGACGGGCCCAGTGAACGAGTGAGTATCCTCGTGCCGAGGCCATATTTTGGCTTGCTCACCGTCGTTTGCAGGCATTGCTGGCCTTACCGGCCCCACGTTTGGGTACCGTTAAGGCATTTACCGCGCCCTACCACGTTTTTCTCGTTGATAGTTACCTTGGATGCAGGTCTTGGTGAGCGCTCCTGTTATTTCTTGAAACCGGACTCACTTGCTTCTCAGATGTGTTAGCATTGCGCGCAAACACGGACGTCTCGGTCGGCACGCACAGCTCGTTGCCCGTTCGTCGCACGTTGCTTATATGGTTTTTGCTTTTACTGACATGATTATATTATAGCATTCGCGCTGCTGTTCTGGGTGGTGCCGTTGAAGAAGCTTGTCCCGAATGCCTTGAAGACTACAAAAAGGTATCTTTCTTGGCCAATGCGCTCGTTCAACGCTGCCAGAGCGGGTGCACTTGCAGTAAGTACATTATTGTGCAACTGACTGTCGTGATAGCTTGCCTTGCACTGCTTGTGCAGACTGTCTGGGTCTTGGTTACTTGCCTGGTAAGAAGTGCCGCGTTGTTGATTCTTGAAGTTGCACTAACCTGCTTTTCAGATGTGCCAGCGAACGGGACCTCGTACGGGGAGTAGGTAGCGCGTTGATTGGGCACTTGAAGATTGGGGTGCGGGCAGTTAAGATCCGCTGGGAGGAGAAGATTAGCACGTAGATAGGCATGTTGCGCGTTGAGTCGTGGACGCGTGGGGCTGCTTCGACGGACGTGGAGGCGGACGTGGACGCACACGCGCGCGCGCAGGCTTCGACGTGTTTGCGTGGACCTGCGCCGGACGCGGACGTGAACGCGGACGTGCGCCGCACACAGACAGACACAGTGTATACATGATTTTTTATTGCACATAGAGAATTACAATACATACTTGGTTACTATGAGTGCGGTGATCTACAACAAGTGGAGGATATAATGTAAGCAATTGCTGAAGCGAGGATCGGTACATGGGTATCATTGGAATTCATCTTGCGGTTCGGCGGTCACCCCATCTTCATTCCAAACAGCAAGGAACTGATAAAGAAAATGTCAGGACCAGTGAACCCTGCACAAACTGTGATTACCTTCTCCTTCTGTGCTTCACAGTCGTCTGAGGTCAGGATCGGGGCCGTTGCGAATGGTAGACGGTCCCAAGAAATGGCGTTCCTGTGCTTCGGGGTCGCGGGCCTGTCGCCAACGGCGCTCTTCTTGTTCATGACGAATTTGGAACATTTTCTGGAGGTGTTCAGGGGGGTTAGCATGCAGGAGGCGCGAGACGCACTCTTCGGACAAGGAGTACATGGCTTTGAGATGCGCTTTGAGGAGCATCACGATGCCGATGATGACCGACGCGCGCATCAACGGCGTTCTGCTCTGGGGGGCTCCATGGTCGACCTCCATCGCGATGTCTCCGCGAAGCTGGGAAATGAGGTGGGACGGCGAAATAATCTCGAGCACACGCATGCCCTCGACAGACAATATGGCCGTCAGATCTTTGATGACCGTGATGACCTCTTCTTGCGTTTTATACTCGAACGACGCAAAGTTCTCGGCCATATAGCGCACAAAGTCCACTTCGTCCTAAACCCATCTCATCAGAAACCACAACACACAAAATCTTTCCACACTTACTTGCGTCGCTTCGTCAGCACGCGCAGGGTGGAACACTTTGGCCAAGAGCTTCAGGAACTCCTGTCGTGTCTGTCGTTTCTCCCGCACAAGTGCATACCATCTACCGAGCAAAGCAGTCCCGTCTCGGTAGCCGTGCACGTGGGCTGGATCAATTGTGCGCTGGTAGTCGAACGAGGCGCGTGCGCTTTGGATATGCCGGGTATTCAGAAGAGACGAGTGCTTTTGATGGAGCAGACCGTGCAATGCCGTCGCTCGTCCCGACAACACAGGATTAGGAGAAGTTTCCAGAGCAACGATGACTGGGAAGGACTGCAGAGGATGTGCCAATCCTTGTTTGATGGTGAACGTGAGAACGTCAACAGCAGCCACCTGAATGGCCGAATTTCGCGAGAGGGCAGCTTCTAGTATATGCGCCATATATCGCTGAACGACAGCTGAACTCACCCTGTTCAACATGAGTGTCACCACTAGTACCATGGCAGCAGATACTCACCCCGAGTCAGCGAATCCGTCTGTGTTGCCGACGAGTTCATCCATGTTCACATCCGCCTTGACCTTGGACTTGATAGCGGATGTGTCTGCGAGAAAATTCAGACGCGGACGAATGCCCGAGAGAAGAAGCACGTACCCTTCTGCTTAGCCGCGTGCTTGTCCGCCTCAGAGATAAGGAATTCCTGGAACATCTTCAGAAGACGTCCTCGGCGGTCTTCATCTGACGAAGCAAAGATTTCGTCCATAAGCTCAGCTGAGGGGGTTGTCGTCATTAGAGTCGGTTGCGCACGGAACAGACACCCTTTCCCCAAAGATTGAGTAAAAACAACTCTGAAAGTAATGCGTTGGGCTTTACCGAGACAAGATAGCAGTCGAATTCGAAGAGCTGGATCCGTGAATTTCTTGTACAGTTTCACGAAGCTGTCGAAAACAGAGTCGATGACGGAGCCCTGCGCATACTAAGAGGAATATCCATTGATGCTGATAAAGTATCGTACCGTTGGGTTGATAGAGTCCAAGTCAGTGGCAATGGCTACAAATCGAAGTGAGCCAGTAAAAGTCTACAGGAACCTGACCTACCCGGATTTTCCTCCCGAATCTTGTCGAAATCAGCATGCTCACATACCAGAGCAGTGATGACCACGATCATCGCGAGTTGACGCAGGTCGTCGGAAGCAGAGGAAACACGGATACTCCGCTGAATCAGGTCTGGAATGCACTGAGAGGCATGAGGAGCAGTGCGGAGGGAAAAACACACTGTTGCAAGATTTGAGAAGAGCAACCAGACGGACAAAGTCATGGGTGAGGCATTGAACGACCGTACACATACAAGCCACAGCATCGTTTAGGCCACTCAATGAAGGTGGTTTGACGACCATGGGCTGCAATATACTTTGTAAGTCTTGTCCGAACTTGAATGCAGTTTTGGGCATATGTGGGATCGATGCGCGGAAGATCTTGAGGACATATTCGTTTGTCGTCTGCTCTTCCTGCTGTTGGCTTATCAGCAAGAGTCAACAAAGGTCTTGGATAAACTTACAGACGTCGGCTTTGCTTTCAAAAAAGAGAGGAGAGTCGATGCATGAGAGTGCGAAAAAACGGCAGGATAAGCGGCGGTGAACAGATAAATTGTTCGAACACAGTTGATCACCGTCTGAGTGATCTGGATATGAGTCACGAACTGCGTAGCAGAAGAAAGACTTACAAAGCCTGGGAGGTCGGTTGCATCAACGAGAGCCTCGATGAGAACTTCACAGATCTCAGCATAGCGGGCGTGAAGATTTTCGCTCGTCGATATGATTTGATGGAGGATGTCTTCCAGCGGCGACTGGCGGTCAGTGAAGCAGGCAGCAGTGCCCATGATCACAGCCACTTTGGTTTGCAGAGGCGGTTGCTCTTGAGAAACTGGGTTGGATACAGAGCCTCTCGATTTCAAGGCAGATTGTAGAGGCAAGGGGAACCACAGCTCTTCAATCGTCTTGATCGCCAGGTCCTTGACGGTGTCGTCTTCGTCAACCATACGCATAACAAGTCGTTTGCAGATGTCAGTCCTGGTTTCGATGTCATGGATCACAGTGTAGTACTGCTTGAGAAGTTTGATGACACGTTTCCGCACTGACAACCCCGTGTCCTTCGGCACATCAGACGACCAGGAAGGTATGGTAAGGAATGCCTACAGCCATTCGATCCGCGATTTTGGTGTAATAGTTGCCTGCGACCTCCGGAGAATCGATCATGTACTTGCCAATAAGCTCGACAGCAGCATCCCGAACAGCGGGCGACGAATCAATCAAATGGCTCTCGATTGCACGACGAACATTGGCCTGGGAGTCACGTGATCAAAGGGAGTGTGTGAAGCAACGACGACCAACCTCGCCGAGAATGGTGGGGTCACTTGTCACGATTTGGCCCAAGGCTTTCAGAGCCTTTGTTCTGATGAAGATGGGTGGTGCATCGAGAGCGCCTAGAATGACATTGAGAATCGGGTTGAAAGAATTGCGCAAAGTTTGGATTGTGCCGATCGCTTCTGACGTTCGGTCGATTCGCAACGCCTCCTCCTGGGAGCTGCACCAGTTTCAATAGATTAAAAGAGAAAGAATGATATCCACTTACCCGGCATCGAATACATCTGCAGGTTGCTCCTTCCACACAGCATGGAGAGCTGATTTGACCTTGTTTCCGAAGGTCGTCAGTTGGGCGCTGTCTCTCAGCACAAGATCTTCCTCCTCGTCTGGATGTGAAATCAAGTCATCCAGGCGCCTTAATGCAATCGCAAGCTCTTGGCCAAAGGTTGCAGCATGCAATTCACGAGCACTCTAAGAAAAAATGTCAGTCAGGGCACTCCAACGCGGAACACGGACATCATATGCCTGTTCCTCGGATGAGCGTTTGGAAAGATGAGCAACAACATCGCGGTGGCTTGCTAGGAGACGTTCGAGGCCTTTTAGGTCCAAATTGGCCACGAGCTATCTCGTGTCAATTATCTGGAACAGTCGCAACATTAGGCTTACGTCATCTAAGGGCTGGAGTGGTTTCTTCGTTATCGGGTCGGCCTCGCACTTCAATGTTGTGCTTCGTATTCGTGCCGCAACGACACCCAAGTGGTCTAATGCCATTGTTTTGACAGCATTGTTGTCTGTTTGTGCCGATTTGATGTCTTCGAGAGACGTTAACTGCACAAGTTCAGCGAGCAAAGGTGGTCTCAACAGAAACGAACCATGAATCGCGATGCGATATTCAAAATCACGCTCGCCGCTGGGAACTCTGGCCAGAAAAGAACCGCTAACATGTCCGACATGAAATTATCGAAGATTGCCCTATATTCAGCCTCATTTGAGTTTTTAGTCGCCTTAGTTTTGCCAGATCTCTGTGTCAGAAACATGATGATTTTCTTTGCAGCCTTATGCGCAGATTCAAGACCAGTTTTGTACAGTCGGATTTCCTGAATGATGTCAGAGCGAAAAGAGCGAGGATGAAAAGAAAATCTTGCCGCATTGTCCTGTTCATCCAAGAAGTCTTCGTTGGCTAGAACTTGACTCTGGCTCTCAGAAAAACTTTCCTGGCGCCGCAGAGCGATTTTTTGTTGACGTTCTTTCGCAATATTGGCTGAGCTAACGCGAATATCATGTGCCGACGTTTGAACGAGTTGCAGTAGAAGGGCAGACACAGTTCGTATGGAGCGTCCGTCTCGGAGCCTGTACACTAAGTAAGACAAGTCGAAGACGAGACATAATGTTTACCTGAAGTTTCCCGCCTTTTGTTTAGTGTCGGATAGTTTGATCAATGAGGATAATATTTCTTCTATAATCCAGTCCCTTTGATCATCGTGGTTTGCAAAAATCTGAGACGAGTCAACGATGGCTTTGAAGAGAAACGGAACTGACAGCACGAATCAAGGATAAAGCATCCAATCGCAAGGCACGCATAGCAGTGTTCCCAAATGTTCTGATAACAGGGTTGTCCTTTTCCTTCTTTCCACCAGCCTCTTCACTTGAATCCACAACAAAAAATGGTCCGATCGCAACATATACAGCCTGAATAATAATAGCATCCGACATCGCCACAGTTTCGGTGTTGACTAGTGCAGTAAGTCGAGGCAATGTCGCGGTGATTGCTCTATAAGTTTCGCCAAGCATTTGCCGATTATCTCCGGTTTTGAGAACATGTTGAAGGGGTTCATTGGCAGCGGCGCCACCAACGGAGGCCTCGACAAAGGGATAGATAATTTTAGTCAGCTGATTCTTGACGACACTGAGGCATGCGGTGATGAGCTCTTCTGAATAGATCTGTGAATGGTTAAACCTAGATCGTGATAATTGTGGCCGCATACTTGTTTTGTCAGCCGTCCTGCGCTCAAAAGCGTCAAACAGCATTCTACACCCAACATACTATCCCTCGCAAGCTCTAGTGTGTTGGCCAGCGTTGCTTTGTCTCTGTCGGTCAAACCTGCAGGAGCATCATCAGCTTGAACTGTCTCCGGTTCAGCCTCGTCTCCGGAGGCTGATTTTGAACGTCGCCTGGGTTTACTCTTCTTGGTCGGCTTCTTGGGTGATGATGAGGCAGCGACGGGCGGACCAGGAAACGGATCAATGTCCTCGCCCGCTTTGACACTTCGCTCGAGGATTTTGAGGATTCGCGATAGAGTAGGGGTGTCAACATCAGCGAGGGACTTTTCCTGTGCCCTGGGTGTGTTACCCACAGCAGCGGAATGTCTATGTCGTTTGCCTGGTTGGGCGACCTGCGATATATACTTGATAAGTTTGCGGATCAGTGTATGGTTGAGCAGCGGGTGAATGGCGTCAGTGGTCGTGTGATGTGAAAAGAACTCCGCTGGAAGAAGGGCGATGTCTGTATCGGGCATAAGGGCGTCTTCAGCTTCGAAGATATCCTCCAGCAGAGAAGTCAGTCTTTCTAGTGATGACCGTTCGTCGCGATCGCCCGTTCGCCTAGCCGAGGTTATAACTTTTGAAGGCGAGTAACGATCCTCCTCTGACCCATAACCACCAAACTCATTTGGTGAATCAACTGGGGCACGTATGGAAAATTTGAGCGATGATTTGGGAGTGATGACATAGGGCACGGGTGGGACAGCGACATAGTCTAGTGTAAAACGCTTCGAAGGCGTCGAACTAGGCGTGGCGGGCATGCTGGCACGAGACCCAGCTGCGCTGCTGGGAGTAATTGGGACGGGCGTCGTGTGCGGTGAGTTCAGCCGCTTCAGAGTCGGAGAGTGGAGTGCATATTCCGACTTCCTTTTCCGTGGGGTGATTATAGGGTGTGTGGACTGGATAGCAAGAGGATCAGGACTTTCCTCGACGAGCTGTTTCCTGGCCAATGGCGGAGGGGTTATTGCACGAATTGTGGGAGCAGCCTGAAGCGGAGTTCCTGACCAAGTCGGAACGGGAGGCCTTGAAGGAGATGTGGTCATCTGGGGCAGAGTTGCAGCTTTGTGAGTCGAAGTTGTGCTATCCGGAACGCCTGGTGAATTCTGGGCGATGAATTGGTCAAAGAAAGCGGGTGACTGGTTCGGTCGGTAGACGCTGCCAGACTGCTGTGATGATGGTAGTGGACCCAAGGCATTTGCAAGTGAGGACGACGAGGTGGATGGTGGAGGTGGTGTGGGATAAGCGGTGGCCGGATTCGTTCGGTGCATTATAGCCTGGGCAAAAGGATTGGAGCGATAAGTCGACAGCTGGGCGGTAGTCGGAGTCCAAGGTGTTGGGTGAGCATAGGAGCTGACGAGGTGTGAGCAGTTGTCAGATTTCTGACAAACACTCACTGCTCGACTTGTGCCGAAATCATGTTAGACGCCTCGTTTCGCGCGTTTTCCCAATATACATCGCCATTATGTGGACCGGAGGCTAGATATATGGTCTCTGCTGGGTAATTTGTGTACTGAGGCGGTGGTCTGCCGCGTGGAAGAGTCGCATAGTACTGGGGTTGAATAGCGGATGGTGGAGCAGCACTTAAGCTGAGAGAGCTCAAATGACGGGTTACTTGGATTCGTATATTAACCAAACATGTTTAGCGCGCGTGTATACGGGGCTTACCGTGAGTTGAAGGATTGGCAGAAGCGAAGGGGTAAATCGACAGCAAAGAGTGCGCTGATTGCACCGCGGAGTGCTCTCCAGACGACTGCGGAGCTGCTGAAGAGTTCTGTGTCGCAGGCCAGCCTGACATGGCTCAATGAAGGTAGAGGAGCGTGACGTTACGCGTTTGTGACTAATGTGTCTTCAATTATTGATTAGTCGGAGTCCTTCAAGCAGTCCCTTTGAATACAAATGTACTGGCGCAGGACGTTACAAGAATACATGATATGTGTAATCTGCTCTAAGGATCACTACCAAGTGGGCCCGAGTATAATTAAATCGTATCGTGTTGGTGGTGGTAGGCTCTTTTGATGGGATCAGACGAATTTTTTGACTTCACTCGCTCACCTCAAGACGTATGTCGTTCTTTATATTTCCCGCCGCTACGTCTCCCATCTCAACTCGGATGGCTCCGAATGCACTGGAGGATAGCCTGGATTGAGTTTGGGAGCGATCGAGCGGGAAAAAAGCTGGATGCGTGACTAACTTTCCTGCAGACAGATGGCGACGACCAAAACGACCAAGGGCAAGGCCCCTGCCCCCAAATGTGAGAGTCTGACCCCGTCTATTGGCTTATAATGTTGACTTGAGAGTAGCATCGGCCAAGGATAGCAAGGCCAAGGCGGCAAAGAAAGCGGCGTTGCAAGGCGCCAACTCACATGCAAAGCGCAAAACACGCTTCAGTGTCTCATTCCATCGCCCAAAGACGCTTCGTCTGCCTCGGGAGCCTAAATATCCCCGGAAATCCGTTCCCCATGCTCCAAGGATGGACCAGTTCCGGACAGTCGTCTCGTGCGTCGTCGTCGCCCTTCCTATATCTCTCGTTTACTGGCATTAGACCGCTCAACACTGAATCGGCAATGAAGAAGATCGAGGAGCACAACACACTCGTTTTCATCGTCGACATCAAGTCCAACAAGCGTCAAATCAAAGACGCGGTCAAGAAGCTATACGACGTTGAGGCCGCTAAGGTCAACACCCTTATCCGCCCCGATGGCAAGAAAAAGGCATATGTTCGTTTAACAGCGGACCATGACGCACTCGATGTTGCCAACAAGGTGTGTTGACTTGTTTTTTTCCCAAGTATACGAGCTGACGAAAAAAAACAATAGATCGGTTTCATTTAATGTATAGTCGCATGTAGCTATGGTCGTATGTCTTATGCAACATTATCGCCGAGTGAATGGTAGTTGAAATGCTGACAATAATGCACGCGCCCGGTTTTCTGCCCCCACACCAGTAGCATTTGTCACGAAATGGATATGCATTCCATAGGTTTTTGGATATGCGTCAACGTTGACCTCTATTTGTGGGAAAAAGGCCATCGCTGCGGGCTCCAAGCCCATTGATACGACGCCAGAAACAGCACTGGGGCTATTTTCTGAAGCCCCGGCGGGAGGGAGAATAATTCCGGGAAAGTCCTTTAGTCGCGGAAGGACAAATTCGACGAGGTGCGCCAGAAAGTCGTACATTGGGGTACCTTTGAGCTCAACCTTGACGCCAACGGGAATGTTCGGTCGAATCCACCCACCCACCGATTTTTTGCCATAGACCACTTGGACTCCGCCAACCTTATGCCTGCCCGCACCCTTTTCTGTTTCTCCCGTCAATGCTCGCATGGCCATTATGAGACCCAGTAAATTCGACCTGCTCGCGATAGCTTGCTTCATGAAGGAATGCAGCACAATCTTCTCTAGCCGAATCACATTTTCGGGTGTATCTGGTGGTGGCGGAAGTTTGCCTCGTTGGCTACCTCCCACCGGAGGATTTTGACGGAATTTAGAGTATGGATTTGTTGGGTCGTGTGTTAATCGTATTTGTCGCGGCGGTGGGCGAGGCCCGGCTTCGTGAATGTAGGTCATATACATCGCATTGTCTTGAACCGAAGAGTAGTAGTAGTCTTCAAGTCGATTTGGAGAGTATTCACGCCCAATGATATTAACATGCGGAATGGGCAAACGCGTTCTCCAGTCGCGTTTCAGTGGTTTTCGTATCGGGGGCGGACGACCAAAACGCGTCAACGAGCGAGCGACACGCTGGGGAGTATGGATTGGCTGAGAAATATGAGCACAACCACAGAATTTGCGCGATGACCCATACATACCATTGCTGCGAAAAGAAGGAAGGAAACTGTCACAATGTCACTCTTGGATGTCGTCCACCGACCCGTATGACCTCGACAGACTTGCAGAGGAACTCGTAAACCGAGAATCTGGTAGGGAGGGCAGCCATGAACTGCCTATATACATACCACTCGATCATTCCAACCCATACCTGACGACCCAAGTCTTCGACGTCGAAGGGTTTCTTCTTTCTCGTTCTCACACCTCACTGCGCGACCTGCGTTCTGAGCTACGCGACTACCTGTCCACTCTGAAGGAAGAGCTGGTTAAACTCATTAATGACGATTACGAAGCCTTCATTAGTCTCAGCACTGATTTACGCGGCGAGGGTGCTCGTTTGGAGCGCATTCAGCTGCCTCTAGATGGTCTGAAGCTTGAAATACTGGTACCACTTGTTTAACGCGTCCGGCTACCACTTAGCCAACTCCAGGAATCGAAACGGGAATTACACGTCATTCAAGACACGATCCAGGATAAACTGGCTAAGAGGGCAGCTTTGCGAGAAGAAAAGGTGTGTTTCACTTTAGTGACCTGTTCGCGTCTTGATTTTATAGCTAGGCGCTACTACATCTACTTCTCAAGATATCCGAGTCTGTGACACGGTTGGAGTCGCTCCTCCTTATTGCATCTCCCCAAGATGATGTCGAGAGAGTGGCATTGGACGATTCTCGGCCAACTGAGATTGTGACGGAGGAAGGCATAGACGATAGGACTCGGAGCAACAAAGCAAAGCATCTGGGCCGCGTCGCAAGCGAGTATACGCAACTCCTTTATCACACAAGTAAAGCGCGAGCAGAGAAGTGTGTGTTCGTGGACGAGATACAATGGGTTGGTGCTAGACGTTATTTTCGCCGTCTACCCTCCCTGACGCTCCACAGCGTATCGACAGAGTGCGCTCTACCTTGTCCTCAGACTTGGATCTTCTCTTTTCGACCGCGCTTATTGCTCTTACGGACCCGAAGCCAGACAGCAAAACGCCGGAAGTGGAAAAGGCCAGGCTAATGGCGGACCTCACCGAGTGCTTACGAACATATGATGCGATGGGTTTGTGGAGGGACGCAGAAGACGTTCTCAGACGCGATGTCGTGCGTCGTTTTGTCAAAAAGGTATGTCTCCAATAAGATCAGTATTTTTTGGTCTCCACCTCCACAGTCGATATTCCAAGGAGCATTGGCCGCACCACCATCACCAATCGTGCCCCACACACCATTTCGGTCATCGACAACAATCGTTACAAACCCTACTGACGTGCCTTTACCGCCCCGCACGCCATACACACCATTTACATCATTCGCACTCAAAACTCCGTTCAAGTCACACCTTGCCAGCTCGCCTTATGCCCACCTTCTAGACGGCGTCGATGATCCTCTAGCTCGGCTTTATTCCCAAATACTTCGTTTTGTCGAACGAGATCTCACCAGAATCATGGGAATCGCGGAGAAAATTGCCTCCAAATCTACCTCTTCGGCCTTGCAAGAAAAATCGCTGTTGGCTACTTCTGATCTCAACACAGACGACCATGGTTTCCAGATTATGGCAAATGTCGTCTGGGAGGAGCTGGGAAGATCGATTATGGATGAGCTGGGCCTTGTCGTTTTTGCTGCTGGTCGTCCAAATGAGTTCAAACAAGTACGTCCCTCTTAGTTCCCTGTATAATTCTTGTGTTGACTTGGCACGAAGCATTATGAAACAACGCAAGCCTTCATACGATCTCTTGAGTTTCTTGCTCCCTCTGCTCACGCCGTCGAAACCATGCGCGCTCACCACGTTTATGTTGCGTTTGAACGCCGATGGCAACTTCCAGTGTACTTTCAGATGCGGTGGAAAGAAATAGTGGGGAAAATGGAAGAGGGCCTCGTCAATCCTGAAGTCGAGTTGTCATCAGCCGCTGGTGAGTTTTATTCGATGCTTTGACTGTCATTTGACACTTGGCTCAACAGATAAGCAATCTTTTGTCTCTACTCAGGCTGCTGCTGTATGGATTGCTATTACTGCTTGCTGGAGCGCTGAAGTCTTTATTTCGGAACTCGGCTATCGATTTTGGAGGCTGACACTGCAGGTTCGCCTCTAAGCCATCGATTACGTTTCCTGCGCTAACAGTTGATGTAGCTGCTCAGTAGATATCGAACATGGCTGGAGAACAGTCTCATACCTGATGACAAACGCTCCAGTTTAGACAAGGCGAGCCTTTCCTGAAGCCATCCCACCAAAGCTTACTTGATCACAGGTTTCGCTTGCACGAACGGGAACACCCGTCGATGGCCAATCCTTTGAGACCATGGCTGCAGACGACGCTATTCTAAAGCAATATGCCACAATCATCGTCGATGCCCGCGCTATGAATATTAACGTCCATACCTTGTGGAGACAAGAAATTAGTCTTATGCTCCCCGAGACGACGGCAGAGGAGCGTGTCGCAAACGAGGGTTGGTCAACACATTCCGTTTAGCCAATGATGATGATTTACCCCCAGAGACTCTGCGTTCGTCTTTGTCAGCGATGGAGGCAACAACCTCTTCAATGAGCTCCCACATTGTCTCCATTTTGACTAAACGCTGCTGCGACGCGCTTCTGCCTGTCAAATCTTTGTCTTCGACGCTGAGGGCGATGTCCAACAAAACAATACCCAAGGATCCCAGCCACTTTGTGTCATCCATTTTGCGACCGATCAAGATATTCTTTGGGATTGGTGTGGGGCATGGTCCTGGATCCGCTCTGAAGGAAGACTTTGTTGGAACCTATGCAAGCGACATTTTCGAAGGTGTTTGCCAAAAGTGAATCTTTTTCTCAGTACTCCATGGAGCATCTCATCATTTCCAGGTATATTTTATATCTGACGGCGATGAAGAAGACTGAGGAGTCTCTTCGGCGGCTGAAGAAGGGCAAGAAGTCCACCTTCTCACTCTTTGGTGGTGGTGGGCCGAAGGATGATGATGGTCGCGACGAGGAACGCATTCGACAACAGATGATCATCGATGTTCAGACATTTGGAAAGGATGCAGAGTTGTTGGGTGTGGTTTTGGACACCAGTCATTGTTATGCGGAGCTGAAGCAAATGATATATGCAATTGAGGGCGAGAACGATCACAAGGTCTAGAGAGGATGTAGCTACTTACAGCCGTTTGCAGAAAAGTTGGCCACGACGGATTTTTTGATGATCAACCAAAATTTTGACCGATTTGGGTCCTGGGCTTCCAGCGGCCATTTCTCGCTCAATAATCCATATTTTCGCGTAGATTTTTGTATATTATGAAAGTACTCGAAGAGAAGAATGCAGTGGTGTGCTCAATGACACGAAACGGAGAGAAATTGGATGAGAATTAGATGAAGCTCGAGATTTCACTGAAACACACTGCAACTCGACGAAAACACAAGCTGGCAAGCTAGTGAATCCACTGGGATAGTCCCCAAAGAGTCCCAGACACAAGAATAAAGCTCCTGTAGGGTATAAAAGCCTACCTGGTCACAGCAGCCAGCTGTGTACTGTTGTTGCTTGGTTGTCCCAAAGCTAAGCAGAGAATACTATACATATGACAATGGCATGCTGCCCCAATAAGCTCCCATAGATAAATACAGTATACTGCCCGCCTCCATGGCCTTTTTTTGGTGCCCACAACTTGCTCTACATGTGTATTGACTCCACTTGTGAGGCTGCACTATGGATAGAGCATTTACCTATGAAATTTCTAGAGAAAGACTGCAAACAGTATCTAATTAGCTTGCAGTGATATTTGAGAGACATTGAGTGGCAGCAAGGGGACATGTAAGTGGTCAGAGGGGAGAGTGAGCATATGTGATACTTACTTCCGCGAGATGACAATAAGCACAGGCTGTATGAGCCCAAAAAGCTCGATAACTCATTTAAATGCTCAATATATTACTCAGATTGCTTTCCTGGTGCATAAGCCTGCATGCAATGAAGAGAAACTTGTCATTTTGCAAAAAATGGAGGTATTCTCAATTCTCATCCAATTTCTCTCCGTTTTAGGGTAGAGCATGGGTCAGGGTCAACCCGCAGGGTTTCAGGGTAGGGTCTGTCAGGGTCAGGGTCAGGGTACACCAATTTCTGAACCCGGCCAAACCCGGACCCTTTCAGGGTCAACCCGGAGGGTCCAATGAGCTGTTGTAATAGGACAATTCCCTATCTAAACATGATTTTTGTGAGTTTTGAGAAGACAAAAAAAATCATATGTCACTCAAGTCACTCATGTGACACGTGACATAGAAGTAAACCAGATCAAATATGCTTAAAATCTTGAGGAAAAGGTTACATATGCTATATCTGAGCCAATATCATATAGCAAAAGGTATATTATGTCAAAATTATTGTCCCAAATACATCTTCTGCTTCCATGTCTGCAACCCGTGGGTCAACCCGGACCCGGTTGGACCCGTACCCAGAAGGGTCAGGGTTAGTCAGGGTCAGGGTCAGGGTCAGCCTTCTGAGACCCGGACCCGGACCCGTGCTCCACCCTACTCCGTTTCGTGTCATTGAGCACACCACTGCATTCTTCTCTTTGAGTACTTTCATAATATACAAAAATCTACGCGAAAATATGGATTATTGAGCGAGAAATGGCCGCTGGAAGCCCAGGACCCAAATCGGTCAAAATTTTGGTTGATCATCAAAAAATCCGTCCGATTCCGTCGTGGCCAACTTTTCTGCAAATGGCTGTAATTAATATCATATAGCCATGGCTTGTCTGACATTTCTTAGACACCAAGCAGCCGCGCTGTTTCGGCAAATAAATCGTAGGACATGCTGCCAGAAAGGTGGCGGCGGGTCTCACAAGTACTCCCAGCGCTCCCTGAACTCGAGCGACAATCCGGCCCACCTATCGTAACTCTCGTATGTGCTTGCTTCCATGTACATCGGCTGGGGGCACACGCCTTCTCGGTCTTCCTTTGACATACCCGACCGCATAGTTTGCAGAAAGTTGAGTGCTTCATCCGCCGACATGCGGCGACAGACATTTCTTGTGGTCATCCCTTCTAAGAGGGGAGCGAGAAGTGGAACGGATGGCGTCAATGTCTGGAATTAGCGTGAGGAATCTAAATTGTCCCACCAAGATTACAAACCTGGAATTGTGAACACAAGTAGATCCCAAGCTAGTCTCGGTACACAGCCTCTCACGACACCCTAAAAGGGACACCCGTTGTGAGAGTCTGGCACTAAGTGCCGACTTTTATCAGGCCATTGCGCTATCATTTTTCCGAGGTGACTCCCACGCCTGTCAAAAGCCATCTGAGAGCGCAAACTGAATTATCTCGGGCATTACTGCTCAGAATGAGCTCAAACCTGGTAGATATTATCTTGTATAGCTATAAAATACATCTATGAAAAAAAAAAAACGTGTTTTACGCGTTTTGATTGCCTTATTGAGCGACATCATCAGTCCCCAAGCCATACCTTATCCTCATGTTTCCAGCAAGTTTGTATGCACTACACTTGCTCTCTCTCTTCCACCACCACCCACCAAACAGTACCCCAGCAGCTCAGACCATACCAGAAATGCCTAGGAACAGCTATGGTCTCAGACCAAGTTATCAACAAATGGACTCAGATGATCCTTTTATCATGGAATCAGAGGCAGTCTTTACAGAAGGGGGTCAAACTAGTCCTCCCCAGCCTCAAATGGATATTGACCTGCCTAGTGATGTGGAATTTCATCTTCTTGATGAGTTTCTACAGTCAGAGGATGATGAAATTCTAGGCTATGGTGAAAATGCTAGAGCACCCAAGCAAACAGATACTCAGAAGACAATCAAGGTCCTGGAGTTCATGAAGAAGGAGTGTGGCATCAGATTCTCCCTCAAAGCCCTTCTGACAGAGCTATTTACATCCTCAGATGGCTATGTGAAAAATGTAGCCCAGTCATATCTGGGAAGAGATGGTGCTATCCATTTACTAGATACTGTTCTTGGAGATAAATACCTCAAGGATGAAGCAGTATGCAATTGGATCATCTCTAAGGCTGCTGAGATTTGCAACCATGAGGCTAGCCATTTGACTGATGCGGCCTACTATCACTACGGACATTAATGTATTTTCTGCCCCAGAAAATGCACAGAAAATTTGAAATTTTCTGAAGATCTTCTGAAGATTTTCCAAGAATTTTCTGTCACGGAAAATTTGGAATTTTCCATCAATCTTCTGAGAATCTTCTGGAAATTTTCCGCGTCAGAAGATTTCCAATTTTCTGTCACAGAAAATTTTCAGAAAATGTAGCACTCGGATCTGTGATCCGGCCAATGACATTTATTCCGGCATACACATTGGTTATCAAGGCAACCAGTTGGACCACAACATTCACTCTGATTTGTTGTAATTGCATGTAAGTACACAAGTACACAAGTACACAAGGGTATAATATTCATACTGATTGTGCCGCGTACACAGCCTTTGGCCCAGCAGCAGGGCGGTGGAAGCAAAGCAACATGCAACACGACATGCGCGCCCTGATGGCTGACGTGGCTACAAATCGCGCCGGCGCGTAAGTCCTTCCAATCACTATGATACCTCAGCAGCACTCGTCTCAACCTCCCCGTCCTCTGAATCCGAATCTCGCAAGAGATAGTAACTCCTCCAGCTCCCCGTAGCTGCTTGTCGGCCTCTCCTTCAAGACATTGTGAACCCATGGAAGCAACTCGTGGACTTCTTGCCACACCTTCCCATAGCGTGCAAGTGTGTTCTCATACTCGTCAGGGTCGTCGAAGTATCGCCTGGCTTCCTCCGCAGACCGTTCGGCGTTTATCACGCACACACTTTCCAGCTGGGGAAATGCTGTTGCGAGAAACCAGACCGCGTGCCACGGGCTAGCTCCAATAGACGATTCGACGATGTCAAACACCTTGAGTGGACAGATACACGAATTTTGCGGGGGGAGTTTCTGACGGGATGGACGAGGCCGCGTCTACGGTGAGCCGCAATTCACGCAGATGAAGACAATGCTGAGCGAGGACCGAGAGTGACAAACGACTCGGCGTGCCCGGCCAGCCCGGCCCCGGGGTGCCGGTGTGGCTTGAGGCTGAAACTTTCTTGTTGGCGTCTGTATGCAACGTTCTTGGCAAGTACGAGGGCCTCGACGAGAGGCAGCGCACATGCGAGCTGCCCCAGCAACTGGTTGTCCATCTCCAGCCCATAGCCTATCTCGATTTGGAGACAACGGAGATTGCCATAGCGAAGAAGCGGCGGGACGAGCGAGTGCGGGTGCGGGTAAAATGTCGCGTCGTAAACCGAGTCGACGAAACACAACTTTGGTCAGCTGGGCCACGGAGCAGCGCTGCGCGAATGTATCGATCAGCTCGGTGACAATCCGAGTCCCCAGCTGCTTAATGTCAACAATGAACCAAGAGAACGCGAGCGTGTTACATGCCCAAAGGAAGTATCCAAGGGCATTGATTGCAAACCGGTCGAGTCGGGATCCTGGAGCAGTTGATGTATATCTGGGTCGTCCGCGGCTATGTTTAGTCGAAGGAAGCGCAGAGCGTTGAATGGCAGTCTTCGCTCATGAATGTGGCCCCCCGGTATTCCGAGTCAACCCCCCCGTCCAGGAAACGCAGCTCCAGTTCTGTCAAGTGCGGCAGGCCTGCGATATGGGAAAGGCCAACGTCGTCCAGATTTCCGATGGCAAGCACCCGGATGTTCCTCAGCTGAGGCGCCATGGGATTGACCTCGGAATATATCGGGTATTCAGAAAGGCGGTCGTAGATGCCACGGGACTCGAGCACGAGCACTTGCAGCCTGCTGGCAACTGGTAAAAGGAACCCCAAGGCAGAGTGCCGGCCCATTCGCAGTTGAAGATGTGTGAGACGGGGAGCGGATATCATGATTAGGATGAGTTGCGGGAAGAAGGCCTGTGCCTCAAGGCCGGGATCTGCCGTATCGCACCACCAAGTATTTCCCGTGTGCCATACTAGCTCCCTCGCATTTGGAAACAACGCAATCCGGTGCAAGTGGCACGCGGCAACCAGGAAGCCATATGCCAGAATATTCGTACGGCGGACAGATCAGGTGGCGAACGCGACGCGTATATCGCAGCGCATACAGCAAGTCGTGCGGCCAAAGTGGTTGGCGGAGATACTGTGGATAGGTCAAGTCCGAACTAAACTCAGAAGCACGACGCAGAGGTGCAAACCAGATCAAAGCCGCCGTCTGCACGGCCGGCGCAGTGCAAGAGGTCCCCCGGAAAGACGTCGAAAGTGGGGAGAATATTGGTTTGCGTAAACCACAGCGCATCCAACACGGATTCCGTGAAGCCACGACACGTTCGTGCAAGACTCGCCAGCCCACGCATGCTTGGTGCTGTCCTGGCCAGGCGCAATTCGGCGCAAATGAGATCCAGCAATTCTCGTTCTTGGAGGGCGGCGTGCATTGAGGTCAACTTGAAGTCAGGGAAGAAGAGGCAATCAATCAAAGTCTCACGGGCATTGGACCCTGAAAATACAGGCAACGGTAATTAACGAGCGGCATGTGCTATGGGTAGCCTAGTGGGGTCGGAATAAGATAGAATGATAACAATAATGGCGATGAGGACAACTTGAATCATGTCGGTATCGGGAATGGTATTCGAGCTCATCATATAGAAGCTGCCCAGAGTCAGAAATGGCCATCGCTGACTACGGCCACGAAAGCTCGATATGCGTCGCTTGCATATTTGGACTTGTCGGTGGGAAAGGATGATATGAAGGCAAGAAGACACGAAACTGAGTTTGCCTGAGCGTCTGCGAACACCGACGGAGATCACATACCCTCGCAAGCCCAAACAGCAATAGGCACCATGGCACTCAGAAGCCATTTTTGACACTTGTCCTGGCCTGCAAAGGTTTCCATCGGAAAACATAAAGAGAGCGATTAGAAGCACTCACGCTCTTGGAACAGCTCCTCGCAAGTAAGTACGATGGTGCGATTTGCGGTCAGAGACTGAATGAGGTTGAGCACATGCAAAGATCGGGCCGACGGGAGAGAAACACGCACGGTGTCTGAGTCACGGTGACGCACCTTGACGCACCTAACCGTCCAATACGACCCTGGATGAAAGACTGCCGGAAGCCTGAGTTCGGACATGATACCAGTGCAGACTGCATTGTGTCGTGGCTCGGAATCGGACGTGGCACAAGCAATGACGTTCTCAGAGGGCAGAGGCCCGGAAGGTAACCTGCCGGAAATTAGGTGTAAAACTCATTTGAAGTCGACACGGACTTCAAGGCCAGGATAGCGGTAAAGAAGATGGCTCCGCTTAAGGGGGTGGCCGTGTCTGTCTGCCGAGCATTAAACGAGTCGTCTTGAATACGAGACTACCTGACCGTAATAGCCCCAGGAAACGCGCCGAAAACGTCATTCCATCAACGTCGAGAAGACATTTGTGTTTGTATGCATTTCCTTCAGCGTCAGTGCCCCAGTTAGTATCTTATACTTGGCGACAATCTGACTTGAAGGACCTCCCCTCATCCTCATGCATTTCCACCCCGAACGGCCTGCCACCACCGCTCCACCAAACGATCCGAGGCCGCGACAGAGAAGGATTAGAAGGTGTGTCTGAGTTCTCAGTTTCTCGGTGCTCGTTCTGTTTTTGACTTCGAATTCTTACGAGTAAGAGGTTTCTTCGGACCATTTCATGCAACGTTTTCGCCAAACATACCTTGCTGTACGGCTCAGGTCCTCCCATCCCGGCTGAATGGAAGGCTTAGGGAGGCGATAGAGTGAGCGGGGCTGCATTTGGGTGAATTGTCAGTTAAAAGTTTTTGGCATTTGCGTGCCGCAGGGCGCTAGCAGTCTTCTCCATGATAGAGAGCTAATAAGTTCCCCAGATGACAGTGTTGCGTTCCGCGATGGCTACGAGCGATATCGTGCTGATTTAGAGCGTCGCAAGCACTTCACGAACATCAAACGCGAGGACTCAGAACAGTCGGGGCGATAGTGGTGGTGGCGATGGCCGACTTGGTTCTCCTCAAGTCAGCCACCAAATCCACATCCACCTGTTTCGATGAGATCTGACGGAAGAGCTGGCACCCCACTGCAGAAGGACTCGACCCCAGCCTTGACAATTACACCTGATCCCACTCAATAAAGACTGACAGAACGGCGAGGTACACCACCTTTGCCCCCCGCTTTAACCAACACACCATGTCGAGCACCATCATTCCCGCTGCTTTCGACAACAACTCCGTCTCCTGTTCATCGAGCGAGCAATCACAAACCAATCTTACTCTTGGGGAGCATCGGGGCTTCAACCTCTACGATTAAGTAATCAGTGTTTCGAAACAGTGTAACACTGTGACATATCATGACATGCTGCTTACAGCTCACTGCGGGGAGTACAATTGTCTGCAAAGGTACTAGTATGTAAGCAGCTGGATTTGCGGACAAAGAGCCCCTCACCACCTGTCAGTCCTCGAAGACACCATACCCGCGCACAGCTCCGTTGACTCTCCGCCTTCCGTCAGAGTTGGTGAAGAAAAAGGGGGTCACGGGCCGGCCTCCCGATTTGGCTCCGTTGGCCGATCCACAGCCACACGGACAACTTGTCAGAAACAACGATGGCGGCCGCTGCCCGCAAGCTCTTGTACTTCAACTCAAGCGCCACGGCACAGGGTGCTCACAGTCAACGCCAACTGATACTGCCGCAGTGCCAACTAGCTCCGCTAACTCGACAAACGGCATTGCCGACAAACTGCGGCCAACGACAACAACAAGTCAACTCATCGCCCGGCACGCGCTGGCTCTGGAAGCAACAACAACCGGCAGCTCTTACCGGCAAACAAGCGGCACTTTTGGCAAAGTAAGCGTGAGCGGCACGCAGCTTACTTTGCCTCAGCAACGAGTCGGCCCTGTCCTGCTGACAAGACAGCTCGCTATGCCAGACGGTGACGCGCGCGAGATTTGCGCACGTGTGGAATCGGGCCACACAGCCCGACCACAGCTAGCGCTGTGTTAGAAATTATTTTCACTATGTTAGTTATGTTATGTTATAAAATATTTTTCCTCAGCTGTTTGTTATGATGTTATAAATGTTAAAAATTCAAACATGTGTTATAAATTATCTAAGAGCATAAAAGTTATTATTAATGATCCAAGACTTATTATTGTTGATAACTAATGCCCTTGTGAGCTCAGTAATAGTATGTTTGGGAGTTTGAGTGCCCTTTACAGCAGCTAGATTTAAATTACAGCATATCACAACTTATAGGTCAGGTGTTTTGTAGAGACTAGTACTTTTAGTAGTAAAAGTCTTTTACAAAGGGTCGGAAACTTATATCTTAGACTTTTCTCAAATCTTCTAGGCTTCTCTTCAAATGAGTCTTTTGGTTTTTGGTGTTATGACATATCTATATAGCTTCCTTGCTCATTGTGCCACAGAAATTATTGTGATATGATACCTGATTGTTACAGTATATGGGTTCAAAAACGGGAAATAGGCAAAGAATATCAAGTTTTTGCATAATATTTACTATTTTGGAAGGTAATTTATGACATTTATAACACTGGATTTTGGGACCCATTTGTTATAAATGTTTTTAACATGTTAATAACACTGTTTGTTATTAATTGTTACTAACAAATAGGTTTCTAACACAGCGCTAACCACAGCCATGGCGCACTGGCGTGAGCCATTTTCGCTGGCAGATGCCACCGCACAGCCGGGCCGAAGCGGGGTTTCCCGATTAGGACGGCCGTCGGTCCGAAGTCCGCACCGAGCTCCGTTCCGTGCCCGAGGTGAGAGAGAGCCAGTGGGGCTAGTGGAGAGGACGGGACGCGTCTAGCGCGTGCCCATTCAGCTTGGACGACCCCAGAGAGCAGCCGGAGGAGGATAACGCCGGCACCGCCGCGTCGCAGCGCGTCCCAAACGCGTCGCAAAGCTGAAACACGCGCGTAAGCAAGCCTGCATAAGCAGAAATGGCCAGACGTGTAAGAACAGAAGCAGTACGCGCTGTGCGGGGCTGTGGGCACAGGCTAGATAGGCCAGTCAAAGCGCCGGAGGGCAGTGGGAAGGCTGTGGCCAAAGACGTCTATATTTGCAGCGTTTGTAGCCTTTAGGGCAGAGAATTCGAGTGCCTGGCTCTGCGCAGGTTTTGTCTGCTATCGCTGTTTCCGTTATCGTTGTCGCCGTTATCGCCGTTTCTACTATCGCCGTTTGTATTGGAGAACCTCTGTCCTTGCGTCCCGTTGTTCCGAGTACCCGCCCGCCATCCCGCCTCCCTGCCCACTGTTGATCTTGGTCCCGCCCGTTGTTTCGCTTACCTAATCACCCAACCCTATCATTCCGAGCCGTTAAACATGTTTATTTGGATTGCAACAGCTATATACTTTAACTGGAACCCCCGTACTTGCACGCATCAGTAAACTACCCACCCACTTCAAACTCCGACGTGATCCGTTCTTGATCTGATCTGATCCGAGTGATCCGAGACTCGGCCCGCGTGTGTTGGTACTAGGCTCTTTGGTTTTGTGTTCTGTTGTGTTTGTGTGCTGATTTTGTGTGTTGTGTTGGAGTTTTGTTAGTGCTGGTGTGCAGTTTTCTTGCGTTTTATCTGGAGCCCACTGCGAGGGGGTTCATCTAGATCTGTAAGGGCAACCCCGGAGGCCTGAGATCAAGGTCCTAGCAGGGGAGGATCCAAAGAGTGAACATTGGTAAGCGAATACAAATGAAGCTGACCTAGCAGGGGAGGATCCAAAGAGAAGAAACTCTGAGGGTCCGCCTGCTAGGTAGCTGACTATATACTGCTTGTCCGTAGCTGCCGCTGTCGGGCACAGAAGGCTTGGGCGGCGTCGCAGGCGAGGTCCCAGGGCGACCGTCGGGAGGGCGTTGACGGATCGGTGATTGTGCGGGCGAGATGGAGGGCCGGACCGGAGTCGGAACCGGAACCGGAATCGGACAGGAATCGGGCGCGTCTCCGGGCCGAAAGGGAGGTTCCCCTGACATCACCCCCCCTTTTGAATGCGGCGCCCCGACGCATAGATTGGAAAGGGATTGTGTCGAAGGTCGCGGAGGCGATGTGCCGTGGTTTGCCGGGGTACCTACGATAGAACTCCGCGATTTTGTCTGGGGCGAAGACGCGGTCGAAGCAGAACCCACTGGTCGTGCGACCCGTCGTAGCCTTTCCACCTAACGAAGTAGTTCAGCCGCCTATACCTGATCCTAGCGTCCAAGATCTCCTCTACTTCCCATTCCGGGACTCTGTCCTCAAGGTCTGGAGGGGGCTGGTCGTAGCCGGGGCGTCCGTCGAAGGGGTTGTCCTGGGCGAGCTCGAGCTTGACGACGGGGAAGACCGGGTGGAGCTTCGAGTAGCGCAGAGGGAGGTCGAGCTTGTAGGCACCTTTGCTGATCTCCGCGACTATCTTGAACGGTCCGAGGCGGCGATGGGAGAACTTTTC